AAACTTGCTGACCAAAAAATCATCTAAAATATCTGTCTATTTGTCTATCTATCTATATTTTACGCATACAGTATCAATTTGTAGATAAGAGTAGCTCATCAGGAAAATTTCATATAATACATTAGTATAGATATCGATACGTTTATTAGTATACAGTGCGCCGCTATTACACAATATTATCAGTATTCTATTATATGTACACACACAATACATACGAAAACATGATTAAACAAGTGATGTTAGGCTAATTATGAACTTGATATTTTAATTACAATAGAAAAAGAAAATGCTCAAGTATGATTAAGTTTCAATATCATATGATTATGATAATTTTAATAAACAAAGGACTTTTATATCAGATGACAAAAATCTGAAGGGCTATAACCAAGATAATAATTATTATTGTTATGCACATGAGTGCATCGTTTTAATATTCCGCCAAATATTTTCTTAGGGGAAATGTGATAGTCAGGTTACATATACCTTCAAACGGAAACTTTACAGCATAAAGAAATAATAATTTATAAATTTAAGATATTTTTCTTTGAAATGAAATGGTGGCTATCAGTAGAATCTATGATGCCAATTACATTCTGTTTTGGATTCGTCATATGAATCTACATGTATTTCTATGTTGATGCCCATGCTGAAACTCTAATCTGATACCTTTCGTTTTAAGTAACCAACGCTTTACCTATCGAGCTTATGAGTTTGGATCGCTAAGATCCTGCGCTTCGGCCAAGAATTCTGCTGATGGGGGTTTTTAACATATCAAGTTTTCACAGTTCTTTTGAAACCCTTTTGACCGTTAGTCTTTCAATGTAAATTGCCAAATCTGTATTTATAAAGTTCTTCAATAAAATTTTCAAAAAGAAATAACAATGATTTAGTTGAAAGTTATTGCAATTATTTTGTATACAAATAACATTAATTTAAATCTGTTAATTAACAGAAAGAGTTTATATCATTTGTTCACTTGCTGGGTCAGTCTAATTTGATTAATTTTATTTGAAGCATGTATTTTCTACTCTAATAAATTCTGAACTTTATTTTACAGTGATGCCACAGTTAAGTTTTACAAACTGATTGAACCTTATATAATTAGATGTACAACTCAACTAATAACCAAACGGATTCGACATCATGTTGAAACAATTCTATAAATTCGACTTTCAGTTTCTGATACTTTCGATTAGAGCATATTTACAGCAAAACTGAAATCCATGTTTCGTATGAATGATGAAACCCATCACGCCTTAAATAAAAACTTAATTGAAAGACCGTATTGTTCTTTCGAAATAATATTTATTATTAAAACTGTCAGATTCTAGAGCATCTCCGAAATTTTGAAAATATACAGTTTTTTGAGATGCTGGTGAAAATGTATATTTCAGGTGAGTGTTCATGTTCGATTTTCATTCGCTAAACTGGATGGTTTATTTGTGGAGCTTTCATTTTGCAGAAAAACAATGAAACGAAAAACAATATATGGTTTCTAAGTTTAGAGACTATGCTAAACAGATTGGCTTCGAAGTGGCTTATGGTGTCATTAGAATTGTTTGCAACAATTGGAGGGTATTTCGTTTGACAGTAAATTATAAATCATACTATTTTAGTTACAGTTAATTTTGACTGAAAGTAATACTGTGTTTTAAACACTCTTTTTAAGGACCAATGTTAGAACCGGTTACTTGTTGTATTAATCATCATTTACTTACACATCACTTAATTTAACTGAAAAATTGAATAGAATTTATAATTTAAAATTTGGTAAGAAAGAGAAATTAGATTCATTTATATCACTTTAATCAATCATAAGTTATGTCTTGTAAAATCACCAACCATAAATAATAACTATATGTTAACACAACTACCTGAATTAACTCTTTTAATGTAGCCCAAATTAAACGTTAGTGATTTTAGTATCGTATAATATATCTTGATCTAATCAAAAACACAGTGTTTTAACTAATCAGTCGTAGAAAGCATCTCTCACATGACCAATACTAATTTAGTTTACGTTGTTCCAATAAATTCATATACTCTAAGATCAGAATAATAAGCTGAAATCTCCCTAATTTTTCTAAATCTTGACCCATAAACAAGCGGTAGAAATAAACCACTATCCGGTGGGAACATGTCTATTAAAGTCAGTTGGTTACAACCCTATATAATTAATGAAATGGTTATTTATCATGTAAACATCTTGTTAGTTTTAGTGTTTTAAAACTATTCATGACAGGAGTAAATATTCAATTGTATAAGTAGATACCAAAAATAAATTAGAGATATATACTCATTAAGAACTGTTTTAAAAAGTAGTTTTCGTAAGTTCTATTAAAAACAAATATCTTCAATACTCAGGTCAACAATGTACACAGTGATACCATCTATGTCATCAAGTCAATAAATAAAATAATGTCATGAAATAATTGACTTTGAAAATATAGACTAGTGAAATTACAATCCAGTGATCAACTGGTGTAATGCTCAGTAATGACACTTGAAGTGGATGCTCCCTTCATATTCATCTAGATGAATATTAAACAGCGCGATATATCTTCGTTCATATCGATGCATGCGGACAATTTTCAATGTATACTCAACTGGAAAAATGATGAAACTCTCGATAGAGGGAACCCTAAAGGCACCAGAGAATTTTCAAAAGCTTGACAATAAGTCCACCAGCAATCACTAAAGTTATCGAAATAGAACCAAGTTATCAACCAACAAGAAAAATTGTGAACAAATATAGAAGCGAGAATCAGATTAAAGGGGGATACAATCAAAATAAAGTTGCAGACAATGACACATTAAAGGAAACTGATAACTAATCAAGATCGAATTTGAAAGGACAAGCTGGGAATCAGATGTGGAGAAATTCAAATGCTTTACTCCTGTTTGAAGTTTGTGCTGATGATGTTGTCCAGAAGAACAGTGAGAGCTCCTTCCATGACGAAACTCTATCATAAACCCTGATGGTCCCGGTTCGATTCCGACCAACTTTTTTTGTAAACAGATGAAGTATTTAATTTTGGATTAGTAATAACTCTTTGGATGTTATCAATTCCTAACGATAAACATTTTTTAGCAGAATTTAATATACAAACTACAGCACTTTACGCTGTCAACAAAACTGTACTTCATCCATTAATCCTATAAGAATCTTTAAGTAATACTCTGGTAATACAATAAATTATATGCACATCATATTACCATAGAAATGAATTAAAGTACAAAATTATTGTAAACTATTGTTTAAATAACCTTGAGTTAAAATATTGTTTAATGAAGTTTAAAATTCATTGTTTATTATTAATTTCAAATCATTATTTTCCCTCACCTAATTTTAAAATGAGTATACATTATTAAGAGATTACATTCTACTTAAAAGATATATATATATATATATACATAAACTGATGTTTGTTTAGAAGTTGCTAACGATAGAAATATGTATGAAACTGTATACACTTAAGCGATGTAGGTGAATATGTATACACAGATATATAAGCTATCATTATTTGATAAAATTACAAGATTTGAGCTTAAGCACGTACGGCGTCAATGATCAGTAAAAAGTGAACTCATTGGATAACTGCTCATCAACAATGACTGTTTGATACTGTACTTTTTTTAAATTTCGATGAATGAATGACCACTGTGAAGTAATCAGATGTCTCGTTACTGGTCTATTACTTTTTCTTCATATAGCTTACTTCAATTTCGAAATTTGTTTTTTCATTTTTAAAACTATTAATATTTTTTCCAAATTCTATGACATTCTTTATAAGTATCTAATGCTTTAACAACTTTACTTCCAAGGGGTGTTTGGAAGCGAGCTAGAAGCAGCCAAACCAAATATGGGACCAGCCACTAAGCCACTGAAAATTGAACTTAACCATGTTAATATGTACATTGGGGGTCTACATTTTAATCGTAATCAGTGATCAGAGACTTTGAATCATATGGCCCAAAATTATTTGCAGTGGCGGAGGTATATCCATTCTTTGCCCTGCTCCAGATTCTATGTTTTTGAATTCACTATGGATTTTTTGAATGATTTGTGTTTTATCTAATATACTCTTCAACACATCATCTTTCCAACTATCATCAGTGCTATTACTACCTTCTCTAACCTAGGACATATCCTGAAGATTTCATCTTTATATGCTAATGGAGTATGGCAACTTGAATTGATGTACTTACGTACTAAATTCTACGTGGCAAACGGCCAACTTACTAAATGACATATTCTGTATCTATATAAAAAATTATATATTGTTGTTAATTCGTTGTTATCAAGCAACATATTTTTGGTTGGTATAATGTAGAAAAAGTGTAAATACACTCTGATCGTCAAAGATTTAATAAAGGACTATCCCATTTATTTATATTGGGAATCGCTTAATATTTTTAAAGTGAAAAACAGTATGAAATTACTTTTGAAAAGTAGGTGAGGAAATATGAAACCGAAATGTTCATGTAATTAAATGCATAAAAGTATTGTTTTCATCACCGTAATGAAAATCCTTACATAAAATAACTACTCACGAGATACATATATAAACCCACTGAGAATGAAACAGTAACTGTTGGATTCCTAAACGATGATCTGTAGTAAAGCTGCTCTCGTAACTATCTGAAGCTTCTAGATATAATCACAAATATTGTCAGAGATGCGCTCTGACGAGAAGTTTTATAGCTGGACCAATTCTTGTGGTGCTCTTCGTTTTCATTGTTTTGTAGGCTGAAGTTACTGCTCAATCTTAACCAAGACTTGTACAGCCCCTTCTAACTTTCTATGTGATTTATTTTCTTATGTATAAGAGATATCACGCAAGAATATTTTAAAAGATTTCCATCCTAATTCGTCCTAACATACACTAATTATCCACAGTAAATTGTGAAAAAATTGATGAAATTCACCTTAAATTTAGATATTTTTAATCGCCTGAGTAATTAATTTTGTTATAATGGATAAAATGAAAAAATCTAACCTTGAGATGAGCTTTAAGGCTCTTCTGAAATGTTTCGTGACTATCTCTCCATGATCGTTTCAAAAAACTGAATGAAGGCCATTCGTATTCATCGCATTCAGAGTAACTAACTTCGTAAACATTTTGATGAGGTATCTAAAATTATAATCAAAATTTAAAAATAGTTACTACTTAGATAGAAATGGCAATATTTTTGGAAACTTCTTCACGTAAGAAGTCGTTCATAACCAATTTGGGGCTTAAAATGGATTAGTATCAGCTTTAGACATCACATCGGCTCAACATAGTAAGACAAGGGCAATAGAAGAAGCACTACGAGCACTCAAATAATAGTAATACCAATATCTCAAAAGATGTTGACATTAGAGTAATCTTTTAGAATACATGAATATGCGTTTGGTTTTTTCTGGGACTAGTTATTTGGATTACTTTGCGTCCAACTGTCAGTGTGCAAACTAAAATATTAAGCTCGTGTGATGTATGCTATTGATAATGCGGCTGATAATTAGAATGCAGGGACATGTAGCAAAGTGTCACAAAGAAGCTACTGCTAAAGCTAAGCATGCTGAATTCGGATTTTTTGTGTACCCTACGTTCTTTGAAGAGTAGAAGATTTATGGAAGAAGATATCTGAAAATCTGCATCTTTTGCAAATGTAATTCTAAAGATAAGGTGTGCACGTTTGCTAGTAGACTGTATCTTCTTTTAAAGAGTCACTGATTACATTACACCAATAATATGTGTTTCAAATACCAACGTACAATATATTAAGTTGCTGATATAGAATATTCAAGAACTGTTTAGCAATGCTTTTTCAAAATTTTATCCTTATTTCCAGACAAATGGATAAAAGAACTCTTTTACCATAGACAAAAAAAAAATAATCTAAAGAGGATAAAAGAGAAAACAGACTAAAAACGAATAATAGTGGAACTAAAATTCTGGCTAGACACACATACTCAATGCGTCAAGGTCACTGTTGCAGAGTCCAACTCATGTCACTTAAGCTTTCCAACTTCTCAGGGAATTATTTGCTCTCTTTCATTTCAGTGACTCACACAAACACAAATTGCTCAGACTGTTGGTCAATAATTTCATGAGCTGGTACCAGATTATGATCTTACCTTCCATTGCTAAGCATATTAAAATTTTATAGGTTAGATTTAACGGAAAAATAAAAGAGGTAATTTTTAACAATATCTGGGGTTAATGCAAGTGGATTTGGTGGCATGTTTTACTTATATCATTCATCATATTCATTATATTCATCATTCATATATTTACGATTTTCATGGCGAATAAAAGTGACAAGTAATGTTTTATATTGTAATTCTAAATATTTGTTTTAATGTTCAATTAATTTTTAAAATATATATATTCCGCATCCGCGACAACTCAAACCATATGAGAGATTGGATCCAGAAACTTCTGAAAATGCGCACTACATCAACCTGGGGAGTGATAATGTTGAAAAGTTTTAAAAACTACTTAATTGCTCTCTAATAATTTTGTTCTGGGTCAAAAGAAGTGCCAATTTTATCTGTTAGTATTTATTTAAAACTTGTTGTTTCCTTTATTGCCTGCACATAAAGTGTTCAAATACATATCAAGGAATCATACATTTGCAGATTAAAAGAACAAATCATGAAGCCGAATGATGTAATTTATGGTCAGTAAATCTAAATTTTCCAAGACTCAGTTTAAGTGAAGGAAAGGAAAGCAGTTTGTCTATTCAATTTACAAATAAAAATATCAATAAATGTACCTAACCTAATAAAACTCATATAATCTGAGTGAAATCGATATTAATAAGCTAACGTGATGAACTAGTTTTGGCCAGACGAAACGTTTAAATCCGAAGTAAAGACCTATAGCCTCCTTGGTAACCGAATTCAACTACGAACCTAAACATTGGAAAAGATGAATAGCAATCAAAAACATCGATGTAAAAATGCAGTCTATTCCAGAGGCCCTGTGCTGTTGAAAAGCGCCATGCTACTGACCATTAAAATCCTCTTTCTATTCAGTCAAGTTATCTTAAAAAGTGAATGCTTTTGAGAGCAGATAGCTAACACATATAATGATACGAATCGAACATATCAGTTTTCATGGATTAACATATGTGAAGAGAGACCAACTGGGCAAGGAAAATGGGACTAGGAAACGTATGAGAATAGTTTACTTAACTTTTTCACTAAATTTATATTTCTTGAACTTATGATTAACCTGATAGAGTCTCACGTACTTTTGATAAGTACTCAAAGTTTTGAAATACAGATTAAGCACTGATATTTAGATTTTACGACCTTAAATTATATTACATCAATAAAATTATGCTCTAATTAGCGAAATATCTATAATAAAAGTATGCTCAGTAAATCCATGATATGATTTCATCAATAAAACATGATATAATTTATTGATACTCAATTTTGAAAATAAACATTATTTTAACGTTAATTTTTATTCCCAGACAAACATCCAATGAAAAACAACGTATCGTTATTGGCTTTCTATATTTTTGATACCGAGTTTACTTTGATCTCATGGAAATACATTTATGTTAAATTTACTTACATTTCCAGTAACAGTACCGCCAAAACCACCGACCAAAACCTTTACCTCATCTCCACTTAGATCTGTCTCAACAGCATAATACTGATGACACGTTGAAAACACGGTTTTGACGATGCACAGATGCAAAAGATTAATCAAAATCACCATTTCATTCCGAAAACACATAGTTTATTCGAGTTTGTGAGAACATCTTTTTGTGATTGTGAAACATTAAAACAAACAATATCCAAAATCGTTTTCACGAGCTATTATTAACCACTCGATTTCCTTACGCTGGATTCTTGTTATTTCGGTACGGTTCCATGTGTTAGGTGGAGTCTAATCGATAGTAGTCTAGCCACTCAAATGCACTAATGCCAGTCAGTCGGCAGAGGTTTGTGAGTTTGTATGTCCCGTGATTTGAAAGAAAACCTTTGTTTCAGGGCAGTAGGGTTTCTGGATACCAGCAACTATCACACTGCCAGACTGCAGATTAGTTAGTGGCAATTTGGAGAATAATAATGAGAAAATTTTAATGCTAGGAAGAGTAAGATTTATTTTTCAACACTATCACCGATTGCGTTGCCCGTCTCTGCACTCGATCCAACAGATTAATGTCTCTTTTAAAGAGAGGGGGTGCGACGACGTTGTCAACCTCAATGTGTGGGTGTGCATATTTCGGCTGATCTAAACTCAAACCGTTATTCTCTGCCCATTCCCCAATGAATGTAAGGTCCTATTGAAGCTCAGTCGAATCCTCTTCTCTTCTAATACACTTCCAGATCTTTTCATCGTCTGCGTAGATCAGTGCTGGTGAGCTAACTGTGTCTAACAGGTCACATATCGGAGAACAGAAGGCTTCTGTGCATGGTTTCAGTGCCCCAACTAACCTATGTTTCCGTGAGTGTGGTGTGCCTGAGATACATCATTCGGTACAGCATTCTGGATGATGTCGTTCGCTGTTTGCCAGTGATCATCTATTGTTGGCCTGCATCAGTCCTATAGCCATGAGGGGTCTAGAAGAGGTTCACCCATGCGCGCGTATTTCGCTCTAGTGTAGCAAAGATAGTTCTGGTTTTCTTCCTTCTTGAGTGTTTCGTTTATGACCATGTTGAAAAAGTCTGTGTCATGGTCACTACTTCCTACTGGTGTATGGACGCAAACATCCTCGACCAGAAGCTCATCATTTGTTAACAAATAATCCAGGTTTGAGGATTTTCTCCTCTTCATCCATCTAGTGGCGCTGCATACATGCTCAGTAAGCCCGGAGCTTCTAATGGCTTCTCCAAGTTGTCTTTGGAACTAACCAGTGGGAGTTGTACCCTGATTGCTGAGATCTAGAGATGTGATGTTGAAATCTCCAGCTAAGAGTATTTGATCAAACCCAAGCAGTGGCAACTGCAGTATTGCCTCAGTAAGTTTATCTTTCTGGGTCTTAGTTCCTGAGGAGCTCGTTAAATCCCTCCAATAAAGTACTTCGTGCCGTGTAGTCCTTCGACTTTTAAATGGCTGTTAATGTATATCGTCACTCTGCCTTCCGTCTGGTGTACGCTATCGCTTCGGAATAATGTCACGACTTCGATGTCTGTAAATAATATCGAAGAAAGTCATGTTTCAGTTATGATTATGATCCTCAGATCCATCTGAGAGCACGTATCCCCGATTTCTAACAGCTTAGCGCTTAGTCCTCTTACGTTGCTATAGAGGCATTTGGTGGTCTGTCTCATCACCTGGTGCACCTCTTAAACAACAGCTGTTGCCGGATTTCTACAATAGTTATTCAGACCGAGTTGGCCGGTTTTGTGTGAGCTGGCCTCTGAAGGTATTTTGCCTGCGCAGTGCATTCATTCATACTGTTATCTTCGTATCTTGTGCCGAGGATTGATGATGGGAGCCAACCGTCATTTTCGTGCCAATATTTTGTCCTCCCTGTTGTTGTCTCACAGATCTAAGTTAGTTCTAGAGAGATCGTTCGACATGCAGTACGCTGCGTCTCAGTTGGGTCTTCCCGATATCTGAAGTCCACAGCTATCGGATGTGGTGACATAATGGTCGAGAGATGTGACGGACAAGGCAGTCGGGCAATGATAATTTCCAGGGTGGTGTGAAGGCTGAGGCCACGTGATGGCAATCACCACTGTTGCACGTCATGTGCGTGAGCTTCATGCAAGTTACTACCAACCAGTTCCAGCACTCCATGAACTACCAAACAGGTTTGCTATTGGGTGCACGGTGATGTCCTGGCTGCTGCTCATACAGACCACCGTTAGTCGTGCCTGTTTCGGATCGGGTAGGACAATTTAACCGAGGGTCACTGGAGAATAAGGGAGATGTCTTCGGCAGGCTGTATCGGGTCTAAAGTTAAACTCATTGGAGGTGGTTTACCTTTCGCGAAGTTCTGGCCTTTGAAAAGACGGTATATTTTGGCCAGGGTATGGCACATTCCTGGGACTGTGTAGTACTTTTCCCATTGTTCTTTATCAAAAGCTGTCCTACCTGCTAGTGAAGTAACCCAGGAAACTAAAACATTAAAAACATTAGTAAATTTAGTCTAACGTCCCTATCACTGATTGGTAACATTTTGCGAGTTGTAGTGTTGCCGTTTCCCTTCTTTACACTCACCCACTGTTCCTTATTGTTAACAGATACGCGTTGGGAATTGTGGGTTGATTTTCTGTGGGGCTTGTGGCTTCACTAATGCCAACGTTTTCGTTACCTCAGTTATTCGGTATCGTGTACAGATATACCAGAATCACGGACAGGAGTGACTCAGCATGAACTTGTAGTACTCTATTGGTACTGTAGTTTCGCAGTAAAAATGGACCCATGTGCTGCAGAAATCGCGATCAAAAGCAGAGTCACTGTTTTTTACTGGCATTGAGCAGGTGACACAGTTATCCTTCTGCGATTTCTGAACGATGGACTGTGTCGACTGAGCATTAGGGCGCCTCTTTCTCCTATTTTGATTTTGCCTACCGGTCTTTCTAGGAGTAAGAATCTGAAGATTGTCGTCTTGATTTTTATGTTGGAGACCTAGAGTAGGTGATGGGATTGAATGATCCGAATCGTGAACATTGCTCCGAGATGCGCTATCAAGTGATATTTTGAGCTTTTGACAACTCTGTCGTTCAATACTGGGATTTTCGACCCACTACGACTCCCGTAATTCATACATCTGCTGGTTTTCCTAGTTGTTATAGTGTAGGAAGTAGTAGCAACCTTATTACCTAACATGATACCTGAGAGATTTTAGAGATGAAAAACGAGATAATTGAAAGAGGAAAATACGCAAGACAGGAATTTGGGAACGATGAAATCAGTAATATATGAGTATAACTACGAAAGAATAGAAGCTGAAAGTACCCCAAAATTTCAACTTTACATTTGTCCGTCCTAGTGAGAAACTTCGTGGGAATCCAGTAACTTTTTCACAAGTCCTGTGTTTGCGAGTGAATGAATGTTTGTAAGCTGCCGAAGCAACTAGGAAGAGAGCAGTTGACCGAGACAGCTAGACCTACCGCACAGTGGATCTAACTTGGAATGATTCCGTTTGTTCGAGTTTATACTCAAATTGTCAACCAATGAATGAAGACAACTTTTATATCTTCTGGAGTGATTAAATATCCTAATATGGTTTCCAAAACTGGGTTGTAAAAGGTCAACGAGGTCATGTCGACTTCAAGGCGCGCGCTTTCAATTTATTTAATCGCGATCATTTAACTTATAGTACTTTTGACCGTTTATCCGAGTTTTGGGAGAAATTGTTCCTGTGAAGTGAGTTAGTACTTCGGTCGGAAATCTGGAACTCCAATACTTTTTAATAATCAAACCTACTGAAGATTATTTGTATGGAAAAGAAAAGTGTTGATACTATTCCTCTATATTCTGTATGTGCTACAGTGTGTCTTCGCTCTCTTGAACAAAGTTTGTATGCAGTTGATTTTGTGGGTTCTTTGTTTGTTGCCACCGTAGTCGGGAACTACGTCTGTGTAGGTTGGCTTCCGAAATACTTGAGTTTCCTGTTTTCTTGTGTGAGTTCTGTTGATTAGTACAACCAGGAATGATAAACTGTTGTTTGATTCCTTTTACAACGTGAATTTGATGTATTCGAAGACGTTTTTGATCTGATTGTGGATGTTCTCCAGCTCATTTGTTTTGATAATGACGAATGTGTCGTCTACATAGCGAACCCACAACTTGGTTTGATCACTGTTAAAACTGACGTTTCTATTCTCCGCAATACAGCTTCCGCGAAGAGTCCTGATATTAGTGATGCCGTTGGCGTTCCTTCTGCTTGTTCGTAGACTCTGTTTTTATATTGGAAATATGTTGTTAAGCATAGATCGATGAATTCTACCTGAGCTACAAATTTGCTCCACCATCTAAAATTCATATGAGCGTGGCACACTTCAAGTTGTTCGAAAATAGTTAGTAATGTCTCAACTGCAATAAAAATCTTTTAAGGTCAACAAAAGCAAATCATTAAACATTAACAAGTCACAGTGTAGTGAAGGAGAACACAGGTGAGGGCAACCAAATAGTATTTAACGAAAATTACAGAGTTCCTCAGTAAAATAGGGAAACTATATCGTAACCATTAATTTGCAAATCTTCAATCCATCATCAATCCATTGTCTGACATTTCACTATTCATGCGTTTTATACAAATTCCATTGTGTTCCCAATCTTCCTTTCTTGATCTTCCCCCATCTTCTGCTGCCAGAAATTACGTTTACACTCGCGTCATATACTACTTATAAGTAGCGCGCACCACAACAGCAATTATTGAGAAAACGTAAAACGGTTTGCGTCAATCAAGGAACAAACCCCTAGCACAAGAGTTACAAATAACATCGATTAAGTCACTTGAATGTGGGTTGTTAAATGCTCTGAGCAACAAGCTAACCTGAAAGATAGGAAGCCAGATATTTATCACATAAGTTTAGATTCAGTCATTTGAATCAGATGGAGTCAATAAAAATGACCGTGTTCTTTGAAAGTAATCGAAATTGACAGTGACTGGAAAGGAAACAGTAAAACCGAACACGGAACCCAAATGATATCCGAGATTTGATCATGCTTCAGAAATCGTAAAAATATGGTGCTAATGATTTCGATTCAACCTACGAAGAAATGAAACCTCTATAGGCTCAATTAATTTCATAGATGTAAAACAGTTCGACTCATATATAAAAGTAAACTCCCATTGCGAAATTCTACACATATTTGTAATTTGTAACCACTCAGTATGCAACGAGTTAAGAGCTCACATATATCTAGGATATCCAACAACTTATGCATTTATAACGGATTTCTGGCTTCTGTAAATTAAGCAGTACCCGTTAGCTTTTTCTCGGTTTCGTTTGAGCATCGGTAACCTAACGTTTTGAAGATTCATCTACTTATCTTTTCCATGATCTAAATGGTTATAACTAACGGACATATTTGTGCCAACTAACTAAGTATTTTCTTAGACATCAACGTCAAAAAGTAAAATCAATAATAAAGCCTATGCAAGATTTTTTGAATATGAATCTTTCAAGAATACAAATAGGTAAATAAAGTGATGAAGAAAAGAAAGATTTCCTTTACACACATATTTATTGTAGACATATAGGGGTGAGTCAAAGGACTATGGAAAGGTCTCTATACAAACGAAGTTCGGGTCCCATACATTATTACAGATCTTTTATAGGAAGGAATAAAACGGTACAGAAGAGATGAATTACGTGTATTTGCTGTTGAATCCGTGGTATCGAAGTGTTATAATGCTGCTTAATATAGCTATTCAGTTCTAGCGGCGTCCAATTCAAATATCCCAATACGACCGAAAATGCTATTTCCAAATCTCCTATATATCAGAACGCAACACCGTGGGATGGAGTTGTTTATTGGGTCGAGTACAGAAGAGAGGTAGGCAGGAAGAAACGGAATCGGAATCGGATTCATGGAGTCTTACAGATAGTGCGTATTTATACATTAAGTTCGAATAGGAAAGAGCATCAAGGTGTGACATTGACAGTTTAGGATGACCAATAGGAAAGAACATTTGAAATGACATTGACAGTCCGGAAGACCAATAAGAGACAACATTGAAGTATTTGACTTTGACATTTAAAACGACCATAATTTTGACCAATAGAAATCGACCAATAGGATTATACTTCCAAAAATAGTACTCTTAGGATATTTGGTGAATATCCCAACACGAAGAATTTACCAAACACGCCAGCGAATAAGCAAGAGTAAAGAGCATCAAAATGTGATGATAAGTAATGCTGGTACTGCTATGAGGAACCAAATGAAAATAGATAAAATTGTATTGATGTTAATATAATAGTCCATTCAACCAGTTAGTAACAATTTAGAACTTCCTACCTACACAAGTTCAATTTTCCATAACACATTAACTCAGAGATGCATTGCCATTTCAAATTCCGTAAACGTAGACATAATAAAAGTATAAGCAGTAATCGAGAAGAATAGGGTTCAAAGATATGATTCAAGAAGTATAATTCAGTGAAACAAATTAAGAAAGAGAAAAACAAAGGTGATGAGGAATTCAGAAGGTTAGAATTTCAGAAAACACAAATAGTGTATGCCATTGCACCAGTAAACAGTAACACTCCTTGAAGAGTCATAAACTGTAGAGTTTCTGTTTCAGATAGTTTATTTGGCATACGGTCGCAGCATTGCAAGGTGCAGAACCTTTTCTGAAGTCTGAAAACATCGTTATAATTACTTAATCTATTAACAGGAATTTTTACTGTTGCAGAGTTAATGTCTGAAGCTTCCAATTAAGGCATATTACGTAAAAGATCTGTTTCTAAGACTCAAAAATAGGCAACACTAAGTTGTGTTTTTACAACGAGACTTGTGGTATGGCCACCAGATATTGCAGGAAACATTGCATTTTCTCAAACCCCAGTCCTGTTAGTGCAGTTTCATTTTTCTGATTGTAGATTATGCCTGATCACAAACAAATACAGTCAGTTTGTTAGGCTTTTATTAAAATAGATATAGAACTTATATTACTCAGATAAGGCTAATGATGCTACTGTAACTTGTGCTTTAAATGGATTCGTACCACCTTTAGAAAAAACTCAGGGCTCAGAAATATTTCCAGTTATTGATAGGCTTTTAAGCTAAAGGAAACTTTTAAATGCTGATATAAATCACAGGAACCTTACAGTTCAGTAAATTTGCCTGATAAAGTTCAAGGTTTGTACATCAAAAATGCTTCACATCTATGACTACCACTTACCTTGAACTTCACCGCGCACCTGTCTTTCAAAATAATGAATGGGGATAGTGTTAGCAAAAGGTTGGTTGTTTTCTTACCGCTAATAATCTGTACTTTATTTAGATTGCAAAAGGAATTAATGGAGTTGCTGGTAAGTATTTTAGCTATTGGTTCTAAGTTATACGTAATTTTTACTATCTTTTAGTTTCATATGAAAATTCAAACTATTTTTGCCGTTGACTTTGAGTGAATTGAACCCAATTAGTGCTAATTAATACGCATACAAGTCTTTTCCGTTTCAAATGTTTGCTAAAATGACTAAACAACATCACAAGACATGCTTTGTGATTGTACAATAGGATCACCTGATCCATCTTTTCGGTTAATCGCAGACCGAAACTCCACTTATGATTGCACTGGTATATGCTCTTGATTTTTTGTTTGATTAAGTCTAAAGCAATACAGTCTTCGATAAGTTGATGTCGGTTAGTTTCTAATGGCTGCAAACCAGGTAATCGACCAAAATCACAATCCTTAGTCGAAATCCTTCTGGTAACCGAGACTAAGATTTAGAGACAAAACAAGTGAATTAGTGTATAATAAAATCTGATGTTTAGTAGAAAGACACTAGAAATTGCGGGTTCTAGGGATTTAAATAGCGCTCATTAATATCATGTCCGGTAGCAAGCAACACTAGTTTTTATAACCTCTGTACCGTGTCTATTATTTCATTGCAAAAACCCGTTTTGTTTCCAGCTGTTGGTGTTTTAATGATTTCTCACAAAGCGGGATTTTTTTCAGTCGGTAATCATCAACATTGGTTTGATTACATCCAAATAGTCTGTAGTGAAGCAGTAGAGTTTATGCTAAGTCGTATGCTCATGTATCAGACTTTCATTCTGTCGCGCAACTAACCTTAGCGATGAAGGCTGTAGGGTGTTCACAAACGCATTCTCTGTAGCCATACGTAAGTTCTCAAATTTATCTTCAAAACTATCTAGCCTTAGAGGTAGTAGCGTTACTCCTCTGCCTTAAACCGATGTAAACGAATTGTACTTTGAGTCTGGGGTTAGACATGTGAAATCCGATTAACTTAACCACCAAGTCTCTATGAATTTTCAACCATTCAAAAGCCCATTAACAGCGCAACAATTAGGTTTGTGCAACCGTTGCCTGCCGGAGTCCTGGACTCCGCTAGTCGGTCCACAGGTGTTCAGTAGCATGGCCAGGTAGCATATGTTACTGATGGGAATTCGCTCAGATTTTATCTACTGAGTTCGAAGTCTTGATCTCATTATCATCTTGAGGCTGGATGTAGGGAAGATATCTCAAGGAAACCTCTTAGGGTTTTACTTAATTATAACAATGCTAAGAATATATATCAGGAGAAACTAGAAAAACAGTAAGGCAGCTATTTAGTAAGTGATATCCATCCCGAGACAGCCTGGGATAATATCCGAAAAGCTGTAGAAATAGCAGTGATATCTGCTATAAATGTAAACCACAAGGTTGGGAAGAAGCGATGGACTTCAGTATCATCTGCTAAACTGATGGTTGCTCGAAAACTCATCCCGTCTGTCTCTGAGTACGATAAGGAGCAGAGTCAGCTTAGGCTCAGGCTGATAAAAAGTCTAACGAATAATCGCGAATACTGGTGGGTAGCGAAAACGAGAGAGATGAGAAAGGCAGTGATGATAGGTAACACAAGACAACAACTGTTCAGACTTGACAAGAAAACCGTTAATAGGAATTCATCTGTTAGTGAGAATATCACTGTAAAGGATGATCCTATCATTCATTCTCAATGGGCAGAATACTTTAGGGATCAGTTCAACTGGCCTTCGGCCACACTTTGGTCGCCCACGATCTCCAGTCATCCTGAATGGCGAATCGATATAAGCCTTTATGAAGTAGCCCGACCGTAGCTGCTACCTTGACCTGGTGGTCGGGATTGCCTATCGTGATGACCCAGCCGAGCTATACTGGCTGAAACATATGTTTCTGTAGGTTCTACCATGCCAGGCAGGTCGATTGGAGAACGATAAGATTAAAAGCAGCTACTCAAGGTCTGAGGGCGAAGTCGTACTGCTGACTGACTGTAGAGGGGTGTGACAGCAGTAAGGTGTTTCCCTCGGACAACCAGCATCTGCAGCGATGCTGCCTTCTCACAAGGAAGGAAGGGTTAGAAAAGGTCGACCGTAAAAATGTCACACCTCACCCTACCTCATGGATTTCCGTCTCGTTGGGTGAGGGTGCCAACTAAGGGCTGTAAAAGAGCGGAGCTAATCCTCAAAAAACGTTTCATAAAAAGGCCGCGTGTGACTGGCCTCAAGCAGCTGTCCCTTGGACTCTACAGTCACGCTCCCAGGTCTCCAAGACCAACACTAATCTATCTTCCTTTTCAGGTCCTCAAGAAACAACCTTCCACGGTGTGGGCAGCCGGAAAGTGATAACCGCCCTCATACCCTTTCCAGCACACGAGACCAAATTGATCAAAATCAAATCCTTCCTACACCCCCTATACCTCTCATATCCCCACGACTAACTCTTCTCACATTCCTTTATCACACTACACTGCTAATGCAAACGATGCGAGTTCACGAAACGTCATTCCTGGTCTCCTTAAACCCCGGTCTAAATAACATGTTGGAGCTTTTAATGTACGGACATTATATCAAATAGAGCAACAGGCTTCGTTAGCTAGGACTTTAGAATCTCGCTCAATCGATGTATGCTGCGTTTCTGAAACGCGCTTACAGGATCCTAGTAAAGTCATTAATCTGATTTCACCTTGTCAAAACAAAGAAGCAGCCCGATTTACTCTTCGTGTATCCAGTAGCCCTGATGCTGCTTCCCGGGGTCTCATTGATGTAGGTATAGCACTGAGTCGTAGGGCAGAACAATCTCTCCTTGACTGGATCCCTGTAGATAGTCGTATGTGCGCCGTCCGACGAAACGGGACAGTAAGGACTCGGAAAGATAGGGAAACCCGTCGTTGCCTCTTCGTCGTATCTGCCTATGCCCCTACTGACTGCAGTTCAGACGAGGTGAAAGATGAGATCTACAGAAAGCTTTTGGACCTCCTCCTAAAAGATAGGCGCTCTGATATAGTAATAATGGCTGGTGACTGTAATGCTCAGGTAGGTAGACTAAGCGAGACTGAAAGACACCTAGGTGGATGTTATGGTGTCGCGGCTCAAAGAACGGACAATGGCGACCGTCTGCAGCAACTACGTTTAGATAACCGCCTATTTCTAGCAAACAGTAACTGTAGGCATAAGGGAAAGTATCTTGTGACTTGGCGACCCAACTAGATCATATTCTAATCCAGAAGCAGGTTGGTATGATATCAAAAAGGCTGTGGAAACAGCAGTGATATCTGCTAGTAAGGTAAACCATAAGGCTAGGATGAAGCCGTGGATATCAGTCGCATCTACCGAACTGATGGATGCTCGAAAACGCATCCTACCTGACTCTGAGCATGATGAAGAGCGTAGTCAGCTTAGGCGCAGACTTATAAAAAGTCTACGTAACGACCGCGAACAGTGGTGGGTGGCGGAAGCAAACGTGATGGAAAAGGCAGCGGCGATCGGCAACAGTAGACAACTTTTCCGACTTATCAAGGAAACTGGTATTAGGAATCCTACTGTGAGTGAGACTATCTCGGAAAAGGATGGTCTTATTATCCATTCTCAATCCAGGAGACTGGATCGATGGGCAGAACACTTTAGGGATCAGTTCAACTGGCCACGAGCCACTCTTCGGTTACCCACGATCTCCAGTCATCCTGAATGGCAAATCGACCTAAGTCCCCCTACTCTTAATGACGCTGAGAAAGCGTTAGGAAATCTGAAACGAGGACGAGCTGCAGGTCCTGATAGACTGACCCCTGAGATATTTAAGGATGGTGGTCCAGCTTTATCAGCTAGGTTGACTGAGATCTTAAGTAGAATCTGGGAACTGGACGCAATCCCATCCGACTGGTCTCAATCACTGATTGTCCCAATTTATAAGAAAGGACAGAAGTCTTCTTGTGACAATCACAGGGAAATAAGTCTAACTAATATAGTATCTAAAATATTGGCCTCAATAATACTTCGGCGCTTAACGAAAGCTCGTGAAGTGCAGACTCGAGAAAACCAGACTGGTTTTCGACCTGGACGTGGCTGTATAGACCACGTCTTCACACTCATACAGGTCCTGGAACATAGACACATATTTAGGCGTCCTACAATAGTTGTTTTCCTGGACCTTAAGGCGGCATTAACCTTATACAAGCTTTCTACTCGAACACCACTGGTCGAGTGAGAGCTTATGGCGAACTGTCACCGGAATTCTCTACATCAAGTGGTGATACATAGTCAATGGTAAGTTTGTGTTACAAATTTGTGACGGAAGTTCGGGAAAATATGCAGCTTACAGTCTTAAAATGTAAAAAATAGTCAGTTCGTGATCTGTCAAAATCTTTCAACGTAAGTATAAAGTCCTCGAAGGCCTTCCACTTGTGTGGTTCAGTTGATGTAATTATTGTATTTTATTTGTCTATTTTTCGTTCCTTCACATATCTTTATTGATATATATGTCTAATTTTTAAGATAACTCGTGCTGGCTTGTCAGTAAAAAAATAGCTGAGTGAATTTGAAATTTTTTGTGTATAAATGCCTTACAGACTAAAAAGATATCCTATTACTCTTGCCTAACGTTAATTTTAACTTAATTACTTATCACAGATGTCCAAAGATAAAAGCGTCACAGCATTCCCAGATGGTGAAAATCTCACTCGTTGGTTGGCATCTATTCGTGGTCCTGATGGAACAGTAAGTATATGTTTTTATATCCGTCTCGTCTATCGATGCCATTGTCTAACTAATTCTCATTCGCTTCAAATCGTCGATATCTTACTAATTTTCTTGTCTCTTGAAGGTATACGAAGGTCAGCAATACAAACTTTCACTTGAGTTTGGCCCTAACTATCCCTATACTCCTCCAAATGTGCGTTTTGTTTCTAAGTGTTATCATCCTAACGTCGATACTCGTGGAGTAATATGTTTGGATATTTTAAAAGAAATGTGGTCCCCACTACTGACTGTGGAAAATTTGCTTCTGTCTATCCGAAGTTTGTTAGCAGGTTAGTGTTTTAACAGATAATTTGTGGTTGTTAATCCTGTTGATAACCGCTTGTGCGAAGGACAACACAACTGTAGAATATATATATATATATATATATATATATATATATATATATATAGTGCTTTACATCAGCTCAGATGTTTTAAAGTTGTTGCTACTGACAAATTAGGGTTCATGGTAATGGTGAGGCTCTACACATATATATCCCGTTCATTTAGTTTAACTAGTAAGTGTGTAAACTAAATCCAAGAAAATTCTATCCCTTGGCATGATTTTTAAAAGCCGACAACCATTATAAACTAAACAATAATGACATTGGTTGCTACTCAGTAATCAGCGTGAATATATATCAATCCTACAGTAGGTTCATCGCCACTCAAAGGACTCTGGTTAGTACCTCAGAATGACGTGGGCTCAAAACACATGAGTATCAAGTTTTTTATGACTACAAGTACGCTTTGTCAGCATGTACCAGCTGATGTGAAATGTGGTTGCGAGGTTCTTTGTCAATCACCGATTACCTAACATCAAAACAGTGCACGTAAAGTTAAATAACCCAAACTACTGGCCAACTTCATGCTAACTATTACTTAGTAATCAATCATTGACAAGGATTTTAATAATGAATGCTTGTAATAATCCTTATCGTTTTTACAGAACCCAATAATGACAGTCCTTTGAATGGCCAAGCAGCCCAACTTTGGTCTAATCCTTCTGCATTTCGTACTGAAATGATGAAATTTCAAGCATCATCGTCTAATAGCTAATCTGTGTAAATATTTCAATTTCTGGCTTTTATGTACAGTGAAACTTTCTTCTTAACACTTTTCAGACTTTTATACTATCCAGTCTCTCTACCTCTTTATTTTCTAGTTTCTGTATTCTACCTAAATGCATGTACTTATTCAAATTCAAGACATACTTAAAAGACGCGTACACATGTTATATATATATATATATATATATATATACTTATATATACAAAATAAAATGTTCTGGAAAACGTTGTACTAGTTTTTTCAACTAGTTGCAGTGGTCAACAAACTATTTCCAGATGAAGTAGTTTGATTTGCTGTATTGTAAATTTGATTTATCGTATTCATAAGTCGTTGATATTGACGTTTATCCGATCTTGAAAGACACGATGCAAGTCCTGCTAGCTGGGCTCGTGAATATTTAGTTCCAAAGTTATTTAACCAATGTTCCCATTCGTGTACAGGTATATAGAATGCTTGGATATATTCGATTAAATAGTCCAGTTTAGGAAATGTCCTAGAACGAAAATGTCAACGGTGAATTACTTAGAGTATGTTGCAACGATAAGCAGAAATAAGGTAAGGCAGAACACTTGAAAAAACAAAGTTGAAAATAATAACAACCGAACAAAATCCCCTTCTGAAGAACCATAGAAGTTCGACAACCAAGATATCGAGTTCAGAGAACGAAATACCACCATAATCATCCACTCAAGCTACAAGTATTCTCCACAATCTCGATCTAACCCATTATTTAGTAAGTTCAGCAAAAGTTAAATATACGGTAGCATCTCCCCAAGTGAGAATTTACGCAACGAAAGTCATTCTAACAAGCCTTGTATTTCGAAACTTCGCGAACAGTCATGAGGATAACATTAGTATGTTAGCTATTAGTTAGTTAGCTATTATATCCGTTCGCTGAAAAAAGAACGGGTGTACCGCGCAGCAGTTCGCTCCGTTCTCCTATTTGGATGCGAAACATGGACGTTGAGAGTAGAAGATGATCGTAGGTCACTATTATTCGATCATAGATGTCTTAGAAGCATTGCTCATATATCGTGGGACAACCGAGCAAGCAATGCTGTCGTTAGGAGACGAGTACTAGATAAGGATGGAAGATCAATAGATGAAGTGGTGAAAGTTCATCAGTTGAGGTGGTTGGGGCATGTGTTACGAATGCCTAACCACCGACTGCCTCATAGAGCTATGTTTTGTGGTGTAGGAGTAGGTTGGAAGAAAGTTATGGGCGGCCAAACCAAAACATGCAAGAAATCCATGAAGTCACTGACAAGTGGACTGAGTCATGTTGGTAGGTGTAGACTACCTGGTTGGCGTCCGCGAGATGTTAGTAATCGATGGTGAATGAGAAGATAAGGGTTCCAAGATATTGAAGAAGTATAATTGAGATAGGTTTAGAGAGACAAAGGTAGAGGTTTTGACGAATCCAGAAGATTAGGGTTTGGGAGAACACAGAGTAGATGCACATGCACCGTTGCAAACGATTTTGAGACACGTCATTCAAGGTCTCTAACCATTGGTGACTTTCGTCTCGCGGACCCTAACCAGGTAGCCTACATCCACCAACATGACTCAGTCCACTTGTCAGTGACTTAATGGATTTCTGCCATGTTTTGATCTGGCCGCCCCTAACTTTCTTCCAACCTACTCCTACACCACAAAACATAGCTCTATGAGGCAGTCGGTGGTTAGGCATTCGTAACACATGCCCCAACCACCTCAACTGATGAACTTTCACCACTTCATCTATTGATCTTCCATCTTTATCTAGTACTCGTTTCCTAACGACAGCATTGCTTGCTCGGTTGTCCCACGATATATGATCGAATAATAGTAACCTACGATCATCTTCTACTCTTAACGTCCATGTTTCGCATCCAAATAGGAGAACCGAGCGAACTGCTGCATAGTACACTCGTTGTTTGGTTGGCGAACGGATATCGCGCCTGCGCCATAAGTGACGCAGGTTGGCAAAAGCCAATCGAGCCTTCTGTATCCGAGCTGAGATTTCGTCAGTCACCAGGCTATCAGCGCTGACGACACTCCCCAGATAAGTGAAGCGGTCTACACGTTCGACTACTTCACTCCCTATCACTAATTCAGGTGCCCATAAAACCCAGTCTTGACCGATGGGCAACAACATTTAAGTATGTGACATTGATAAATAGGATTACCATAATATTGACCAGTAGGAATTTATCAGTAGAATAAGACTTATAAAAATAATTCTCTAACACTACCCTCTGGAAGAATGGAAAGCGACTCAGCCGAGGGTTTACTTGAAATTACTGTGATTCTCTTCGTTTGCTTTTCGACTACTTTCGATGTAACAACCCTCAAGCTGAAGGATGTTCTGTTTCAGTAGATGACTCAATAGTCCCTGTTGTAGGTATTGGCGGAAGTTGAAAAGTATCCAAGAGCAAACAGAGTCGGAGGCGCTTCGTACTTTCACATTTCTCTTTGTCTCACTTTGTCCTCAGTTGATTAAGAGGTCTTTCGGCATTTAAAAAGCTATTCATGATATCCTTATCATTATCTAGCGACACTTCGATGCAAGATTTACAAGAAAGAATGAAGTCACGTAGATATCTTTATCTATCTATTGTATCCTCTCTTCTGCATCATCCCAGTCTGCTTCATATTGTGACAAATGTTTATCTTGCGACTTGGCATGCTTTGTGATGTCACACAAATCACCTGAGATAACATTTTCTTCAAGCGTAGCAACTGACTGCAAACTGAGACCAGGGTGAAGAAGTTCAGTGAATCGTTTTTGAAGATATGCAGCATGCTATTGTGTGGTGGCAGGGGTTTGTACTTGGTTGCACATAGTGCTGATGCGAAGATCGGTGAGACCTAGGTTTTCGAACCAATCTAACCTTAGAAGATGGAAAGGCAACTTGGTGATGTAGCACATTCGATTGTAGCTTGTACCTCTGAACGAGACACAGCAATCGAGTTCACCATGTAGGCGGAGATGACCCCCACAGGCACTGACAACTGTCTGCGATGATTTGGTGGGTAGTTGACCCAGGCTTCGCCAAGTCTCATCCGAAAGAATAGTTGTATCTGACTCAGTATCCAACTGCAACCGAACTGGCTGACCATTGATTGAGAGGGTCAGAAATGTGCGTCGAGTAGAGGCGTCGCTGTGGGAGACTGCCGGTAAACTCCTTGAGGCGGCAGACGGCGTTTTGGGGAAACGACAATGCGTCTGTGAATTTCGCAGGCCAGTGAATCGGGTTGATTGGCGTAAACCGCTTTTGTGACCAACTTTCTGACAGCGATCGCACACATGCTGTTTGGATGGACAAAACTTCCTATAATGCCAAGCTCCACAGTACTAACATGGTGAGGAGGGCTTCTTATGAGCCGATTTGGAGTGATTAGAAACAGAAACAGCACTGGCGTTCGAAGGTCCAAGAGTATTCTTCTACTGTGCAACGTGAAATTCGGAAACACCCTGGCTCCCAGATTGAAACAAAGTGGTGTCATAATGCGAGTTGATAATGCGTTGGTACTCATAGGTGATCGCATTGAGTGTCAGTGTTGGGTCTTGTTCAAGGCAATTAAGCAACCGAGTTCTGATATCGGGGAATTCGGGTGATTGAGGACTGCATATGAATATGAGGGATTTGAATTGGTCATCAGTCAGGGATCTGAGTTTGAACCGTTCGCACTCATGGCCGACAATGCCGATATGGGTCAAGAAGTCGTCGGACTCATTCATGACCAGTTTTAAGCAGCGGTAGCGACTGTTGAAAAGAGAGTGCTGATCAACAAAAAAGTTGGCTGACAGACTGGACAGTAGCGTCGAAGAAACGGTCTCGTGGATTCTGCGATAGGATGAAGTTGCAATACTTGTCCAGCTCTGACGGACCACGTTTCCGAAAGAGAAGACGCACGTTCCAGGAATCATCTCTATCAGCAAGGTCAACTTTGAAGAGGTCTTCATAACGCCTGAACCAGGTATTAAATGTCATATTGGCGTCAGGATTATAAAGAAACTCTGAAATACTACTGTAATAGCATCGACTGACTGAGGGATTGTCGGTGTAGATGAGAAATGAGAAGAGATGTGTGCCTGTGCCATCTGCATCAGCTTCAGTTGTTGTGTAAACAATTTTTCTAATTTAGCTGGATTCATAGTTAATCACCAACTCGTTTGTCAAATCCCCGTCGCCAATTGTTATAATGCTGCTATGTTGCTATTTGAATCCCACCGATTGACCGAAATAAGATATTCCAGCACGACCTCAATTTCTGTTCCGAAATCTCCAATATATCAGAACACAACACCGTTGGATGAAGTTGTGTATGGGGTCGAGTACGGAAGGAATTATATGCTTTACAGATAATGCATATTTATACTGTTAGGTCGAATAGGAAACAACATTGAAGTATGTGACATTAATAGTTAGGACGATCAATAAGAAACATTTGAAGTGACATTGATAGTTAGGATTACCATAATATCGACCAGTAGGAATAGACCAATAGAATTAGACTTATAAAAATAATTCTCTTAGAATATTTGATAAATATCCTAACATGTTAAAATTGACGATGCAATTTTCCGAAGATTGTGTGCATTATTTGCCACACATAAGTTTTTATATTCGGCTCGAGTCAAGAGCTTACAACCCCATACAGTTAGACAACTGGAAGTATTTAGAGTGGGATTCAAATGTGCGAATCTACTGTTTCAGCCTGTAACCCAGAGCTCTGAAAAATCCATTAATATGTTGTTATTATTCCTATACAGTTTTTCATTCATATTGTGTTTCACCGGAAGTGTCTTCTTAGTGCATACATAAGATGTAAAAAGATCATCAAAGCATGCAATTCTGGAAAGCATGATTTTATAATATGATCACTAGGTTAGAATTCATATAAGTTCACGAGATTCGTAAAAAATCACCTTTTCTAGGTGAAATAATGTGTATTCATGAGTCATTATCTGTTCATGATGAGGAATAATCAGATTATTATGAAGCAATCGTCCACACAGACCACGGGAGATCAAAGTGCATCGGACAGATATGTTGCGCTCTAGTTTAAGGCTGTTGGTCAGCGTACAACTCCCTCAAAGACTAAACGCAAACACATTTGGGTATTTAGACATCGAGATTATCTATAGATCATTAAATTGTAACCGAATGATCTATATTTCCAAGTCTATCCATCTACCGATAGAGCGTAATTATCATTCAATGTCATCATTAGTGATAACAACTTCACTATTGATAATATGACTGAACTTTACCAGTCAAAACTGTTTACTGCTTTGAAGTTATTCAGTAAAAAGCTTTAAATTGTTATTTAGTTGGATGCATTGTGACAAGAGTTAATTCATTTGACGAGAAATAAACAAAATATTAAACTGGCTATTTTTGAATCAGTGATTTACTATAAGAAAGAATCGTTGAATTCTTAAATCATATCATAACCATTAATCTCAATGTTTTTAACATTACCGTATTTTACTAACGGATTGAGCGTATACGGCTAAAGTTTGTATATCTAACAACATTTGACCACGTCCTTCATCTGAGCACTGTTGTACACGACTTAAAGCTTCAAGTAATTGTAATGCTAGACAGGATAGTAATGTTTTCCAAATGACAATCATGAATACATGATCATGTAAATGAAATTTTTGTGATATATTTTCTAAAACTGATGACAAATGATGAAAAATATTGATATTGATATCATAAACATATGAATTTGGGGTGTTAGCCACTTCTTTAGTTGACCAATTCAATGCACAGATATGCATGGCTAATACATCAATTGAATTAGATAAGTTTGATGAAATAAGGTTGTTATGTATTGATAATGGAGATGGTGAGCTTGTATTATTATTATTATTTGAAACAGGTGATTCTTTATCCATAGTCTGTTGCTGTTGTTGTTGCTGCTGACTTGTATTGGATCCAATCGGCCATATCCTAATGAAACTTGAAGTAATCGATGTACTGTTGGTTGTTGTTGACTGTCTACAATTTTTTGCTGTCACATCATTCATTCTAAAGAGAGAAGGAATTTATTATAATTACAACAATCTGTATTCAAGTCTATGGTAAACTTGGCTAGTAAATAGTTCTCATTTGTTGTAGATGCTATGATTTGAGTGATCCCTAGTTAAAATGGATTGGTTTCATTTTTAATATATACGTCTGAATTCATTTTGAACGTATATATGACTAAATCCAACTAATTGGCTAGAACACTTGTTTCTTTAAGACGAGGAATGTAGGCTAGAGAACGGTATAGCTATAAAAAACCAATTCAAGATGAAAGAGTGAATTCCGACTGCTGACTGTTCTGATGTGTAAGGGCAGTAACGTGCTTTCCTTGTACGACCCAGTATCGCCAGTGACATTGCCTCCTCAAGACCGAAAATGTTGGTCCTAGAAATAGCATACTTTACAATACGGATTTCTGCCATTCCAGTTAAAGATAAAACACCTAGAACTTCTCTCGAAATGTCCATGTGTGACCATACTTCAGAAGTTTTCTCCTGGGCACTACTGTGGTGACGTTCCCGAGTTGCTAAGATCACTAGTATTCCAGTTTTATTCTTTGGTACTTAAAAAAAATAATCATTCCACGATGTGAGCGACGGAAACTTAACAATAGTCCGAACTCATCTTGTTCATGGTACACATATCTAATTCGCACACAAGTAACTTACTTAGTGATAATAATATTTAGCAAATGCGGTACTAATTCGTTTGCACATGGTTCGCGAATCTGTCTCGCTGCCACTAAAGATTGTTCACGGAATACAAGTACTAGACCACGTTTATTATCCGGTAGACATACAGTTAAGTGCGGAAGAAGAATCTGAAAGAATATCATCCAAAAGTTAATTACAATTGTTTTGGCTTTTATTTAACAATAAATTATTGGTATTGTGCAAAGTTCAGCTGTTTAAATTATGAACAACTAATAATGTCTATAATGCTAATCAATCAAATAACTGTTAATAATGCAATAATTTCATTCTTGTCGAAAAAAATGTACTTAAAAACTACATTAACTCTATTTTTGAGTAACTTGTTTAGTGAACTTATGTTTGTGTAATATGTACGCTATTGTACTTTGGACCAGTAATCTTATCGTTAGGAGCTCGTGTAACGAGATCGGTGCTTGGTAATGGGTCGTGGATATGCGCTATTGAAGTATCCTGCATTAAGATGAAGGAGCAGAACATTCTGCTTCCCATTTTTCAGTGATGTTGTAATTAAAGTCAATGCATTATGTGATCAATAGTGAACAATTATCAAAAACGGAAAAACGAGGAGTATAATATATACATTATTTCAGTCAACAATATCGAACTCTAAATATCACAACTTACCTCATGACCGTTCTCTATTAAAATCGATAATCAATGGAAAGAAAGATAGGGGTGATGAGGAATTCAGAAGATTAGAATTTCAGAGAACATAAAGAGTGGATTCACCTGCGCCACCGCAAACGGTTTTCAACCATGTTATTCAATGTCTTTAACCATCAGTTACCATCGTCTCGCGGACCACATCTACTAACATGACTCAGTCCATTTGTCAGTGACTTCACGGATTTATGCCATGTTTTGGTTTGACCGCCTCTAGCTTTCTTCCAAACTATTCCTACATCGCAAAGCATAGCTCGATGAGGTGGTTAGGCATTCGTAACACATGTCCCAACTGCCTAAACTAATGAAGTTTCAACACTTCATCTATTGATCTGTCACCCTTACCTAGTGTCCGTTTCCTGACGACAGCATTGCTTACTCGGTTGTCTCAGGATACACGAGCAGTGCTTCAAAGACACCTATGGTCGAAAACCAGTAACCTACGAATATCCTCTACTCTTGCTGGCCATGTTGTAGGACGGAGAGAACGGCTGCGCAGTAGATTTGTCCTTCGGTTAGCAAACGGATATCTCGCCTACGCCATAAGTGAAGCAGGTTGGCAAAAGCTAGTCAAGCCTTCTGTGTCTGTGTTGAGATTTGGTCAGACACCAGGCCATCAGCACTGATAAGACTCTCCATATCAGTGAAGCGGTCGACAAGCTCAACTGCTTCACTCCCTATCATTAGTTGAGGTGCCGGTGCATGCTAATCCTGAAGCAAAATTTAGCATTTTGACGGGGAGTATTGTTGCTTAGATTAGTCAGAAAACTGCATTTTGTCAGTGTCTTCACGAAATAGATCTATTAGAACGTCGATGAAAGTGTCGTATCTAAAGCTATATAAATTACAACTTTAAAAAAGAATGGACAAAGTGGACAGCCCTGACGAACATCAATTGGAGTAATCAATTTCGATGACAGTTCGCCATAAACTCTCACTCGACCAGTGGTGTTCGAGTAGAGAGCTTGTATAAGGTTAATGTACACTAGCATTGAAGTCAGCAGACACTGTTACTATCTGAGCGCTTAACCTTGTGAAGGTTAGGAAGGTTTCTGTAAAAATTATCTTTTAACTCATCTGATATGCAGTCAGTGGGAGCGCAGGCAGAGACAACGAAGGGACAACGGCGAGTGTCTCTATCTTTTCGAGTCCTTACTGTCCCGTTCAGTCGGACAGCGCACAAGCGACTGGAATCCAATCTAGGGGAGCTAGTTCTGCCCTACGACTCAATGCTATACCTACACCAGCGAGACCACGAGAAGCAGAATTGGGGCTTAGAGATACACAAAGAGTAAGTCGAGATGGTTCTTTATTCTGACATGGTGAGTTCAAATGAATGAGTGCACTTGGATCCTGTATGTGCGTTTAGGAGACACATCATAGATCAACGGCACGAGATTCTAAGGTAAGGAAGCCCACTGTCCTATTAGACACAAGGTTCAAACACTGTCAGGTCTAATATGTAGTTTAGAGCGAGGTTTCTGGAGAGCAGGCATTATGTTTCATGGACTTGAAACGTTTACATCAACGACGTGAGGTGACAAAGGAATAAAAGAAGGGCTGGTCGTGGAGATAAGGGAGTTATTAGGAAGTAAAAGGAGGATTATGAATTATTTGGTCTCGTGCACTGTTACGGGTATGAGAACGGATGTCACTACCCGGCTTCCCAAGCCGTGGAAGGGTTCATAGAAAAAAACAATTATCAAGATAAACTTACTGTTTCTAAAATATCTGCTAGAAAAATAACTGATTCTACTGCAACGACATAAATTTGTACTAACTGATGTTCACGTTCAGTATTATTATTACTATTATCTGCACTAATTGTTGAATTATTTTCAGTGGGATTCATTGTATTCAATAACTCAATAGGTCCATGCATAGGAAGGGAAAATCGATCCTATAGGAATGTAACAATGGAAAAGATATATACCCAAAAACGAATTGGATCATGGAATACATAGTAACATTTGTACTAAATAATATCTAAGAAATCTCCCTACTTTAAATTGCGAACTGATCTTAGTTAGGCCACCAATAAAAACGCGGAAGCACTTGATTGTTGTTTCGTTCCAGTATGCTTTCATGCATACTGTTAAGTAGTAGGACGAAAAAGCTGTCGAATATTTCTTAGTTTAGTTGTCTAGCTAAAACCATACGGTGATTTAAACTGTGAAATGCTACAAAGTACACAAACTAGTAAAATCAAAATATTTTAAGTGTTAAGAAAAAGATTATTCAGAGGTAAAATTGATCATTTTATTTTATAAATTACCTTAACCTAAAAGTATCAATTCATGTATCCAGCATTGAGTCACAATTTATTGTTTGTTTATATTTGAAAGCTTATGGTATAACCTTATTCCATAAACCAAAGAAGGGAATGCAAAGTCTACGATCACGGACACAATCTTAGATAAAATATACATATCAGTTTTAAAGGAGTTTGAAATAATTTTTTTTGTCCAGTTAGCATCCATACTCGCGGTGATACATGTTACAAGGATACTTATAGGCTGAAAATGCAGTTGTGCTGAAAAAAGGGATATATTCAGTAAAGGACTTTCGCTGAATTCAGCTCAAACTGTCAAAGACAAACATTTTCAAACTGAAATCAAATATCATCAAAAAGACATTTAAAAAAACTGTTACGTTCGTCACTACATATATTTGAAACTATAACGGGTTCACCTTAGTCGAAGAACTAGAACGAGACAATGAACCATCGTCCAGGTAGGCTATCCTGATCCAATGACTAACCAAAAAGTATATTCTACAAACATCCAGCAAGCACAATGAATTGAAGCACACAAATCGCGTTTATTTATACATCATAGAAACGTCCTTGAGATAGTTACAGAAATAGCACACTAAAATACACAGCAACCAATCACAGCTAAGGATTTTCCTAGTGGGAAATGAAGTCTCAAGGTCAACTGATCAGCGCATGCTCACAAACACGAATTCCAAAATTAAGGCATTTATCAAGCGAGATCTGGGGATCTAACGACCCCAACAAAAACCTCATAAAGTAAAAAAGGTTAGGAGAATGGAAAAGATTAAAAGATAGTAATAACTACTAGACTCCTTACAAATATAAATGCTACCTTTTAATTAATATGAAACATTTATTACTCAACCAACTAACCCCTGTTAAAATACTCTGACTATCAGTTGTTATTAAACGTTCATTGATACGTTTTATTGTAGTCCGTAAACGTTCTGGCAATTCAGATGAATTCGAAATCTAATAAAATAAGGAAAAAATGAACTAATCAAGCAGGTAAAATAAAGAACAATTAATCTTCTTAATCTGTCAACAATAAAATCTAATGAATTCTAATAATGAATATAAGAACAAAGTTAACCAGTGAAGTAAACAGTGTATGTATGTTTGTATCTACTAAGACTGAAAAAATTTCGGTCAAAAAATCATTGTGATAATTCAAACCATCACAAATTAAATTAGAGTTCACAAGCGTTGATCAGCAGCTAACAAGTTGATGTGTGGAATGAATAGTATTGAGTTTGAGTTCTGGAATGAAATTCCACTCAGCTGATGAATCTCCGGAGGAGTGAAACGAATGTACGCGATTCCACATATCACGTAACATCAGTTTTTGCATGAACATGATTCGATGTTATCCATCTGTCACTAATTTTATAATTATTTCAGATAACATTAAAAAGTGATGAAAATTGAAATTAAATTGAATAAGACCAACAACATCTGGTAAAAGAAACAACTAATTTTCATTATTCATCAACGTAAACTTACAACTAAAAAGTAACTTATGCTGATTGGTTCAAAAACAAGGTAGATAACCCAATAAGGTTCCCTTAACAGTAAATCAATAAACCTCTACTTCATTCACTAACAGCGTGGTTCATCAGTAGGTTACTCTTCCTATCAAATGTTAAACTTAAAATTTAACAATCAATCATATATGTCTAATCATCATAAAATAAGATTGCTTTCATTTTAAATCTTCGAGTTCAACAAATACAAATGAGGTTATTCTTAGCGTTTTCAATGTTCATTGAGTGTGTAACGTATTTAGAAAATCCTAAATAAATCTTTTTAGAATTTTCATTTTCAACTCAAGCTTTCATTATATATATATATATATATATATATATATATATATATATATATATATATATGCGTGTTTTTCATCTGGTACGTTGAGCTGTGTTACACTAGCTTGTTCACAACAGACAGCTGTAGGTAATTCTGAAAGGTTGACATGAAATTTTAGTGACTATACCGTAATATTCAGCAGTTCTTCACTAAATGAAATGAAGAACGACTTAAGTGCTGAATATAAAATATTAAATTGAAGATTGGAACCAGTGGGTGGATAACCTCGACAACAACAACTACAACCTCAAACGATCAATAAAGCTATCTACAATTTCCAGCAGCATGCACATAGATGAACAAGGCAATCAACACATTACCACTCACACAATGAAAAGAGAATGATGATATTAAATTAATACACTCACTTGAATAGGACCAAACAGATTAAGAATCTAGAAATAAGATTAAATTTTGCAAAAAATTACATAAATATATATTTTCATGGAAACATTGAATTTATACAAATATACACAGTTTGTATTATATTCTATTTTAAAAATTTAATTTTATCGTGATTCATTTCAGTGGTTCCCACTCGTAACATAGATTTATAGCTAGAATTCAGACGTGTTACCTAGAATTTACTAATGGAGCGAAGAGTATAGGATCTGGATACATTGTGAAAACCAGGAGATATGTGAAGGAAGACAATCAATAATTTGCTTATCTTGCGAATGAAATTTCGAAGATAAGGTGTACGCATATTGTTGATAAACAATCTCTTCTCCTAACCACACTACTGTTCCATCTGTTATTGACATCTTCGTTCATTGTACTAGGAGTAAACAAATCTTGATAATTGTGTTGGAAATTTAATATATTATATATCATCCAATTGATAAACTGGATAATGATAAATGTTAAGAGTAATGATAAGAAAAATACATTATCAGTTTTGATTATCGTTGAAATAATGAATCGATCATTATTAGACCATCATTAAAAACCTGGAAGCAATGGACTGCCGTTTAATCCTGGTATGGAACTCCTCAGCAGTGCGAAACTACGACCTCAGATTGCGAAAATCGAATCCACGACCTTCGGTCTGACAAGCTAATATTTAAGCTCTAGGCCACTGAGCCGGCATCAAACGATGTACTGTCTTACTTTAATCGATCTCTGATATTTCGCATCCACACCCATTGTCTTCGGTAGATAACTGCCTCACATCTAACAGAGTTCAACTCCACCAGTCACAGTTCTCATTAGAACCTTGAGGATTTCCTCACGAAGCTAGTCACTAGTGAGAACATGTTATGATTTTCATTACAAAGTTATGGAGATTAATGAGTTACATTGAAATTATGAATCGATCGATTTTGATTACCGTGATAAAGAAACACATCCCTTCATACAGTTCGTAGTATATAGCCAATGTAACTTGATGAATAGTCATCATATATACAAATCTTATTGACCAAAGTCACAAGCTTTAAGCCAAACTTTAAAAGTTAAGGTTATTAACACGATTTGACTACTTAGTCAAGAGTAGATAGAAAAAGGCCTCGAACGTAGTATGTAGGAATCGAAATTCCATTGTTTTAATTACTGAATCAAAGTTCCATATACTTCGATCATATAGTATGTTCGAAATAATCATTACATACACAGTACTGTTCACCTGAGTATATCCCGGCTCATTATATATACAACAAATATACCTAGTCTATACAATTTCAAAATTTAATTAGCTAGATTTATGTTCCTTATTTTCTAGTTACAAAATATTAAAAGTCATTTGTATCATATGATTAATTATTGCCTATTGATTATAAACTGAGTGACTAAATCGAAACTGTTGAATAATTGAAATCAGTTTCTATTAATTACCATAAAATACAGTAATATGAATGTATGATGAAAGGAATGTTAAAACTCAAAATATAGGAATTTTTCTACAACTCTCATATCAAACAATGAATAACCACACTTATGATTACAGTTTTCAGAAGTCCAGAAATCGCAAGTGAATCACGTTTGTTTAAACATTTTAGTACGTAGATGATCAAATTAGTGTACAAGAATCATTCTAAAGTGAAAATAGTGATCTCAGTCGAAATATGTTAGTAAACAAAATTTAATTCTTGATAAAATAACCTAATAGCAATAAAGACAGCAAAAACTTCATAACACCTGAAACATTAAACTGTGAAAAGACAAAAACCGAAAATTCGAGCTGTAGAGATTGATATATTTTGATTAACAACACGGACCAATCTAAGTTATACAACCACTGGAAGCACAGTGAACAGCTATTTCATCCTATTATTGGACTCCTCAGCATTGCGCATCCACGACTCCAGCACATCAATCATCATAAAATTACAAGTGAAGAGCTTCGAGAGGAAATTTATGGAGTTTTAACAAGAAGGCGTAACCAGTGAAGTCCAGCTGTGTCACATGTGAGGAAGATACGCACTGAAGATAATTGAAGGTGGGTGCAAATAAAAAGTGAATGGTTTGAGTTAGATTTCATGTTCTGCGGGCGAAGCATTCTTCATCGGGACTGAAGGTCTTGGGGTAGATCCCCGGTGACACTGTTGTCGATGGGCACTGTTGAGAAGTACCACACTAAGAACCAGCTGTCTAATTAATCCAGTATTTTAATGGCTGTGAAACGCAAGTTGATTCGCGATCTAAATAAAATGAGATCATTCATTGCTGATTGGTAGTCAGTCAGTCAGATGCAACGTAGAACTTCGTACGTAAGTACATCAGTCCATGTTGCCATACCGCATTAGCACAGAGAGGCAACTATCAGTTCAAATCCAAAAGTAGTAGAGCTAGTAAAGGTATTAGCATTAATCGGAGAGGTTAGGATTAGAACATTTTATTCAAGAAGTAGGATTCAGTGAGATAAGTTTAGAAAGTAAAAACTGGAGGTGTTGACGAATCCAGAAGATTAGGGTTTGGGAGACCACAGAGAGTGGATGCACCTGTGCCGTTGCAAACCACCGGCGACTTTCGTCTCGCGGACAATGACCAGGTAGTCTACATCTACCAACATGACTCAGTCCACTTGTCAGTGACTTCATGGATTTCTGACATGTTTTGGTCTGAACACCTCAAACTTTCTTACAACTTACTCCTACACTACAGAACAAAGCTCGACGAGGCAGTCGGTGGTTGATCATTCGTAACACATGCTTCGAAGACACCTATGATCGAAAACCGATAACCGACGAATATCTTCTACTCTCATTGGCCATGTTTCACAGCCATAAAGTAAGACGGAGCGAACAACTGCGCAGTACACTCGTCCTTTAGTCAGCAAACGGATATCTCGCCTACGCCATAAGTGACGCAGGTTGGCAAAAGCCAATCGAGTTTTCTGTATCCGTGCTGAGATTTCGTTAGTCACCAGGCCATCAGCACTGAAGAGACTCCCCAGATAAGTGAAGCGGTCTACACGCTCGACTGCTTCACTCCCTATCACTAGTTTAGGTGCCCATGAAACCCAATCTTGAAGCAACATTTTGCATTTCGACGGGGAAAACGAATCCCGAACATAATTGCATTGCTGCTTAGGGTAGTCAGAAGACTCTGCATTTTGTCAGCGTCTTCACCGAATACAACTATGTCATTGGCATATTCTAGGTCAATAAGCGATTTTCCTCGTAGAAAATCGACTACTGAGAAGTCGGACGAAGATATGGTCATATCTAGTAGAATGTCTATGACAAAATTAAACAAGAATGGAGAGAGTGGACAGCACTGACGGACACCACTTGAAGTGAAGAATTCCGGTGACAGTTCGCCATAAGCTCCCACTCGACCAGTGGTGTTCGAGTAGAAAGCTTGTATAAGGTTAATGTACTTCTTTGGTACACCTTTCAATGACAGACACTGCAACAGAACCTCACGATCGACAGAGACGAATGCCGCCTTCAGGTCTAGGAAGAAAACTATTATCGGACGATTTAATGTGTGTCTTTGTTCCAAGACCTGTCGTAGTGTGAAGATGTGGTGTATACAGCCGCGTCCAGGTCGAAAACCAGTCTGGTTTTCTCGAGTCTGCTCTTCATGAGCTCTATTTAGGCGTCTAATCATAATCGAGGCTAACAATTTAGAAACTATATTGGTTAGACTTATTCCCCTGTGATTGTCACAAGAAGACTTTTGTCCTTTCTTATAAATTGGGACAATCAGTGATTGAGACCAGTCGGATGGGATTGCGTCCAGTTCCCAGATTCTACCTAAGATCTCAGTCAACCTAGCTGCTTAAACTGGACCACCATCCTTAAATATCTCAGGGGTCAGTCTATCAGGACCTGCAGCTCGCCCTCGCTTTAGATTTCCTAACGTTTTTTGAACTTGATAAGGAGTTGGAGGACTAACGTCGAATTTCATTCAGGATAACTGGGGAACGTGGGTACCTGAAGTGTGGCTGAATGCCAGTTGAACTGGTCCCTTAAGTGTTATGCCCATCGGTCCAGTCTCCTCGATTGAAAATGGAAAATAAGACCATTCCTTTCCGAAATTTGGGTTCCTAATACCAGTTTCCTTGATGAGAGTGAACAATCGCCTATCGCCCCTGCCTTTTCCATCGCCTTTGCTTTCGCCACCCACCACTGTTCACGGTCGTTGCGCAGGCTTTTTATCAACCTGCGCCTAAGCTGACTTCGTTCTTCATCATGTTCAGAGCCAGGAGGGATGAGTTTTAGAGCATCCATCAGTTCGGTGGATGCTAAGGAGATCCACGGCTTCTCCCTAGCCCTATGGTTTACCTTGCTAGCAGATATCACTGCCGTTTACACAGCCTTTTTGATATCATTCCAATCTGCCTCCGGATGCGAGTCACTTACATGGTTGCCTAACTGTCTTTCTAGTTGTTCCTGAAATATATTCTTAGCTTTATTACCATTAAGTAAAACCTTAAGAGGCTTCCTTACGGTGTCTTTCCTACGTCCAGTAAGCCTCGCACTAAGGCATGATCTGAATCTAAACATGTGCCTCAGAACGAGCGAAAGTCTCTATGGAACCTCTCCATCAGTGGCTGATGGCAATGTCGGGTCCAACGATGAGACGACTTTAGGGGTCGCCAAGTTACAAGATACTTTCCCTTATGCCTACAGTTACTGTTTGCTAGAAATAGGCGGTTATCTAAACATAGTTGCTGCAGACGGTCGCCATTGTCTGTCCTTTGAGCCGCGAGACCATAACATCCACATAGGTGTCTTTCCTTTTCACTTAGTCTACCTGCTTGAGCATTAAAGTCAACAGCCATTATTACTATATCAGAGTGCTGAACCTTTTGGAGGAGGTCCGAAAGCTTTCTGTAAAACTCATCTTTAACCTTGTCTGAACTGTAGTTAGTGGGAGCGCAGGCAGATACGACGAAGAGGCAACGGCGAGTGTCCCCATCTTTCTAAGTCCTTACTGTCCCATTTAGTCGGACAGCGCACAAGCGACTATCTACAGGGATCCAGTCAAGGAGAGATTCTTCAGCTCTACGAATCAATGCTATACCTACACCAGCGAGAAACCGGAAAGCAGCATCAGGGCTACTGGATACACGAAAAGTATATTGCGCTGCTTCTTTATTTTGACAGGATGAAATCAGATTAATGATTTTACTAGGATCCTGTATGCGCGTTTTCGACACGCAGCACACATCGATGGCACGAGATTCTAAAGTCCTAGCTAATGATGCCTGTTGCCTTATTTGACACAATGTCCGTACACTAAAAGCTCCAACATGTAGTCTAGAGCGGGGTTGAGGAGACCAGGAATGACGTTTCGTGAACTCGCTTCGTTCGCATTAGCGATGCAGTGAGATAAGAGAATGTGAAAAGAGTAAGTCGTGGAGATAAGAGAGATATTAGGGGGTGTAGCAAGGATTTGATTTTGACCAATGTGGTCTCGCGTGCTGTTACGGGTATGAGGGCGGTTGTCAGTTCCCGGCTGCCCACACCGTGGAAGGTTGTTTCTTGAGGAACCTGAAACGGAAAATAGATTAGTGTTGGTCTTAGAGACCTGGGAGCGTGATCGCAGAGCCCAAGGGACAACTGCTTGAGGTCTGTCACGTACGGCCTTTTAATGAAAGGTTTTTCAAGGAGACGGAAATCCGTAAGGTAGAGTGAGGTGTGACATTTTTACGGTCGACCTTTTCTAACCCTTCCTTCCTTGTGAGAAGGCAGCATCGCTGCAGATGCTGGTTGTCCGAGGGAAACACCTTAGTGCTGTCACAACCCTCTACAGTCAGTCAGCAGTACGACTTCGCCCTCAGACCTTGGGTAGCTGCTTTTAGTCTCATTGTTCTCCAATCGACCTGCCTGGCATGGTAGAACCTTCAGGAACATATGTTCAAGCCAGTATGGCTCTGTTGGGTCATCACGATACGCAAGCCCGATCACCACGTCAAGGTAGCAGCTACGATCGGGATTGCTGATTAGTAACCAATATCCTGTATATTTAGTCCTTCAGCCTTAGTCAAATGCAATCTATCAAAAGGAAATATAAATACAGCTTTAAGTGTCTCAACGTCGCGTGCTTCAAATCTTTTGACTTTACGTGTTAGGAGCTGATCAGTCGGGAGAAACCTAGCAATTAGATTCCACGCAATCTTGAGGGAAACGGTGATTCGGAAGTTATTCAATAAGCGTTACTGATCACCGCTCGGTATTTATTATGTTTCACTTTCTCATATCTAGAAGAGGTTGATCATGTTCCCAATCCTTCAGTAGTAAAGTCTCCATTTTTCACATTGAGTAACTTCGATTCGACTCCAATAAGAGCGGCAGAGTCTCTGAGATTACGGATACACTATGTAAAGGAATGGCAGCTAATGCGACATTGATAGTTCAAAATATTCCTCCACATTTCTGACAACCATTTGAAAAGCAGAAAACTATACTTCAGAATTAAATAATCTATTTGCACTTACGGAGTACAAATAATAATCAAACACTTGGCATAGACAATGCATCACTTCACCAGCGATTGGCTGTAAAAGCCTCATCATTTGTAAGTATCGACCTATTACATAATGAAATATAAAAAAAACAATTTACGAGGAATTTAATCATGTAAAGTTGGGTTTAAGAGGCAAGTTATGATTGCTTGAGCACTCACTCTATCTCTCCATTAAGCTCAATAATCGAGCCGTTTGATCGAGAACTAGATATAAGTCAAAACAAAAGTTTACCAACAACACAGAACACAACAGTGAGTAGTATCAAAGTGAGATGAATTTTATTATGAAAAGTAATCTTTTACATATTCACTGTAGCTGATAGTTGAAAGCAATAGTCAACAATAGCCGTTAGACCTTACAGTCACGTTATTTGGTTCTTGCCAAGAAAGTGCATCTGAGATTTCGAGGTAGCTAATATTATTGTGAAGACAAATCCATAATAATTAGTGTCACATTTAGAAGAGTTTACACCAAGCTATTTAATTTACCAATGATTAGCTGTACGATTAAAATATTCAAACTAATTGACTAGCAAATTAGTTACAATTGTTTTACACTTTTGTAATGAGTCTTAGTTGAATTGTACTGTGATCAATTAAGCTAAAATGATTTTTCTTTGATTTAATGTGATTGGATGCAAATGAAAGGAATTTTCGAATTTTTCGTATTCATAATGGGGTCACTATATATACATATACATATGGAAACGAAAAGTTCAGGGTCAAAAAGTAAATTACGAGCTATACATCAACGATTGAATCTGTAGAGTAGATGAGATGATTTTATTTATATCGAACAAATGGGCGTGAATTTATACTTTAAGTTGGACGTAATCTTCCTACCTACTCAATGGTAAACCTTGATAAATTTAACTTTAATATCAATTCATTCTCATTTAAACAAGTGCGCCTATCATTATTGTTTAGTACAATAACAAGGATAGTGTTATCAACATTGAGATATTTTGAAATTATGAATCGATCGACATTAGACCACCATTAGAAACCTGGAAGCCCTGGATGTTCATTTCGTCCTGGTGTGGGTCAGAAGTGCACATCTACGACTCCCACTCTCCTCAGGAATCGAACCCAAGACCTTCGGTCTTACGACTGAACGCTTAACATTTAGACTAATGAGCAAGCATCCAACGGTGGTAATGTCCAACTTCGATCAATTCACGGTCTTGCGCAACCTTATCCACTGTCTTCGGTGAGCACTGCTTCAAATGAGAACAGGGTTGACCTCAATTGGTCACGACCTCTCACTAGGACTCGGATAAAATCCCTAACGGAGATAGTCTCTAGTGAGCCAATGATAGTTTCCATTACAGGGTTGTGAAGATCGGCGAGTTACTTTGAAACCATGAATCAATCAATGTTAGTCGCGAAAGTGCAGTGCTGATGAGCGCCATACCAGGACGAAACCGCCGCTCAGCGCTTTCAGGTTTCCAATGGTGGTCTAACATGATTCCAATGCAACTCAACAATCTCCACAACCCCGTAATGAAAATAATGATATTTATTATGACGATGAATAAAGTTCGAAAAATGGTAGCGTTTTATTAAATGATTAACTTTTCGTTTGATATTAATCAATCGAAATTTACGGATCTAGGAGTTAAGCGATTTGAAACAACGGCATTATTGATTTTACACACAAAGCTTGGTAATATCTATTGAGTTTCTCAAACAGAACTGGAGTAGAGTTCCTAATTTTGGCGAAGCTGAGGTTGAAAAAGAAATAGTGTAATCACGAAACTTGTAAGCAGAAGTAATAAATAAGAACAAAATGTACACTTGTTATTAGTAGGAAGACAAATAATACATGACTTGGCTTTTGAAACTCACTGGTTATAACAAAACCTGTAACATGGATTTGAATCGCATTCTATTAGGATCATCAGCTGTTTGAAGATTATAAAGATGGCAAGTGTCAGCTAACATAAAAACCTACATCCAGAGTTTTTTACTGACTAACTCAAACGACTAAAAAAAGAATGTATGCATTTGTCCCAAGATAACCGATTTTGTTACCCAGGGCAGAATGTTAATTTTACGATCCCCGTAAATACAATTGTACAGGTTTTTCTTGTAGCTTATCAATTAATAATTTGATAGATTAGTGGTATATGTTTGGTTGGACAAACTCTTAAGGCGTTTTCAGTTAATTGACACACAATTACTGAATCCTATGTAACAAGTTGTGGTAAACAGTAGCTTGTCATGTGAAACACATGAACCTAAGGACTGGGAATTAAACTGATTCACACCACAGTGTCATTAATGTATGTCTGTAACCCTGAAACTCTAGATATAAATAGCCCCGAGATGTTATACGCATGCTTGAAACTTGAAATATATAATCAGTAGATTAGTTACTGACTACTGACTAATATTATTTCTCTATAGTCTTTTAGTGTTGACTGAATTTTATCCATTAAGTTGAAATGTGGCCAAAAATCCAAGCGATTCAACGTAGAGTTAAATATGTTTTGATACTAAATAGTTTGAGGTCTGAACAGCTCAGTAGTATTAACTTAGATTCTAAAACTGAGTGACTCGTCTTAGTGGTCATCAGTTTCTTAAAGATTAAACGTTTGTCTAACTATTAAAGGTAACCATCTGCAAGTTCCTCGTCAAACCGGCAACCTTCAAGTATACATGAGCTGTAAAAAGCATTGATCCGCTGCGAACAATATGGATTCTCAGGTAGCTTCAACTTTTTTTTCACAGCAAGACTAGTCCACCAAAAGTTGAGAACATAGTAGTGACTGGATGATACCATAGAGTACGATAAATATATTCAAGATTTATGAGTACTAGTGACGAGTTCACATTGATCACAGTAGACATGACGATCAAAAATAATGCAATACATTACCAGTTAGTTGAGAACATAAGTCTTTTCTCAACAGATTATTAAATGATGAATAACAATGAAAACAATGAATATCATGAATAAATCTTATAAAAATTGTATAACCACTTTTTTCTTCAGATCACGGTTTCGGTATAATTATAACTTGTCAGTTACAATGTACCAATGTTGATTTTCACATTTAAAACTGGAATAATAATACCTTTTGTTTTAAAACAACCAACGCGTTATCCATTGAATTCAGATTGCTACTATTCGATGAGAATTTTGATATATTATTATTACGTAATCTATAAATGATGCATATATATTCTAAATACAATCCTAAAACACTAACAACCGAATAATTCAAATCTTTGATAACAATTTTAATAGAAATGAATAATTTTCTACTCCAATTTTTACATCAAATAAACCTTGATCATTGATTAATGCAGGATAGTTTCAGTAATTCACAATCTGGTAAGTGAGAATTGTAAGCACACGAGATATATAATCTATACGACAATTGTTATGACACGTTTAATGTTTCGAGAAATTCAACCTTATTATTTAAAAAGATTTTATTCTCTCTAGCCCGACGGGTTAAAGAGAAGGAATACACTTTACTTTCATTTTAGTGTGTAAATATACTAGTTAATATCCTTAGATTCAGAATGATTATTTAAGGACAATGTGTTGTAATGTTAGATTAATCAGTAAGAGTATCCTGTTTGTCATAAAGAAATTTTTTCGACTACACTACAGAATAATTTGGATTCGATTTCCTAGAAAAATGAGTCAGATTGATGTTAGGAGTATGTGACTGGTTGACACTTAACTTGGCCCTATTGTGAAAGTACAGTTCTTCTTGTGGGTTTTAGAAGGCATAGTTTGCGATGATAGTGTCGATCTGACAGCATGATTAGTCATACGAGAAGCTCATATGTTATTAGCTGCGCACTTTCTGGATTCACTGCTAGTTTGAAGAATGGAGAAGTTCAGATCATATGGAATAACATTATGTTTGGAGTAGATACAGTTTACCGAAATGACGAATCCATACTAGGTGAGCCATTTTTTTTACATTTTAGTTACATAACATTTAAGGTTTAAAGAAGCTTTTCATACAGAATAGGCTGACTAACAGACAGGTAGAAAGTTGGTCTAATCTACCATACCAGATTAGCAGGACGAGACGAAAATGAAAATATAGATAGAAATAATTATTAGAAATGATAAGCGGAGAGTTGAAACCTTAAGAATGCGTAGCACATCGAACGAGGCTAGCGATGGAGTGCACAACGCGTGTCTCGTCCTATTTAAGTCTGATGTACTTGCATCCCAGAGTTGATATTTACTCCGAAACTCGGATGCGGTACCGTGCGCATCAACACTGCTAATCCCAGGGAACCATTGACTAACTTCTGTCATGATGGCAGCACCAGAGCAGTTCACACAGGATGTACATATACCAAAAAAGAAATTTTAGTCAAACTATCAACCACGGGACAATCTAACCCGTTTCATATTCAATCACTTCAAAATAATGTTTGACAGTATAACTTGGAGAGGCATAAGTAAAATGATACTGGAATGCAAACTGGAGAGTAAAATAATACCTACATCCATTCGTATCATTTCGGATGATCGTGAGACATGAGATCCAAAGTCTTCAACTATTGATTAAGAAAATCACGTGGACCCCAACAGGGTTTACCAAGATGTCTAAAGCCATCAGTCAATGACTTCATGGACTGACACACTTTGGTTCGTCAACCCTAGCTTTTTGTACTAGCATGCTAGACGAGGTAGGCAATTGTCAGGTATCTACATAACATGTCCCAACAACCCCAGTCGATGAAGATTTACAAATTAATCAACTGACTAGCCATCATTAATAATTACCATATGACTGAACTTAACATTCTCCACTCGGTCTATAGACAACATTTAAAGGATTAATAGAAATAGAAGTTACTGATTAACTGTATAGTCTTATTTAACAGCCTTTGAGCATGGTGAGTCTAGCACTTTCCTCGTCAGAATTACGTGATTCCCTAACTATTATTTCCCTAACTGTTTAACCCTATCTTCCCTGCAACATTTCCTAGCAAAAATCTATATATCAATATTTCCTTATAACCAAAAAATGTATTTTGTCAATTGTCATTTTATTGATTAGTGGAAATGATTAGAAATAATCATATTCAATAAACAAGAGAGATATAATCAATCTACTTACCAATTAAACGAAGAACTTCTAATGTAGTTGTTGATAACAGCGGTCCGCTATGATCATTTGAAAATGATGTATCATTAGACTGAAAATTAAATTAATAATAATTTAATGTTCCGTATTCTTATTAGGATGCTAAAAAATGTTTCTTAAACTCCGAAATAGCAATAAATATTTATATTTTATTGTTTCATTACAGCATTACTTAATTCGTATTTTTACGCAGTGGGATTCTGTGACTAGCCGATTGCGTAATCTCAAGATTAGGTCTGTGACATCTTTTTACATTTGGTCAGCACGTAAATGATAAATGTTTGAGAGAAAAGATTGTTCAGTTGACCAGACAACATTTGATTGATATTGATTGTACTTAACTGTAAAACTCATATGTAAGTGTAAATCCTTGATATGTTTAGTCAACCGAACCAATGTACATTTACGCCTGGTACTGTGTTGAATATAACTGAAATACGAATAGTTTTCTCATTCTAGTATGGGACTTAACAGTGTTCATCCACAACCCCAACACGGATTGAACCTATAGCCCAGTGAAGTCGTGGATGAGTACTTCTAAGTCTCATACCAGGAAATAGCAAATAGTAATATATATATATTATATATATATATATACATGAGGATAGAATATTAATAGAATTAATATACATGATATTTTTTCTGTAACTTACAAAATCATTTTGTGGATTTGTAATAAACTTATTATTATCACCAACAATTTCATGGGAAGAAGAATTTGTATTTGAACACTGTCTAGTCCCAATATTGATTGATAGTGATACTGACGATGAATTCATTAAATTGGGAGTGTTTTTTTGAGTATGATCAGGATCAATAACATTACTATCATTACTACTATTATCATCATTGCTGTTATTATTAGTTTCAGTGTCATCAGAAAATTGTATAAGTGTATAAGGGAAAGTAAATAATTTTTTGTCTTGTAATTTTGAAGAACTAAAGATGAAAGTTAATTTATTGGAGGAAAAAAGTTAGGAAAGAAGAATATGATAAATATTATCAATGTTAATTACTAGCTGAGTGTTATCAATATGTTCAATAAAATTGTTTACGTAAATAGAAAAGAAATAATGAGATTAAATTCGTTGATTAAATTACCTTTTGATATGTTAGGCAGTTGGAATTGGTGCTGATGAGATCGGTTGTATGATTTAGATTACGGTGTAATTGGTACTAACTTGTCAGTAAAAACGTACATTAAATGTTTAGAGGATTGAGTTACTTAAACAAGTAGCAATACTGCAATTTGATTGATGTATTTTGATCAACATTAAAGATTTAACAAACACCATATTAGTCATTTTAAGTGTTACATTACAAACTGACGTTAGACTGATAACTAATTTGGGCAACTTTATACAATTGTTTCGTCGAAAATGGTAAAGCAGTGATATGTAGAGGTAGATGTGAATCCGCTTATTATAGATAAGTTAGTTGAGATTCAACTACAAACAGTTTGTGACATCATTATATCGTTCAGTATTTTCCGTCGGAGAAAACTATCACACAGTCAACATGATTAAACTGCAATTGGATGAAAATTCTTAATAGAAATTCACTAATATTTCTCAAAAATTCTTCAGTTGTAACCGTAATGATTTCACGATAGAATAAAACGATTATTCAGTTTTCGCGAGTCTACAATGTTTGTTTAGCTAAAACCCGTCCATGATGTATACTTTGGATTTTGATAAGTAATCTGTGTCAACCGACAGACAAGTACGGTTACTTATAGTTTTGTGATTCGCTGTCTATTTATAATTTATAGTTATAATAACAGGATGACTTCAGTTCGATAAAATATGTGCTCTTAACCACCAGACCAGTAGTTCAGTATTTCGTAATTAAGTTGTTTTGGTGCTGACTCCTGTCCAGACTAATAGATAACTCAACTGTGCGCCTGAAGAAGTGATAGCAATAAATGGCCACATGCGCTAATGGTCAGACGATGACTGGGGATTTTTTACAATCATTATCCCTCCGTGAAGGGACACCAAAAATTCGGCCAAGGCCCGAGGGCCCGGCCGTTGACTTCAGTCGAGGACTGGTAATTTGGTGTTGGCAATCTCGCACTCAGCTAAACTTCATTGTACGAGTCGCTTCCCCACCACAAGGTCGGTAAGTTACATATCATTGGATATTAGACCAGCTAAAATGTAAATACCTAATACATAATTACTAATTTGCAAATTGACTTCAAATCGTACCCACTCCTGTGTCTAGTAATAGGAAACGTTTAGTTGTACATCATTAGTGCGACAAACTTAGCGCTGAAAATAAAAATTAGCTGCTTTTCCGACATAAAAACGTAAAATTCTTGCATATACTACTTAAATTGTTAGTCATCAACCGCTGATTATGTAATGTACTTGTTTCATTAATAATATCTAATTATTATGGCCCAGCATCTGACTTCTACTGGGAAAAACGATGTTGATGAAATAAATCATTCACCTAATTTACTCCTAAGTGAACCACGTTTGTGCAACGGAGGTTATTGAGAAGCTAAATACGGTTTCAGATGGGTTAATTTAGTTCATTCACGCGCGTAAGCAGAAAGACACGAACGACAAGCGTACGAGCTAAACAAAGCCAAGGGGAGAAGTTGATTGGGTAAACTCCATTTGATCGAACATGACTAATTATAGTCAAACAGAAATAAGATAGATATGTGATTATAGAAGTTCACAGTGCACACACACACATTCAAATAAAAACAACCAGTTATAAGTGAATAATTGACAAGGTCAAAAATGTGTGAATAATAACTTGGGAAGAATAGATGAATTAGTTTATCAAAGGGCTGGGAGAAGACTTGTTAGCTCGACACTACAATGTCGACTATCACCATAATACAAATCAGCAGTAATTTTTAATGGTTAATGATTAGCTTATTTACATCACATATATACCCGAGACAGTGAATATAACTTTTGATAAATGACCGAAACACACAGATTCCTATTTTGCAGCTAAGCACAAATCATCACTGTAGAAAACAATCTTGAATGCTGTACTTTTCATTTACTGAAGTGAGAGTATGTTAAACTTTTGATAAATTTAACTGTTACTCCTAGTTAGATAAGCTGGACAGAGGTCGAAAAGAAAATGACGAGAGTGCTAAGTAGGTTTTCTGTATGTATTAAATACTTCCACAGTATCGAGATTTGTATAAATAGGCTTCTAAATAATTAAAGATGACAAAATTCTTGATGAGCTTTTGTGGTTTAGTTCATGAACTGCATTTGTCAAATATTGATCACAGGTGAGGTATCAATTAAAACAACGGTTTATTGGCGAAGCTCAAATATACCAGAATTGAAACAGTTGTGCCGATTGCACCGGACGATCATGACTCTCTATGGAAAGGTGATACAGTAATAGAATCCAAATCGCAGTACTGGACACTGATTCATAGATTCTAATGTTTATGCAATTTTTCAATTAACGTTATGGAGATTAGTTTTTGTTGCACATTGAAATCATCAATCAATCATTGTTAGACCACCATCATAAACCTGGAACACGTTGTTAAGGTGTTTGAATCAAGGACGAAACAGCTGTCCAGCGCTGGTCGTATTTTCCGATGAGTGAGATTAATTTGTGACAAATAAAAACAAATAGATTTATATATACACATATACACACACAGATATGTTCAGGTCTTTCCCATTCAAGCATCGACATCTAACCTACTACTACTAGTATATGTTATGATCACTTTTATGTCTAGGCGAAAAGAATGATTTACAAGAGTACCAACTCAGTAATCAGTAAAGCAAAAAAACAATGTTCATTATCGGGTCGTGGAGATTGTTGCGTTACTGTGAAATCATGAATCGATCAATGTTAGATCACCACTAGGAACCTGGAAGCATTGGAAAGCCTTTTCGTCCTGGTATAGGATTCATCAGCAGTGCGCATCCGAGACTCTAGTGAGTGGGTGTGAAGCAGTGCCCACCGAACCCGGCGGATGAAGATGCGCAATACTTTGGACTGACAGAAGTTGGAAATGAACACCGTTGGATACCCCACTCGGTGGTCTAGAGGTCAAGAGTTCGGAGGTCCTGTGTTTGATTCTCGCGTGCATGGGTCGTGGATGCGCACTGCTGATGAGTCCCATATGAGGGAGAAATGGCCGTCCAGTGCTTCCAGGTTTCTAATGATGGTCCTACAATGATCGATTCATGATATAAAAAAGAGTAATCGGCGGATTAAAAATACTTACACGATTGTTGGATTGTTATTGCTATTACCACCCACAAATTTGCTCATCCCACCAACTGTAATATTTTTATTAGCACCACTACTACTACTACTATTGCCACTGTTAGTAGTATTGTTATTAGTTGTATTACTTTCAAATAAATCTTTTATTGCTATAAATTCCTGTTATAAAAGAAAATAAATCAAAAACACAATACGATCTCAGTTAATATCAACATCAATACGCCGATTGATAAATAATTATTATTCAATCTGAAACAAGTTATATTACTTCGAAAGAGCTATTAATAACCTCGATATTGTTTTCGTAGATTAGATATTCTTACGGTATTCACAGATTCTTGTTATGGATTATTAGTCACGCAGACAGAATTTACTTAAGAAAGCCTATTATCAAATAAATTTAAATCAAACCTTAAATGGATTGAATCAACGACAGAATCTTATTTTTTGAAATTAGGATAGAATGTTTGGTAGAAAATGATGTATGATTGATTGCTGTTCAAGAAACTTGAAAAGTGTATCATCATCCAGACGTTTCTGAGCATAGATAGTCGATTGAAGTACAGAAAGTTATATTCATGAAAAGTTGCACTTTATTAAGACAATTTATATAGTTGATAAAAATATCATGATTTACTGAATGTTCTTTTCGTTTCAAACAACCAGACTTGACAAAGACATCGTTCTTTTAGAGATTTTATTACGTTCCTTGATAGTGATTTATTCTATTCCGGATTCTTTATAATATTTACATCAACAAAATACACAAACAAAATGAAAGAACTAGTCAGATAGTGGTCTTCTTGATTCTCTCTTAAAATTCACCTACACATAGTGTAGTTGTACATTATCGATTATATAAGTTTATGAGGAAATACTGTTGAAGATGTTAGATCACCAGAACTCACTTGATAAAGGTCCTAATTTTGGATTCTATTCATGGGTTGATCAGTTGACCGTGAGATTACAGCTCCCACTCGGAAAGTCCTTGTCAGTCATTGGTTGATGTATTATTTTAGTACGCTATTTCTGTGGCTCTCCCAAGGACGTTTATATCATGTGTGTATATGTGCTTAAGGACCTCGATTTTCTGGGTGCTTGTAGAACACACTTTCTACGCTATATCAAGATAGTTTGATATCGTTAACAGGGCTTTGGGACGCTCAGATTAGAGCAGCCTGTCTGGTCACTGGATCACTGTCTTACCTCTCGTTTACCGACTAAGATGAACTTGTAATAGTTCAAGCATATTAATTGACGAACATGTTAAATACCCAACCTTAGACTCGTAATTCTAACCAATGTTGAAGACAATTTACAAAAGGCATTAATACACTTTGTTATATTATTGTTTTCTTTTGCATATACTATTCATTTATAAAAGTTGTTTTCTGATTAGATAGTTAATTGTTGATAATTCGTTTATTCTATATTTATTCTATGCTTGCCACTACTACTAGGCTTTCACTGTACTATGTTCTACACCGGAACTATAGGAGTATATTGAAAAGATTCTTCAATAAAGTAGCATATGATTTGTATCTGACATAATAAACTCAATCGTTTAATTAAATATGTTTATCTACAACTGTATATATACATTGACAATATGGTGAGCAAATAAATATAAAAAGATACAGTAGAAAATCACGTCGTTTTACTTGAAGATCCATTATTGTGAATGACTGTTTGACAGGACATATTTCCCATGTTTCATTTTCTAAAAACATTTTAAGTCGATCCATATGCTTTCTAAAAAATAGAGAAAGAGAATGTTAAGATAAATTTGAAGAAAAAAAGAGTAAAATGACGTTTCAAAAAAAGGAATCTGTTTAAACCAAGGTAACATGCATGAGCAACAACTAACATATATTGATTTTAATAGCAATCACTAACAAACGATCAATTTTAATTGTGCCCGTAGATAAAAATCCGAATAATTTGAGAATGATTTCCTTCAAGGATTATGATGAATTGAATAAATAAATTAGAACTGCTTGTAATCTGTATTACCAAAGAAATCAGAAACTATAAGTAAGGGAGTTTGTATATTGTTGCATAAATGATCGAAAAGTACCAAATGGATAGATGAAAATCATATTGAAAATAAAACAAAAAGACAGAAGATAGATTGAGTACACAAACATCCCATTCAAATTAATCATTAGAAGTCAAGAATTCATCTCACTATCGTTTTACAAACTGTGTTCATAAAAACAATACAAATAATAAATCTCGTTCATTTAAAGTTAAATAAAAACTGGTGTACATCGTTAATTTTGATTGCTGATGAGTCCCGTACTAGGACGAAACGGCCATCCACTGATTCCAGGCTTCTCATGGTGGTCCTAAATTGATCGATTCATAATTTCAAAGAAACTCAACAATCTCCACAACTGTACAATAAAGTATGACAGTAAATATTAACAATCGCTGATATGGTGATAAATAATGAGCACATGCAAGCAATATGTATGTCTTTTTCCAATCTCTTTCTCTCTCTCAACCTCTCATACACACACACACACACACACAAACACACATACAAATAAACTTGAATAAAAAACAAGAAAGTATCATGCAAAAATAAACTTAACCCTTTTACTTGAATATATGAGAATAGATAATACAACAGAAAGCAAAACAAGAACAAAAAAAATAAAACAAAAAAAAACTTAGTTGTTAGACAAAAAAACTGGATACGTAAATGTATTTACAGAGATATATAATAAAAATGTTCAACCGTAAAAGCAATCACGAAACATATACAACAGAATTATATTGGAAGCAAAAAGAAAAAATACACATTGGAAAAATCAATAGAATGAATCAACACTATCCTTTCTTATAAACTTTATGATATATATATTCACTAAACAGGTTGATGCATGAATAAGTTAATAGGCGGAGAAAAACAACTTTAAAGTCAATATAGAGTATTATAGTCACATGTTCTAAGATCCACCAAATAACTAAATGACTATAGAAAAACACCGATTGGCTTATTAAATAATAAGTAGGATTGGTTCGTTCGACTGAAAACGATTGCTGAGATTTACTGGTTATGAATTTAAAATACATTTGATGCCTCTTGTCGATTTTGGTGGGTGAAATTTTCGAGCTGCTATGTTTGAAATTTCGGTAGAGTTTCTTCATAAATATTAGTTTTTAAAATCGTAATGGTTTCAATATTCAATGGGTATATTGAATTCAATACTTACGACTATTTTTAAGTTTATTCAGTGATTTAGTATTTTATAATAGTGTGACTTTGATAAGAAATTTCATCTCAAGTCTAATTACACTACATTTGTAGTCATCATTCAAAAGATAGGGCTGCGATAAACTTGTATGACAACACCAGATAGTTACAGTCAGTTTCACAGGCATGGAATGAAATCTTTAGTGAAAATTACACTTTAATTTGAAATATACTTTCATAAAATGAACGACAAAATACTCCAAATGGTATATCACTTATGGAAGCTTGAGCCCTAACCTTAGAAGTTATCTTCGTTTTTTTTTCAAATTGTTGAAAAATACAGTAGAATAAACCTATCATTGATAGTTGTCAGATAGTTTAAAAAAAGGTGGAAAAATCAAGGAATACTAAATAACTATTTCATTCAGGTCTGGGAATCCTTAGTAGTCTGAATCAACGACTCCAGAGGGGACCAAACCCAAACCTTCAGGCACGTACGCGGTCACAAAACCTCTAGACTACTGAATCAGGATCTAATAGAATACACATCTAATTGCAGTTAATTCACAGTATTGTGCAACCATCTCCTATTGCCTGAGGTTTTCAATACTTTTGATGTGATATATACAAATTTTAAAAAGCACTTTAAGCCCGTTTGCAAGTAATAAATATTTTAATAATAATTTTTTTAAGCAAACAAAATACATTCATTTACCGATGAAAGTCTTTAAAATATTTTTGAATGGAAATTCGTAAAGCTTCCAATAGTTCATTCGCTGAACATTCACAAAATTCTTCACCAATATGTACAAAACTAAATTGAGAAAAAAGAAAAGTTTTTTTCTATTGAATAAGACAAAAAAAGGAACAGGATGGAACTATCGGAAACGAGATGAGGGAAAACAATTACGGTTACGATGAATGATTTCATTCACTGAACTGGATGGATAAAATAAGCTGCCAGTTATATTTGTGGAGGAATAGATTACTTCCACCCAAAGTTTGTACTGATGATGTTTAGAAAAACAATAAAAAGCTTCATGAACAAACCATACAGCTTAAAGAATGGAACTACACCAAAAAAACTGTTGATATGATGTTGCAGGTGATATAATAGATAGTGAAATTAAAAGATTTCTTCGCCCATTAGACTGGTGAAATAGTGTTTAACTTTCGGCCACTAAGTTGCAGATCTGAAGGCCAATACGTCTATTTCTATTTGAGAGATAGGACAATATTACTAACCTTCACATTTAGTGTGTGATTCAAAGCCAAATACACCAATCCTTATATGTTTAATGAGTTCAGAATAACACTAACAGACTAGAGATAGTGTAACAAGAGAGTGTTAAACTTTGGTATCATCCGTCCACTCACAATCTGTATTGTTGTTAGGGTGACAGATGGAATTAGAGCAAGACTACGTTGCTGTGCGCTGATTGGCTAATTTCCTATCCAATCAGCACCTAATCGATTCCTGCAGAACAGGGTAGAAAATTCTCGTATTGTTAGCTGCGTGCTGATTGGCTAAATCTAATCCATTCGATCACGTGAATTTCTATCCAGAAGCTTCTCATGTAAATGCTATAAATAAACTAACGTCGTATCTATTTTTGCCTTCGCCTTCGCCATCACCTTTGACTTCTTATTCCATTTAACCTTGCTATTTGGAATATAATCTTTTCCTGTTCAATCGTGTTTTTGATTCTTTGGAACTTGTCCAGTGTATTGTGGTCAGAGAATACTAAGCAACAGGAGTTAGCTGGGAATTATTTAAGCAAGCGTCACAATAATTATATTAGTAGTTGTGACAGTTTTTTCACTACTGACAAAAAAAGAATTTTAACAGCTTCGAATTCAGCTAAACCAGCGTAGACTTTTGTTATGATGCATCATATTTAAACTTCCATAACCAGTGATGATTTCATTAAATTAGGTTCGTAATGTGAATCCAACGGTTATTTAGATTAACGGCTTTGCAAACAGTAAAAGTACAAGTTGGTGTTCTGAACGTGGCTGATAACTCAAATTAATGCAGGATTCAAGATTGTTATAGCACAGGCAAGTATTCGACAAACACTAGGCATAGAGGAAATGGCCTCGTGCCGTTACGGATATGAGGGCGGTTGTCACTTCCCGGCTGCCCACACCGTGGAAGGTTGTTTCTTGAGGAACCTGAAACGGAAAATAGATTAGTGTTGGTCTTAGAGACCTGAGTGCGTGACCACAGAGCGCAGAGGACAACTGCCTGAGGCCGACCACGCACGGCCTTTTTATGAAACGTTTTTTGAGGATTAGCGCCGCTCTTTTACTGCCCTTAGTGGGCACCCTCACCCAAGGAGACGGAAATCCGTGAGGTAGGGTGAGGTGTGACATTTTTACGGTCGACCTTTTCTAACCCTTCCTTCCTTGTGAGAAGGCAGCATCGCTGCAGATGCTGGTTGTCCGAGGGAAACACCTTACTGCTGTCACATCCCTCTACAGTCAGTCAGCAGTACGACTTCGCCCTCAGACCTTGAGTAGCTGCTTTTAGTCTCATCGTTCTCCAATCGACCTGCCTGGCATGGTAGAACCTACAGAAACATATGTTTCAGCCAATATAGCTCGGTTGGGCCATCACGATAGGCAAGCCCGACCACCATGTCAAGGTAGCAGCTTCGGTCGGGAAATAGTGATGTAACAGTTTATGATGCAATTTATCATCAATAAGAACAAATCTTTACGAAATATTAATCTAGAATAATGAGATAATTGGGATCAATTATAAAGTACACATTTTTGCTAACAACAAGAAGTTAATTGAATTCCTTTGTAAACAAATACACATCAATATATGAAATAATGAACTGTAAAAAGAGAGATTATTCTGTTATCTCAAGATTGCTGGAAGTGTAATTGATAATCAAATTATTAATTGGTACATTTTAGTCGGTCCGGCGCTAAAACCGGGTTGGTCACCTGCTTCGATTTGGACGTTAGGGTAATATCCCGGCCCCCTAACAAATTCATTAATTTGTCTCGCGCATATATATTTAGGTTCTCTTTTGTACTAATCTTTATGTGTTCAAGTCCAGATATACTCGGATTTGTCACTTCTATCAGTAGTCACTGATTCAACTGTTCCTGTGAAGAAAGCTGTGATGGATTTGTTGTTTAAAAAAGGTCAAGCAAAATCATTATATATCGATTTGTTTTGTCTCTGTTGATAGATCGTGCTTATGAGTGCTAGATCAAACTAAGGAATTTAGATCGATTTTCTGCATACTCGCACATTTTCCAAATGAAATGATATGGAGGTTCAAGGTAGCAATCTTAGTTTTATTGCTCAAAACACTTTTGTAGTATATCTATACCTAGCATTTGTTGAACTTTTTCACGCCTTTCGTATATTTACTTCACTATAAGTAAACGTGAACTTATTATTTAAAACCGTTTCTTATTACGCAACTTTTAATGATGACTATCCAATGAAGTTTATTTTCTCTAACATTGACCTGCTACCTATGCTGAAATGTTTATCCACGGTATCAATGTATTTATTAGTCTTTTAGTTACTACATTATTACTATAAATATATACTTTTTTCGTTTGATTATGTAATCCATTTCATTGTTATCATTGGTTCATTTACTATCTTGATTGGTTTAACCGTGTTTATATATTCATTTATAATAGATTAAATTTCTGAGATTTAGTCGGAAACAACAACTGTTAGCTAAGATATTGAAGGATAAAGATTATCAGACGGCTCTTTCAACCCTCAATATGGGGCTCATCTGCAACACGTACCCACGATCTCGCCAGGGATCAAACCCAGGACCTTCAAGTCTACCGGAGAACGCTTAATCCCTGAAACTAATAGGTCAGCATCCGATTCCAGACTCAATCGATTGGTCATACGGATTAACGATTGTCCAATATTATTAGTCACAAATAATTTACTCTGCATATGTCCGAACCCTTTTTGCTACAATTTCTTATTAAATTACGTGAAAAACTTGGGATAAGCTTCTGAAGAAGACATTGATGGGTAGTGAATCCACTTTTATGAATAGAACGCGATTGATTCAATATAAACATTCATTATTATAACCCATTGTACCAGTGACTGATAGTTTTACGATACTCGTTTGTTTAATTGTACCCAAAAACACACACCTTCCTTCCTTACTTGACCTTGGGCTTACTCACGTACGCTTGGTAGTCTCGCTTCTATATTTTGGCCAGATCTCGGTATTATTTCGATACGACGAGATCGCCAACGAATGTACCTTAACTCCGACTGCAACTGGTCTTCTGATTTCTGCCTCTGACGGCATTCAACGTGGTTATTGGCATAATATAGCTTCAACCCGATATATCTGGTAAGCGACCACTTTGCATGCGCATCAACTGCTGCTAAATCTGACAAAACCAAGCCAATTACGGTGAGTCTGTTATTTATCTATCCACATTCATTAACTTTTGCTGTTGTTGCTCATATCATATCGATATTTTACAATTACATATACTATATCCGCGATAACTCTCCGAAATGGTGGATAGACGTGAGCATGACGATGACATAAAAAATTCCTAATTACAGGTTATTAATTTTAGGCCTGTTTCTTTCATTCCCCACGACCCAGAAGACTGGTTTGCGGCACTGGAAACTCAATTCGAGATCCGCCGCATTACGAACAAGCGGCAGAAATATGTCTATGCTCTGGAGTCTTTACCCGGGGACCACAAAGCTGCTGTCCGTAAGGTCGTCCTCAATTCTAACGTACCCGACGTCTACGATCGTTTCAGAGAGGCGATTCTCAGAACGTTTCTCCCATAGAGGGAGGAACGATTGAGTACTTTATTAGCACGCCATCCCCTGGGTGATGCTAAGCCGAGCCAAATCCTCACGGGCCTGCACTCTTTGGCAGGACCTACGACAGCTGACTCTGAGAAAGTTAAAGAATTGTGGCCCGAATGCCTAGCAGCTCACTAACCGAGAGTAATTTGTGACGCAGACAATCCACAAAGCGAGAAAAACATTGATCGCCTATGTAAAGTTTTCCAACAATCAGAATATTTACGACGAAAACAACAACAATTAAAAAGGTGGGTAATTCAATCGAAACTTACTGATTTATTGTAGATAATAATGAAGCGATTTGATCAAACGTCATACTTTTGGCAACTTGACCAACAACATTTAAAATTGGTTCAATACGTGAAATTATTTCCGACCATATACGTGAACGACCAGAATCTAATTTACAAGCGACATAATCATGCCATTGTCTGGCCAACTGTGGATCACAACCATGATCGTCATTTATTATCACTGATGATTTTGTCATACTATCACTACTACTACTACTACTACCATTATTGTCTTGATCGATTTCAGTAGTAGCAACTATATCATCATTACTAATATTGTCAACTTTTAATTTAGGTTTATAATATTTTGAATGATTATCTACAGAATTTGAAGTGGATGATTTCGGTTTAGTGTGGTATGATGAAGAGGAAAATATTTCTGATGACTAGAAAAGAAAAAAAAGATTAAGAATGATATTTAAAGGGAAAATAATTTGTAAACATGGTAGAGGTATTAGTTTTGTGTTTGTAGAATGACTGATTTCAACTTAACAAACACAATAAACATAGATGATTCATTTCAGTTTTCTCAATCTCCTCTTCAGTAATATGCACTTAGGATTCGACACGGGAGTGTGTGTACCATGCTGCAGTTCAATTAGCTTATTGATTACACTCCGCACGAGATATACCAAATCAATGACATAAATGGGAAAACTGAAGTAAACATTTTGATAAAACATGTGCAGATATGATTGTCTTTCCGATTCAAACAAGGATATGCAGAGTGAGTACATAATAGACTTTCACATAACCACGATATAAAATTAGGATAGGCTATCAGTGAAAGTATATGACAGGTCAACACTTGATCATTATACTGGGTTAAACTCAAGACCTTCAAAATTTCGTGGCAACCAGTAAGCTAGAAAACAATAGTTTTAATTTTAGTCAAGATAGATAATCTGAATATCGGTCAATATCAAAAATAAATTACTATCTAATTCTCTATACGGTTCATCAGCAACAACCTACTGTGTGGGAGAACAAACCAGAGTCCAGCAGATGAAGAAATTAGAAGAAAGCGCTGAAGGTGGATCGAACAAAAATTGAAGGAAGCATGCGACTGCATCACAAGGCAAGGCCTCACTTGGAATGTTCAGGGCCGAGTAAAAAGAGGAAGATCAAAGAACACATTACACCGAGAATTGGAAGCAGATATAAAAAGAATGAACAGCAACTAGATAAAACTGGAAAAGATAGTACAAGATAGAGTAGGTAGAAAAATGCTGATCGGTGGCCTATGCTCCATTGGGGGTAACAGACGTAAGTAAGTAAGTCTTTAAACGGTTGAATCATATTATTTACTACTTAATAATAGCAAATAAGTACATTCAGTAAGTCACATCTATATGAAACACAATATTAATTTTCAGCGCGCTACGTAGAAAAGTTTAAAGAAAATTGAGATAACGAGAGTTTAAGGATAAGGCAGTTTTCATAGAAATCATGAATTGATCAATGTTAGGTGACCATCGGAAAACTAGTAGCACTGGACAACCGTTCCGTACTAGTGTGAGAGTCAGCAGTATGCATCCACGACCCTGGAAGCGAGGATCAAACGCAGAGACATTCAGTCTCCGGCGCGAATTCTTATCATCTTGACGGCTGGGCTGGAATCAAAAGATAGTTTGTTTCTATCATCTGTGACTCCTTAGTATATATTTTAATTCCTTCCAATTAGGTACAACAGAAATTAAAAATATTATCGATGATTTCACCGAATATTTCTCAAAATATATAGAAGTAAATAAAATAAACTATTATGTAATATTAGTAAATAAACGTACACTTTTACCAGATGCTCGATTTTTATGCCATTGAATTGTACGATGATAACATAAGAGAATTAGCCACATATTTTGACAAACTGATCTCAAACATGGTAAAAAAGTCCAATGCGGAAGTTGCTTTGAATAATAATAATAATAATAATGACAATAATAATAATAAAGAAAAGAATAAACAGCATACATATTTAATGAACTACGACAATACTATATGAAACAGTTGTTTAGTGATAGTTAAATCCCACTTAATCAAAGTGAACTTTGACACGAGTAGCATTAGTGGCTACGTTGCAGCATGATTGACAGAATTCAGTAAGCACTGAGTTGTGAGATCAAGTCAAATAACAATTAAAGTTAACAACGGTAATGAAAGAGATTTGTAGTTCAGCTGGATGTGCTTTTACTGGAGCTGTGTTACTCTGTGTTTCAGGACAATATTCAAAGTTTATAACAATCTTTGTATGATTAAAATCTTGTATTTCAAGAGTGTATTTCGTGAAATTCATTCAGATAAACATCTTAATTGACTGGTTATTTCTTTTCGTTTTTTAATCTCCCAAAAAACTTCATTGAATAAACAATTTTTGTTGTGCAGAATATGTGGGAATACTGATTTTGAAAAACACAACTCACTTGACATAATTCCGGATAAGAATGATCTGTGATTAATTTATTCACGGATGTATCTGACTGAGATGATGCAGAATGCACATGGAATTGAACTAGATAGAATGATTTACGTTGTACAGCTGCTACATAATGCATTTGTAATTGAGCAAATGTTGTTTGAGTACTTCCTAGTAATCTATGTAAAAATTAAGAAAAAATTACAACGATTGGCATTAATTACATTTAATAAATACAGTCTGAAATAAAATTCAGAAAACAATGTTATGCTATTTTGAAATTTTCGGGTAACACAAAATGTCGAATGATTTAAACAATAAGCCACTATTTGAGACGTTCAAAGATTAAAATTATGTAAACACCTCGGTTAAAATCACAATCGGTTTTGTTGAACAAATGGGGTATACGAAAAAAATCTATGATCCTTTATCTATATACATTTATGACATATATATATATATATATATATATATATATATATATATATTACATAATAGTTGTCAGTTGTTAATAAGACGTATTTGATAGGCAAGATATACCTAAACATCTCATATACCTGGGTTCAAATCTTATGCCTATGCGAAATGGTAGGTGAAAAAATTAGACACAAAACATGCTATTGAAGGAAGTCGATTGTGTTTAGTCAAGGTCTCACTTTATGTCTTTGTTTGGATCAAAAATAAACATGTGCGTGTACCTGTTATTTGTGTACTCAATTATTCAGTTTGCCAATCATAGGTATTTCTTATTCTTCTCACTTACACTGGCGGTAGAGCAAGTGTACAAGAAATGTGTCGAACTGAATCGGACGATAATGATACAAGATAGTATCTACGATCTTGAAGGGATGAAATATTACAATTATTACAAGTGAGAAATTTGAGTAATAACGAAATAAGTAGCAGCCAATTTCTTTCCATTTATTCTTTCACAATATTAGAGTAATAGTGCCACGATGCTAAACAGTGTTGTTTAGAATGTCTTTCTAAAACACTGGAAGTAAACACATACATAACTTACTCAAATGCACGTTGAACAGTTGAATATGATTTCTCGTCAAACTGTTCACAATTTCTTTGCAATTCTGAATCTAATTTCTCATCAATACGTAATTCCGATGCTTTCAACTTGCTATGTATGGATCTTTTCGAGATAGCAACAAACAACAATCATAAATAAAACGAAATAAATTTCATAAAAATGTTATTTCACAGTTGTTCTAGAATTGTATATTGATATGTAGAAAAAAAAGTATTCATGCTTGTCTGTGGTTTATTATTATTATTATTATTATTATTATTATTATTATTATTATACAAGAACATGACTAGTGATCGAGATTGGAATATTACCACTAAACTATATACCCAACTGAATACACGACTCTAAATCAAAATTAGACAACCAGGTTATAGATTGGATAGAACTTTACCTTATGCAACACAATTACAAGCAGACTATACCCAATGACTCTAGATTAAAAAAACATATATTAGAAGGGAATCACATTTTAATTAGCCAATAAGTGAATGTAGGTTTAAGCTCCATAACTAATCACACCTTAATTTCGATAGGTGCATAATCCAGAACTCAAAATTAACGGTATAATCTACATAATTATTTAAGATAATATTTCCACAACTAAATAACTGTATATCACATTTGATAAAGTATTAATTAATTTCGATAAAATTTTTGTTCACGATTTCACAAACTTGATATGACGATGAACTTTTGTGAAAAAATATTCAGTTTGGTCAAAAAGAGATTGGTTTTATTACTAATTAGCAGGAACTAAACTAGGACAGTAAGTTGAAGTGTTTAACTAAAAAACTTAGGATTTGAAAGAACGGAATACAATAAAGACAAATTTACAGTAGATGTTTGTATTTAGTAAATACGTGACTTACAATATATTTTAGAATTCACGAATTGAAAGATTTTATTGGATTTGACAACCATTTACCGTCCATAAATTACCGTTCATTATTTATTTATCTATGGTGGTGTGTACTACTCGCAATGTAGTTTTTAATAGTATGCAAGGGAGTGTCGCCTGGGAGTTACTACTACTACTACTACTACGTGATGTAATCAGAGTGTTTTGAAGACCAGAAGAAATGTGAAAGAAGACAGTCAGCAGTTTGCTTGTTTTGAAAATGGAAGTATAAATATTGGGTGTGTGTATTCTGTTAATTAGCGGAGTCTTCTCTAAATGTCCAACAATTCTATCTTGTCTTGATATCTTCATTCCTTACACATTTACGTAGTTGCTTACTACAAATGAGCTAATTACTTACAAACTATTTTTTGGTAATTATCATGTAATTCACTATTCTAATTGTTACTCTCATCTCTAGGTATGTTTAAAACTATTACGGGTTCACCTTAGTCGAATAACGAGAAAAAAACAATGAAACAGCGTGCAGGCAGGCTAATATGATCCCTTACCCAAATGCACTAGCAAAAAATATTGGTATAGCGTAGGAAGAATATTACACAAACGCCCAACAAGAACACATAGAGTTTATTTTTACATCACAGAAACGTCCTTGAGATAGTTACAGAAATAGCACACTAAAATACACAGCAACCAATCACAGCGAAGGATTTTCTTAGTGGGAAATGAAATCTCAAGGTCAACTGATCAGCCCACACTCACAAACACGAATTCCAAAATTAAGGCATTTATCAAACGAGATCTGAGGATCTAACGACCCCAAAACTCCTCCCCTTTCTAATAGCGTGCGCTCCTGGGGTCGACTTGCATCTTGACTGTCGTTCGCCGCTGTCTGAGATGACACCTTTCAACACGAAGAACAGCTCTCTGCTGAGTTTCTTCTCGTGGTGGGGCTGCCGGTAGGTCGAGAGTATCAAGCAAGATTTCCAGGGGAAGATTTTCTGCTCTTGATGGACGGTCTGGGGCTAGCCATTTGCGTATGTGGCTTCGATGGCGTCACCACAATTCGCCTCCTACCTATACTTCGTACATAACCCTCCCAACTCTTCTGACCACTCGCGCTTCTGCACAAGGACCATGGTTTGTTCTATAGTCACGTAAAAGCACAGGACATTCCACTCCATACGTGGATTGTCTTTCCGACTTTGTCTGTACCAGTGTTGATGCATTACTCGGATGCATCAGGCTGTGGATCGTTTTCAGTCCTCTTTCCATCAGAATTTCTGCTGGCGACTTTTGCTCCGGTAACAATTCATTTGGTGTTGTTCGATAGACGTACAGGAAATTTTGTAACGCACCGGCTGGTGCCCCCTCCTCTTTGGACTTAATTAATGCTCTTTTAAACGTATCCACAAACCTTTTGGCTTGCCCAGTCGATTACGGGTGATATGGTGGGTGATCGGGTTTGGGCCATAAAACCGGCGGAAATTTGGCATTCATCTTTGACGCTTGCTGACACCACATGCACTTTACAACCAACTCTGTGATATGTTGATCCATTAGGGGCCAGTACGCATAACTCCTTGCTATGGACTTCATTCATCTAACCCCTGCAGGATCAAGATGGAACTGTATCAGCACTTTCGCACGAAGGGATTCTGGCACCACTACTCTTTCACCAAACATCAAACAGTCGTTCATGATGCATAGTGAATCCGCCGCTGATACAAGTGCTTCATGTCACCATCAAACCTCTTCGACGGCCAACCGTTAGTGACATATTTTTTATCTTCATCATGATGATGGGGTCGTTTCTAGAAGCATTTTGTATGTCTGTTGTAGACACCGGTAATGTGCGAATCGCGGTTGTCAGATGACATTCCACGTGGTCTTCCACTGACAGAGATGCTATTACCATGTTTTCCTCAGCCGCCAATTGATCATTAATGAGTCATGACAAAGCGTCTGCCTGACCGAATTGTAGAGTGCGTCGATATTGGATTCCGAAATAGTACCCCAAAAGTACCAAGGCCCATCGCTGAAGACGATTTGCAGAATGGGCTGGAATGCCAGACTTTGAACCAAATATTGCTAACGGAGGCTTGTGAACTGTGAGAAGCGTGAATCTCCGACCGTACAGAAACTTATGGAAACGGTGAATAGCAAACACAAGGGCAAGAGCCTCTTTTTCTATCTGGCTGTACTTCTTTTCCGGTGCTGTTCTTCTGCAATAGACCATTCAATGGAGCGCGAATATCATGCATCGAAGGAACGAATGCTGAATAATAACTGATCAATCTGAGAAAAGGTCGTAATTGCGAGACATTAGTAGGAGTGGGCATCAGTTTGATAGCTCGGATGTTCTCAGGGATCCGGTCTGCGGCAATCGGCATCAAAGATGAATCCCAAATACTTTAACGACTGTAATAAAAACTGGCATTTTTCTGGGTGTAACGGGAAACCGTTGTCACTGATGTGTTGTAGTACCAATGTCGTGCGTTCCCGTAGCTGTTCTAATGTCTTCGTAACAATTAAGATATCATCGATATAAGCTGCGACACCTGGGGTATCTGAATTGCTGGAAGATAGATGGGGCAGCCTTAATTCCAAAAGGCAGACGGTTGTACTGAAAAAAACCATGATGGGTATTGATAGTAAGCAGCTCTTTTGATGCTCCATCGACTTCCACTTGCAAATAAGCGTCAGCTAGATACAGCTTTGCGAAAAACTTTCCCCCATTCAGCATAGTAAACAGGTCTGCGGGGACTGGCAGAGGATAATGATGCTATTCAAGAGCTGCATTGAGGCCTGTAGAAAAGTCAGCACACTTACATATCGTGCCATTGGCCGTCTTGATAACAACTATAGGTAGTACCCAAGCAGAGTAAGAGACAGGAGTAATAACTCCTTGTTGTTGAAGACGATTCGATTCTTCATCTACTGTTGCTAATGTTGCATAAGGTACGGGTCTCTTTGGATGGAAAGCAGGCTAAGCCCCAGGTTTCAACCGAAGTGTTGCTTTCATGGCAATACACCGACCTAATCCAGGTTGGAAAATGGTTGAAAACTGCGTCATTAGATTCCTCGTATGTGCTTCGGGGTCATGTGGTCGTGATACCTGGTGGCATAAGATATTTAACAGGACATCAGCCAATTTTAGCTGGTCAAACTAATCTAAACCAAGTAAATTTAAATCAGCTAGCGTTATATAACATACCCCAGTAAATGACGAGTCTCGAAAGGCAACTTCACATTCCAATTGTCCTAACAGACGAAGGTGATTACCACATGCTGTACGAGGCTTCTGTCTTGTCTGCTGCAGGCTTGGGCTGCCAAATTTGGTCCAATTTTTACGTGAGAGGATGGTGACGTCAGATGCGGTATCTATTTGCAATCTAAACGAATGCCCATTAACGTTAATAGTAATGAAATTCCTCTCACCTGGTGATGAGCTTTGACAGGAAGATATTAGGTTCAATCAAATGGTACCGGATCGAGGAACAGACTTCTTGGTACTTTTGGATCTGTTCGGCTTTCTCTTTAGGCAAAAACCATCTTTATGAACTATGACCTTACACTTCCTGCATCGATGTTGCCTAAATAGGCAGTTTCATACATAGTGCCATGAGCCGCAGTGCCAACAAGGTGCAGGGGGATTCGTTTTCGACTTTTGGACTGAGCTGGAATGTGATGAAATGGGTGTAGCAGGGGCTACTTTATTATAGTCATGTAATTGCTGCTGAACAACGTGAACTTCTGAACCACCCTGGCTCCCAGATTGAAACAAAGTGGTGTCATAATGCGAGTTGATAATGCGTTGGTACTCATAGGTGATCGCATTGAGTGTCAGTAATGGGTCTTGTTTAAGGCGATTAAGCAACCGAGTTCTGATATCGGGGAATTCGGGTGATTGAGGACTGCATATGAATATGAGGGATTTGAATTGGTCATCAGTCAGGGATCTGAGTTTGAACCGTTCGCACTCATGGCCGACAATGCCGATATGGGTCAAGAAGTCGTCGGACTCATTCATGACCAGTTTTAAGCAGCGGTAGCGACTGTTGAAAAGAGAGTGCTGATCAACAAAAAAGTTGGCTGACAGACTGGACAGTAGCGTCGAAGAAACGGTCTCGTGGATTCTGCGATAGGATGAAGTTGCAATACTTGTCCAGCTCTGACGGACCACGTTTCCGAAAGAGAAGACGCACCTTCCAGGAATCATCTCTATCAGCAAGGTCAACTTTGAAGAGGTCTTCATAACGCCTGAACCAGGTATTAAATGTCATATTGGCGTCAGGATTATAAAGAAACTCTGAAATACTACTGTAATAGCATCGACTAACTGAGGGATTGTCGGTGTAGATGAGAAATGAGAAGAGATGTGTGCCTGTGCCATCTGCATCAGCTTCAGCTGTTGTGTAAACAATTTTTCTAATTTAGCTGGATTCATAGTTAGTCACCAACCCGTTTGCCAAAACGCCGTCGCCAATTGTTACTCTCGTCTCTAGATATGCTTAAAGCTGTGACGGGTTTACCTTATTCGAATAACGAGAACAAAAGTATGAACCAGCGTCCAGGTAGGCTGCTGTGATCCCTCGACTAAATCGTACCAGCAAGAAGTCTTGATATAGCGTAGGAAGTGTATTCTAAAAATACCCAGCCAGTACACATTGAATCCAAGCACACAAATCGAGTTTATTTATACACCATAGAGACGTCCTTGGGAGAGTCACAAAATAACACACTAAAATAACCAATCACAGCCAAGGATTCTCCAGGTGGGAAATGTGATCCCAAGGTCATCTGATAAGCCCGTGAAATAAATCCAAAATTACGACATTTGTTAAGCAAGTTCTGGTGATCTAACATTCCCAACAGTAATCTACATATATGAACTGTGAGTCATAAAATAAACAGTGAGTCAACTGGGTTTTTTCATGTTCTAATTGTGTCCGCCTCGAGGACACAACTCATATAGGTCAATCATTATCAACAAATTTAAACGAAAAGAAAGGTACAGCTAAGTTCATCGTTATTTGACATAAGCGATTGTCCTACTAAGTGAGCCATGCAAACAATGGACCTTGCCTAGATATACTGAACCACGAATTTTCATTTTTTCTGGATAGTGGATAAAGGCAGAACGGAACCGTGAAATGCAGATACACATAGCTGATGAGTCCTAAAAAGGAGAAGACGCTCATCTAGGTTTGCACTCTTAGCTATCATCAAATTAAATATGAAATCCACTAAGAACATTCGAATCATATAGTATCATTTTAGTGATTTGGGGTAGACATATTACGTAATCATACACTGTTCAATTGTATTTATGAATTGAACTGCCTTAAATGGTAATAAAACATTATTAAACAATCGCTAATGTGATAAGAAAATATTCGCAATTAGGTTAGACTAATTTTGGTTTACTCATATCCTTGATAAATATACTAAACAAAATGCTGATTTCCACTCGATGCTTACATAGATTTCCCTCGTTTTTTGTTCACAAAACAAAACTTTCAAAAACCATCTAAAAAAATCAGTGATTTTGTGAATAATATTAGCGCTAAATGTTTTCTTTTATACCAAACAATAAAATAATCGTTGAAGTCATATGTAAACAGTAAACTTTGCTATTTCACTTTGGATTTCCACACCAACCGATGTCATTTAGATTGTATCAAAACAGTGAAAAAAACTGAATTTTATGTCAAACACGTTACCTGCTCACTTGATATACATTCAGTAGTTGACCAGTTTTAAAAAATTCCTCGTATTCGAAATAATAGCAGTACTGACATCTCTATAATACATAGTTAATCAAGCTACAATCATACGTTGAAAGTTGCATTAGGTGTACTAATGTATGTGGAGTCTAAAGGGTTTATTCCAGCATTTGGACAAATTAATTAATCGATTCTTTTCGAGTTACTCTCACGTCTCGTGACCTTGTCAATTATAGCTTGATTGTTCTTGCTTGTGTGTGTGCACGCTTCGCTTATCAGATGTCTAGCCTATTTTGTCGATGAGTACTCAGCCACGTCTCATCACATCAAGTCTCCTGATTCGTCTTTTCCACTTCTATTTGCCTTACTTTTGCGCCTTTGATTCTCATGTCTGTCTGCGTGAACGATTGCATAAAATAAACTCATTCGACTAAATCCGTATTTACCTTCTTATTATCGCAGTCCCAAAAAGTGGGTTCGCCTAAGTATGATTTACGGAAATTGAAGGGAAGAATTATTTCATGGCATACTCGAAAGTTTGTACAAATCGGAGTCAGATAATCGGGTCACTAAAAATTCAAATGTCTTATATATTGTTGTATAAATTGATATTTCAGTGATAATAGGATGTCTTAACGATATTTATCAATCTAAAAGGCTAGAAAGTGAGCCAGTATTCAATCACCCCAAACTGGATGGAAGCTCAAATAAGAGTGATGGACAATAGACATTGCGAAACATCTAAGTCTACAACTTACTCAACACATCGGTATGAACGGAAATCTTCTAAAAGGACAAGACTTTCACGATGTAATTGAATAGCACCATAAAAGTCACCTTGCTATAAAAATAAAACAAAGCAATTCGAACAAATGGGTTTTTTAAAGAATAACATAACACACATTTTATCTTCAGCATAAGTTTAAGACTCTTAAGTAGTAAATACTAAGCAGTGACCCAACCAGAAATCGGGACCCAAAACGATCAGAGACTACAACAATTATGTTATTTATAAATCATTGAGTTATTGATCTGATCACTTGCGACGAGACCGCCAATGTGCACTAGTGAAGAGCCTTATACAAGAGAGGAACATTTTTTTAATGGTTCTACAGCTAAAGTTAAACGTAATGTAAATTTCCAAAAGCGATTAACCCTAAATTTTATAGTCGTTTCCCATCAAAATAATTATTATATAGCATTAGATTCAATGATATTTTACTCAATAAATAACGGTAGTCAACTGACCAACAGAACTTTAATGATCCAACTGAAACTCATCACAATAATCAAGAATTTAACAAAAATCACAAAACACTATCGTAGCATGATTAAACATCTGTACAATTATTAGACATCTAGTGGAAGCTAGGAAGAACTGGATAGCTGTTTCGCCCTAGTATGGCACTTCTCAGCAAGCGCAATCACAATCATAACAGGAGTCGAGCACAGAATCTTCGGTATCTAACTGTGTTAATGTCTGACTTCAATCGATTAATGGCGTTGCGCAATCATTGTCGTCTGCCCTATTACTGCTAACCAGCATTACTACAAAGAGACCGAAATAGATGATCGAGTTTTTACTATAATTGGATTGAATGCTCACTATACAGATACTAAATCACGTTAAACTAGATCCATAATTCTTGACCAAACTAGGAAACCGGAGTAAGTAACAGACAATATTTCGTTTTATACACCTACAAACAGTCACTTTCAGTGAGTTCGGAGTGGAAATAAATTACGGCAAAAAACCCGCATATTTTATAGCCAGCAGGTCGTGCCTGTTTGTCGACATTCGATGACCAATGAAATTTTCCTTTCATTACCACCATGCATCAGATTTCTATACAGTAAACTTAGTACTTGACACTAATTAACTAGTCAATGGTATGAAAACATATATATAAAATCATACAAATAAACGTCTATAACTAACACAATTATTATTATATAACTACGCCTCTGCCTAAGATGCGACTACATGTCAAAGACTCGGACGGAAAGAAATTAACTTCGTACATCGATTGCACTGCAGTTATATCAGAAACGTTCAGAAATATGTTAAAATAAGTAATGACTTATGTGTTTTTTTACTTTTGGGACTTACTGGAATATATAGAAAGCACTACCTAGATTAAATGTACTTCGGGAAGTCCTTTAATCTACCGTGACAATAAGTTGGTTTGCTTAAAAAAGTCACGTCTTTGGAAATCTCAAGTGTTCGTTACCAGTTCAGACAGTAAATTTTTATATACTGGGTTATGCAAACAATTATGAGAACAAATTTCGATAGTGTGATTAACAGCTGAGATTAAAATCTAGAAGTTAAAAGCATGGTAAGTTTGCTCATAGAACGCTTATCACTTCTTTTTTTAGCTGCTTCCTATAACTTAAAACTACTTTTAAACGATACCTCGAACAATAGAGAAAAAGCGTGCAATCTAAGATTCTTATTCTAAGGTTAAGTTGATTACAGAAAATCGAGGGTATTTACAGAGTTGCGTGTGGCCATAGTCTTCTATAAATTACTGGAAACACACTAAATATAGTAATGGTATTGTTAATTGTCAGATCAAAAATATGACACGTGATTCGTGTAATGTTTCTAGATACTTTCAAGATAATCCTGTGAAATGCTGCTTGGATAAAACACTTCCTGCAGTTTTTTAGGCTTCCAGAGTCTTTGATAACGGATACTTGATGGACTCCTCAATATAAACCAATATGTGACTGATCAACGTAATTAATAAGCTTCCGGAATAGGAATAAGCGAAGTGAACTTACAACTCAACAGTGAGGAGTTAAGCGCATGAACAACCAAGCTGGCGTTTTACATCCACACATAACATAATACCACTACTACTGTGGTGCTGTGGTGCGAACTACTTATAAGTAGTATATAACGTGAGTGTCAACGTAAAGTCTGGTAGCATAATACGGGGGGAAGATCAAGAAAGGAAGAGTTAGAAAACAATGGAATTTGTATGAAACGCATGAATAGTGACAATGGATTGATGTTTGGCAACAGAAACAGTCCAGTTCCATAGGATGAACTGATCTTTTGCAAATGAACGATTTACGATATGGTTTTCCGATTTTACTGAGTAACTCTGTAATTTTCGTTAGATACAATTCGGTTGCCCCACCTGTGTTCTCATTCACTACACTACTACCAAAGTAAACATATTAAAGAATATTAAACATTTAAAAATGAATACATGCCTATAAATCATACCTTAATAAGTGTGTCAAGTTGGTGAGCATTATTCTGTAGATTGCGCAATCGAAATAAAATATTAAGTGTTTGTTTTAATCTTAATTGTCTACGATGATTACGTAAAACAATTAGTCGTGATAGGACTAATGTTTTATCAGCTTGTTTTAATGAGCTATCAATAATAATGAAAAGAGGAAAGAATAACAAAATCATTGATAAACAGATAAACAAAAAATGTTTAACAAGTGATAATCTTTAGGCGAATTAATCAGTAGTATCTTTGGATTCAAATTTATATCTTTCACATGGTTGAGTATTTTCGAAATGTAATGGGATCATTGCAAATTGACATAGATATAATCTGTTTTGTTCGTTGATTGACAGATTAAATGAAAGTAATTGATAACAAAATATGTTTTTTCTGCTTTATAGTGATTAGAAATATCATTAGTCTTGACTACTATCTGAATGATTTTGATACAAACGACTAGGTATTGGAGGTTAGCTTGACTGGCCTACAATTCTTGTGTATTGAAGAAACAACTGAGCAATTCTCTTATGAATAGTTCTGTTGTGAACACAATAAAGACAACAATTGGTACACAACATTTTAACAGTTAGTTGCGCTAACACATGAAGAAAATAAACTAGGTGAGAAACATGATCCTCAAACAGAACAACTTGTATTAGTACAACTTAGCATATAAATTAATGAAAGCTTGATCTTGAAGAGCACACGAAATAATAATGAACTAAAATTAGTATGACTAATAATCAGAAAAGCGCAGAGGTCACGAGAAAAACCGAATTAGAAAAATAGCAATTTCAATTACTGTTACGACTAGTAACACTTCAATGTTATCAACAAATTTCGAGTAATCCTTATGATCGGCTTAGAATGATCATTGTTAATGGCTAATCAGTTCTATTGACTAAATATCATTACCAGTTAGGAAAGAATTAATCAGCATTATTTATGAATCTCTTATTGATTTAACTTAAATGTAAGTGCCTGGTTGTCAACAAAATTAGAGATATGTATATGTTCATATCACTACTGGTTATTAAAGACTTACATTTATGGTTAAAAGTTCGAGTATGGTATTGAAGCCAGTTCACTTTCTACCGATTGAGTTACTTTGTATGATATTTCCCGTGCCTACTAATCAATAACTACAAAATGCAACTCCTGTAGTTCTAGTGAGAAGTCATAACGAGTGGAGTTCAACCATCTCGAATGTGAGACATACCGCAGACAATCGATGAAAGTTACACAATACAGTAAAATGTATAGCTCAATGACTTAGAAGTAAAGCGTTGACGCACGAGACTAAAAGTCACAGGTTCGATTTTCGGGTCCAGGTTTGTGCATGAGAACTAGTAAACAGTTGCATATCAGGATGAAATGGCCGTTAAGTATTTTCATACTATTAATAGTGATCTAGCTAAGATCAGTTCGTGATTTAAACTATGAAAGTTATTTTTTGATTTTGAGTTTAAACGAAAATATATTCCACAGTTAACTAGAATATTATCATTGAAACAACAAAGTCTTCAGCGTTGATCGAATTTAATTGGCTAAGTTTGAGAAATAGTAACTAAATATGTGAGTGGGCTAAATATAATGTGAAGTGGTCGGAGGCAATTGGACTACGACAAGACGATAAATCGATCACGATTTACGTAATTGATTGGCAGAATGTACACCTATTTCAAGAACTTCGCTGAATGAAACTTATTTTTGAAAAACTAGTGAACTGATTGTGATTACATATACTACTACTTTGCAAACAGAAACTACCTTTCTAAGACGACTTAGTGGGCAGCTGGTTAAGGAATTTCCGGAAAAAGGTAGTACTGTTCAAAGCGAGGATATGATATCAGCGGATGTAGTTATTGGCCGCTAGACTGAATAACATCAATTTGTCAGTCATTATGCCAAGTTGCCACACCACATGAACAAGGAGAGATAGAATTGTCAATTGAAATCCCATAGCAGTAGAGATAAAATCGGTATATGTGTAAGTTAAGAATGAGACCCATAAAACAGTTGACAACGGTAGGTAATGTCATTCTAGTAGCAGTACACTTGAGGTAATGTTTTCAATCCTCCCTTATATTTTGAGCTTAGTATTAAGCCAGATCCTTCGTTATTTGATCTCATTCGTTCCTTTTGAATTGAGTTCTTATGTTTGATTGTCACTGAAGTATGCAGTAGTATATCTTCCTCCACTTTTCAAAATTATTTGCTTTCTCATTATGTTCGTGTGCAGTATGTTGACACCATGAATCGACGCACATTTATAATAGTCGATATTACCTCAACGAAAACTGACTCTAACGTTAATGTCATTTATATTCGAATCTATTAATCATAAATTAAGAAATGGAATCACAGACACATATAATTACAAACTCTTTGTTAGAAAAGAAGTGTATACTTTCTAATTTCTCGACACATGCACAATGTTTCCCAATTGTCTGATTGTAATGATAAAACACCCTTTAATTCCGCTTCATATTGTGGATGCTTTTCCAGAACCAATTCAGAAACGCGTCTAGATACAGCTTTATTCTGACGGTCCAATGCTAAAAGACGTAATTTTAATTTGGATAATTCACGACAATTTGGTCCAGCGATATTCTGTCAAATGAAAATATTTCAGTATTATTATCTATATCAGATTAATTGTATTTTGCTTCATTCTCCCTCATATACAAGTTGAGCGTGTGTGTACAGTGTTTGGAGGGATGTTGAGATTTGATGACTTACACATATAAACTGATATATGCTTGAAATATATATATATATAAGTTTGCTGTTTGTGTTCTTTTACTCAAACTTTATGCTAAGAATATAAAGGAAAGGGTGTTCTGGAAGAATAGGAGTCAAGATTATTTCACGTTAATCGTGCCAGTCAGAGTGAATAATTGGCCTTAACGTAAGACGTTAGTCTATATCGAAAACTGTTTACTCAAGAGAGAGAATTATAAATTTCGAAATACTAATTGGTGCATTTCTATCAAGTGATTACGATTAACTCTTTAATTTATAAATGTTTTGAATGTAGCACTGTGTACACTAAGCATTTAACTCTGGATATCACTTTAGAAGGACAAAACGGTAATCGTAATAATCACTATTCATTACTCTACTATAAAAACTCATTTACAAAGTACAGATTCGGATACTGTTAGGATATTCACCAAATATCCTAAGAATACTATTTTTAGAAGTGCAATCCTATTGGTCGAATTCTATTGGCCGAAATTATGATCGTTCTTACCGTCAGGGTCAAATACTTCAATGTTACCTCTTATTGGTCATCTGGACGGTCAATGTCATTCAAATGTTCTTTTCTATTGGTAGTCCTAAATTGTCAATGTCACAGACGTTGATGCTTTTTCTTATTCGACCTTAGTGTATGAATACGCGCTATCTGGAAGAATTAATAATTCCGTTTCCCCTGCCTACTTCTCCTTCTGTATTCGACCCAATAAACAACTTCTTTCCACGGTGTTACGTTCTGATTTCTAGGAGATTTGGATAAGCCTTTTGGGTCGTATTGTGATATTTGAATTGGACGTCGTTAGGACTGAAGAGTTTTAAGTAGCAGCATTACAACCGATACTGAGCTTCAAATTATACTTTTAATGTGGGCTAGTAACACTAATGCCAAGTAGCCCTAGAGAATGTACAGTGAAGTTCAGTCCTGTGATTTAATGGTTCAAATTAGAGAATGTTTCAACCGGTGATGTGCCAATCCTCAATAACCAAGAATATCGAGTATTAAGCCATACTTTTTATTATTGACCGCATATAACGTTATTCAATATCATGAATTTTCTTAGTATGACAGTGACTGATGTCAGAAGTATAAACCATTGGATGCTGATGTAGTGGTCTTAAGATTAAGTGCTCACTACGCGAAACCTAAAGGCTTTAGGCTCCATCACCAGTGGTATAACGAAGGCCAACTGTTAAGGAGTCGCGTACTAGGATGAAGCAACTGTTTACCTCTTCCTGGTTTTCAATGGTTATGTAAAGAAAGTAGACTCATGATGTATACAACAAAATTTTTAAAAAAATATTTTCTCCATCCTTCATGGTTTCTAAGAATAATATAAACGATCTGAGTTTATAATTGATTTGATTTACGTATTGAGTAGCCCTGATAACAGAAATCGACTGTGGTAAATCAATGCAACTAGACTCGATTCGAAAGTATATCGTAGGAGGATGTTTATTATTGAATAGAAAAATCGATCTGACTATTTAATTTGTTTGATGTAGTAAGACTAGATAAAGAAAACAACACGATATTTTTTGGAAAAACGTGAGATGGTGTACAAGATTACATTTAGTAAATGTATAATATACTTTAAAATCTGCAGGAAGTTAATTTAGTAGAATGATTACATCTAATGTTAAGATATGTACGAACGACCAACCTACAAAATCTAGTGGGAAGTCGTGACCAGTGAAGTTCAAACCTGTTCGGATGTATACAGGGTATGAGGTTGCGCAACTCCGTGAATTTGATCAAGTTAGACATTAACACCGTTAGATACCGGCTCAGTGGTCTAACGGTTAGGGCGTTCACGCACAATACTGAAGCTCCTGGGTTTGAATCCTGCCGGGTGCAGGAGTCATAGATGCGCACTACTGATGAGTCCTATACCAGGACGAAACGGCCGTCCAGTGCTTCCAGGTTTCTAATGGTGGTCTAACGTTAATCGATTCATGGTTACAAATAAAACTTAACAATCTTCACAACAACCCTGCAATACAAAAACTTAGATCTAATATCAGTCAGTCAATTACGTACGCACGTCAGTTCAAGTTGCTATACCACATCAGCACAGAAAAACCACTGTCAGTTCAAATACCAAAGTGGTGGAGATAGCAGAAGAATTACTGGTAATGAAGAAAATTAGGGGGCGAAGGTTTTATTCAAGAAGTATAGTTCAGTGAGATGACTTTAGCAGAAGAGAGATCAAGATTAAGAGGTTTTCTAAAGGTTAGAATTCGAGAGAAAACTAAGGGTGGATGCATCTGTGCTATTGCAGACGACTCTGAGCCATGTCATTCAAGGTCTCTAAACATCGATTACTATGGTCTCGCAAACCCCAACCAGGTAGTCTACATCCAGCAACATGATTCAGTCCACAAGTCAGTGACTTCATGGATTTCTGACATGTTTTTGTCTGGCCACTGCTACCTTTCTTCCAGCCTACTCCTACATCACAAAACATCACTCATCGAAGCAGTCGATAGTTAGGCATTTGTAATACATGTCCCAAACACCTCAACTGTACTGCAGCGCAGTACACTCGTCCTTTAGTCAGCAAACGGATATCTCGCCTACACGATAACTGACGCAGGTTGGCAAAAGGCGATCGAGCCTTCTGAACTGGCTCTTCTATATCACACGCAACAACCAATGCAAGAGAAGACAACCAGTGTAGCAGCAGCCTCAGCAGCAGTAGGTCTCAACATACATAAAAGGAAAGGTAAGATTCTACGATACAACACTACATGCGCCAACCAAATCACGCTTGATACAGATTCTTTGGAGGACATGAATACCTTTACATATCTGGGCAGCATCATCGACAACCAAGGTGGATCCGATGCAAATGTGAGGGCGCAGATCGGCAAAGCAAGTGCTGTATTTCTACAATTGAAAAACATCTGGAATTACAAAAAAATGTCAATCAACACCAAAATCAGGACATTCAATATAAATGTCAAGACAGTTCTACTGTATGGAGCGGAAACTTGGAGAACTACAAAAGCCATCATACATAAGATACAAGTATTTATGAACATTTGCCTTCGCAAAGTACTTCGGATTTGTTGACGAGACACTATCAGCAACAACTGATTTTGGGAGAGAAAAAAACAAGATTCCAGTGGAGGAGGAAATCAGGAAGAAGTGATGGAAGTGGACAGGACACACTGCAAAAAGCACCTAACTGCATCACAAGACAATCCCTCACCTGGAACCCTCAAGGTGAAAGGAAAACAGGAAGGCCAAGGAACACATTACTCCGAGAAATATAGAAAGATATGAGACGAACGAACGAAAACTGGAAAGAACAAGAAAGAGAGGACCAGGACAGAGTTGGTTGGAGAAAACTGGTCAGCGGCCTCTGCTTCGTTGTGCGGTGAGCGGCGTGAGACAGTAAAATACTAGCAGTCGTTGAGTAGGCTGTCTATCAGCCTGCTCTTAGGCTGACTTCGTTCTTCATCATGTTCAGAGCCAGGTGGGATGAGTTTTCGAGCAATCATCAGTTAAGTGGATGCTACTGAGGTCCACGGCTTCATTCTAGCCTTATGGTTTACCTTGTAAGCAGGTATCACTGATATTTCCACAGCTATTTGGATGTCATTCCAACCTGCCTAACTGTTTCTCTAGTTGTTCATGATATATATTCTTAGCTATGCTATCATTAGGTAGAACCCTAAAAGGTTTGCTTGCGGTGTCTTTCCTTCGTCCAATAAGTCGCAAACAAATACTCGCTCGCACTAGGGCATAATCTGAATCTAAACATGTGCCCCAAAACGAGCGACAGTCCTCTATTGAACCCCTCCATTGGTGGCTGATGGCAGTGATCTAGCTGGGTCCAGCGATGGGACGACTTTAGGGGTCGCCACGTCAAATGATGATTTTCCTTATGCTTAAAGTTAGTGATTGCTAGAAATAGATGGTCATCTGAGCATAGCTGAAGCAGACGGTCGCCATTGTCTGTCCTTTGAGCCGCGACAACATAACATCCACATAGGTGTCTTTCATTTTCACTTAGTCTACCTGCTTGAGCATTAAAGTCAACAGCCATTATAACTATATCAGAGTGCTGAACCTTTTGGAGGAGGTCCGAAAGCTTTCTGTAAAACTCATCTTTAACCTTGTCTGAACTGCAGTTAGTGGGAGCGCAGGCACATACGACGAAGAGGCAACGGCGAGTGTCCCCATCTTTCTAAGTCCTTACTGTCCCATTTAGTCGGACAGCGCACAAGCGACTATCTACAGGGATCCAGTCAAGGAGAGATTCTTCAGCTCTACGAATCAATGCTATACCTACACCAGCGAGAAACCGGAAAGCAGCATCAGGGCTACTGGATACACGAAAAGTATATTGCGCTGCTTCTTTATTTTGACAGGATGAAATCAGATTAATGATTTTACTAGGATCCTGTATGCGCGTTTTCGACACGCAGCACACATCGATGGCACGAGATTCTAAAGTCCTAGCTAATGATGCCTGTTGCCTTATTTGACACAATGTCCGTACACTAAAAGCTCCAACATGTAGTCTAGAGCGGGGTTGAGGAGACCAGGAATGACGTTTCGTGAACTCGCTTCGTTCGCATTAGCGATGCAGTGAGATAAGAGAATGTGAAAAGAGTAAGTCGTGGAGATAAGAGAGATATTAGGGGGTGTAGCAAGGATTTGATTTTGACCAATGTGGTCTCGCGTGCTGTTACGGGTATGAGGGCGGTTGTCACTTCCCGGCTGCCCACACCGTGGAAGGTTGTTTCTTGAGGAACCTGACACGGAAAATAGATTAGTGTTGGTCTTAGAGACCTGGGAGCGTGACCGCAGAGTTCAAGGGACAACTGCTTGAGGCCTGTCACGTACGGCCTTTTTATGAAACGTTTTTTGAGGATTAGCTCCGCTCTTTTACAGCCCTTAGTGGGCACCCTCACCCAAGGAGACGGAAATCCGTGAGGTAGGGTGAGGTGTGACATTTTTACGGTCGACCTTTTCTAACCCTTCCTTCCTTGTGAGAAGGCAGCAGCGCCGCAGATGCTGGTTTTCTCAGTTAAACACCTTACTGCTGTCACAACCCTCTACAGTCAGTCAGCAGTACGACTTCGCCCTCAGACTTTGAGTAGCTGCTTTTTGTCTCATTGTTCTTCAATCGATCAGCCTGGCATGGTAGGACCTGCAGGAACATATGTTCCAGCCAATATAGATCGGTTGGGTCACGTCAAGGTAACAGCTACGGTCGGGGGATCAAATATAATATAACTCGGTATATAAATACATTCCAAACTTTTGGTATTTAACCATGTTATCTGTGTAAGGACTAGTGATGCAGTAGTAACCAGACTACTTATCCCAAATGAAACTGAGCACAATTCGAAAATAAGATTCTAGGAGTTAAAAGTCCAACACTAAATGTCAAAACAGTGTTCCAATTCATATACGATAGGAGTGAATTAACTGATATTGTTTAAATATTAGAGCAGTTGCTGATGAAAAAAACAATGGACGACATAAACTAAATAATTTTATTTTAATAAACCAATACAACTCACTTCGATTTCATATTTTCCAGAATCAAATGTCATTGAATAATAAACATCTTCCACACTATTGATCAATTCTTGCATAACATGTGGATCTCGAGTTGGATTCGGTGAGTCGATAGAGTCCTGTAAAATACTATTATTAATTTCTTTTAAAGCATTAGAAAGCGAATAAGAGAAATCTAGCTAACAAATATTGTATTGTCGTAGGTCGTAGGAAGAGATAGATTTTGGTTTGTACTGTATAATTTTTTCGTGGAAAATTTACAGAACTAGTCACAATCGCACTTCATGCATTTACTCTCTACCGTTCTTCACTATCAGTTCATACAAATCTTTTCATTTAGTTTTCCCTATCATACTATCTTTATTACATAGTCTTTCTCATTATCATTGCTATTACAACGATTTCAACTTCTTGAAAATTTTATGTCACCATATTAATGTGTTATAGTAACTTGGGTCATCAGCACAGAGACGCAACTGTCAGAGTGATAGCGATAGTAGAAGTATTTGCAGTAATGGAGATTATAGTTCGAAGATAAGATTCGAGAAGTATAATTAAGTGAGATAACTTTCGAAAGAGAAAGATAGAGATGATGAGGAATTATGAAGGTTAAAATTAAAAAACACACAAAGAGTGGATGCACCTGCGCCATTGCAAACGATTCAGAGCCGTATCATTCAAGGTCTCCAACCATCGGTGACTTTCGTCTCGCGGCCACCAACCAGGTAGCCTACATCTACCGAAATTATTCAGTTAACTTGTCAGTGACTTCGTAGATTTGTGCCGTGTTTTTGTTTGGCCGCCTTTAGCTTTCTTCCAACCAATTCCTACACCACAAAACAATGCTCGTCACGGCAGTCGTTGGTTAGGTATTCGTAACACATGTCCCAACTGCCTACACTAATGAAGATTCAACACTTCATCTATTGATCTGTCACCCTTACCTAGTGTCCGTTTCCTGACGACAGCATTGCTCACTCGGTTGTCCCATGATACACGAGCAGTGCTTCAAAGACACCTATGATCGAAAACCAATAACCTACGAATATCCTCTACACTTGCTGGCCACGTTGTAGGACGGAGAGAACGGCTGCGCAGTACACTCGTCCTTTGGTTAGCAAACGGATATCTTGCCTGCTCCATAGGTGACCCAGGTTCACAAAAGTCAATGGAGACTTCCGTATCCGTGCTGAGATTTCGTCAGTCACCAGGCCATCAGCACTGATGAGACTCCCGAGATAAGTGAAATGGTCTACACGTTCGACTACTTCACTACCTATCACCAGTTCCAGTGAAGTCGCAAGCCGATCCTGAAGTAACATTTTGCATTTCGACGGGGAAAACGAATCCCGAACATACTTGTATTGCTGCTTAGGGTAGTCAGAAGACTCTGCATTTTGTCAGCGTCTTCACCGAATACAACTATGTCATTGGCATATTCTAGGTCAATAAGCGATTTTCCTGGTAGAAAGTCGACTACTGAGAAGTCGGACGAAGATATGGTCATATCTAGTAGAATGTCTATGACAAAATTAAACAAGAATGGAGAGAGTGGACAGCACTGACGGACACCACTTGAAGTGAAGAATTCCGGTGACAGTTCGCCATAAGCCCTCACTCGACCAGTGGTGTTCGAGTAGAAAGCTTGTATGAGGTTAATGTACTTCTTTAGTACACCTTTCAATGACAGGCACTGCAACAGAACCTCATGATCCACTGAGTCAAATGCCGCCTTAAGGTCCAGGAAAACAACTATTGTAGGACGCCTAAATGTGTGTCTGTGTTACAGAACCTGTCGAAGTGCGAAAATGTGGTCTATACATCCACGTCCAGGTCTGAAACCAGCCTGGTTTTCTCGAGTCTGCTCTTCATGAGCTCTATTTAGGCGTCTAAGCATAATCGAGGCTAACAATTTAGAAACTATATTAGTTAGACTTATTTCCCTGTGATTGTCACAAGAAGACTTTTGTCCTTTCTTATAAACTGGGACAATCAGAGATTGAGAATAGTCAGATGGGATTGCTTTGAATAGAGAAATGAGAAAACATATTTTGTGAGATAGTACCTTTCGTTCTTTCTCGTCAGTCACATACGAGCAACATGTTATTTGTGTAAATACAGTTTTGAAAACAAAATGCGTCTTCTCATTTCTCTATTCAAATTTATCAAAGGGAACCACTGTTTTGAAAATAGGATTGCGTCTAGTTCCCAGACTCTACCTAAGATCTCGGTCAAACTAACTGTTAAAACTGGCCGACCATCCCTAAAAATCTCGGGAGTCAATCTATCGAGGCCCGGTGCTCTCCCTCGCTTCAGATTTTCTATAGTCTTTTCAACTTCACAAAGTTTCGAAAGGCTCACGTCGACTTGCCATTCAAGATAACTGGAGATCGTGGGCAACCGAAGTGTGGCTGAACTGATGGCTAAATTGTTCTGCACATCGATCCGATCTCCTGGATTAAGATTAAATAATAGTCCCATCATTTTCCGAGATAGTCTCACTCTCAGTAGGATACGTTAAACAAGTTTCCTTGAGAAGTCGGAAAAGTTGTCTACTGTTGCATATCACCGCTGCCTTTTCTATCGCTATTGATTTCGCCACCCACCACTGTTCACAGTCGTTGCGTAGGCTGTCTATCAGCCTGCTCTTAGGCTGACTTCGTTCTTCATCATGTTCAGAGCCAGGTGGGATGAGTTTTCGAGCAATCATCAGTTAAGTGGATGCTACTGAGGTCCACGGCTTCATTCTAGCCTTATGGTTTACCTTGTAAGCAGGTATCACTGATATTTCCACAGCTATTTGGATGTCATTCCAACCTGCCTAACTGTTTCTCTAGTTGTTCATGATATATATTCTTAGCTATGCTATCATTAGGTAGAACCCTAAAAGGTTTGCTTGCGGTGTCTTTCCTTCGTCCAATAAGTCGCAAACAAATACTCGCTCGCACTAGGGCATAATCTGAATCTAAACATGTGCCCCAAAACGAGCGACAGTCCTCTATTGAACCCCTCCATTGGTGGCTGATGGCAGTGATCTAGCTGGGTCCAGCGATGGGACGACTTTAGGGGTCGCCACGTCAAATGATGATTTTCCTTATGCTTAAAGTTAGTGATTGCTAGAAATAGATGGTCATCTGAGCATAGCTGAAGCAGACGGTCGCCATTGTCTGTCCTTTGAGCCGCGACACCATAACATCCACATAGGTGTCTTTCCTTTTCACTTAGTCTACCTGCTTGAGCATTAAAGTCAACAGCCATTATTACTATATCAGAGTGCTGAACCTTTTGGAGGAGGTCCGAAAGCTTTCTGTAAAACTCATCTTTAACCTTGTCTGAACTGCAGTTAGTGGGAGCGCAGGCACATACGACGAAGAGGCAACGGCGAGTGTCCCCATCTTTCTAAGGCCTTACTGTCCCATTTAGTCGGACAGCGCACAAGCGACTATCTACAGGGATCCAGTCAAGGAGAGATTCTTCAGCTCTACGAATCAATGCTATACCTACACCAGCGAGAAACCGGAAAGCAGCATCAGGGCTACTGGATACACGAAAAGTATATTGCGCTGCTTCTTTATTTTGACAGGATGAAATCAGATTAATGATTTTACTAGGATCCTGTATGCGCGTTTTCGACACGCAGCACACATCGATGGCACGAGATTCTAAAGTCCTAGCTAATGATGCCTGTTGCCTTATTTGACACAGTGTCCGTACACTAAAAGCTCCAACATGTAGTCTAGAGCGGGGTTGAGGAGACCAGGAATGACGTTTCGTGAACTCGCTTCGTTCGCATTAGCGATGCAGTGAGATAAGAGAATGTGAAAAGAGTAAGTCGTGGAGATAAGAGAGATATTAGGGGGTGTAGCAAGGATTTGATTTTGACCAATGTGGTCTCGCGTGCTGTTACGGGTATGAGGGCGGTTGTCACTTCCCGGCTGCCCACACCGTGGAAGGTTGTTTCTTGAGGAACCTGAAACGGAAAATAGATTAGTGTTGGTCTTAGAGACCTGGGAGCGTGACCGCAGAGTTCAAGGGACAACTGCTTGAGGCCTGTCACGTACGGCCTTTTTATGAAACGTTTTTTGAGGATTAGCTCCGCTCTTTTACAGCCCTTAGTGGGCACCCTCACCCAAGGAGACGGAAATCCGTGAGGTAGGGTGAGGTGTGACATTTTTACGGTCGACCTTTTCTAACCCTTCCTTCCTTGTGAGAAGGCAGCAGCGCCGCAGATGCTGGTTTTCTCAGTTAAACACCTTACTGCTGTCACAACCCTCTACAGTCAGTCAGCAGTACGACTTCGCCCTCAGATCTTGAGTAGCTGCTTTTTGTCTCATTGTTCTTCAATCGATCAGCCTGGCATGGTAGGACCTGCAGGAACATATGTTCCAGCCAGTATAGCTCGGTTCGGTCATCACGATAGGCAAGCCCGACGTTGCATCTGACTGAATGACTGAATGTTTGAAACAATGTTCGTACATTAAAAGCTCCAACATGCAGTTTACAACGGGGTTTCAGGAAACCAGGAACAACTTTTCAGGAACTCGAACCGTTTCCATCAGCAGTGCGGGGTGATAAAGGAACGTAAGAAGAGTTAGTTTTGGAGATAAGGGGGATGTTAAGGGGTGTAGTGAGGATTTGAATGTGGCCAATTTGGTCTCTCCTGTTGTTACGGGTATGAGGGCGCTTGTCACTTTCCGGCTGCCCACACCGTGGAAGGTTGCTTCTTGAGGAACCTGAAAAGAAAGGTAGATTAATGTCGGTTTGAGACCTGGGAGCGTGTCTGCAGTGCCCAAGGGACAACTGCGTGAGGCTGATTACACACGGCCTTTTTATGAGAAGTTTTGAAGTGTTGGCCCAAGGGACAACTGTTCGAGTGTCGAACTTTTCTAACCCTTCCTTTCTTGTGAGAAGGCAGCATCGCTGCAGATGCTGGTTGTCCGAGGGAAACACCTTACTGCTGTCACAACCCTCTACAGTCAGTCAACAGTACGACTTCGCCGTCAGACCTTGAGTAGCTGCTTTTTGTCTCATCGTTCTCCAGTCGAACTGCCTGGCATGGTAGAACCTACAGGAACATATGTTCCAGCCAACATAGCTCGGTAAATCCTGTGCCCCCAGGGAGGACATTTGTGCTTGATGCTATGCTGATGATGACTGACTGATTGCAAAATCACCCTAGTAAATAATGATCACATACTACTCATTAGTGATTAGCTCAACAGTACGCTTTGTAAAGTTGCATTTAGAATCATTTCGTGAGTGACTGATGGACTTGAACAGTATATCTGCATGGCATCACAGACATCGGACACTGCTAGGCTTAAATATCTTTTTACTTATTCGCCAGCGGTTGTCAATTCATGCTAAAGTTTACTTTTTAGAATGATAATTACTTGGAATCAAATTTGAGGATCTACGATTCTATAAATTTCAGTCAGTTATTTATACGCAACGTGGGAACTGAAACATATTCGTAGTGGCTCAAGTTACCATAAAACAGTGAAATAAAACTATTTCAATACGAATTGCAGAGTAGCAGGAGTAGTAACAACATCAGTAGTAGTGAAGATTGGGAATGTGAAAATCAAATATAAAAGGAGATTTTTGGACACGTTCTAGTAAAAAAAGATTCACTGCATCTGCGCTATTGAGAACGATTTTAAATCAAGTTACTCAAAGTCTTTAACCATTGGACATGAGCAACATATGTTCCAACCACCTCAGCTGATAAAGATTCAATATCTCATAGATTGATTCCTCAGTTAAACGCGTTTTAAACTTGAGAAGTGTTCAGCAGCAAGAAATAAGTTTACAAGGAAGACTGCATTACCTAAAAAGCCAATTATGCTTGAATTCTGCTATTAAGAGTTAATTAATTTACTTCCAACCACTTGAGTGAAAACAATTAATCAAGTTGGTGAGAAGGGATGCTACGCCATTATTGTTACGTCCTTTCTTTGTTGAATATGCCACCATCCCAAATTCATAAGATTCGGACTTTATATTTATATATCAACTTAAAATTAGCCAGACAGTAAAAATAGAATTCATTAAATAATATTGGTCAAACAAAATCACTTATTTAAATCACGAGCTTATCAGTGTTAGACTACCGTTGAAAACCTGGAACCACTGGACGGTTGTTTTGTCCTACTGTGGGCCTCCTCATCTGTGTGCTTCCACTGCCTAGCAAGCGGTAATCGACACTAGGACTTTCGGTCTCGAACACAAACGCTTGACCTTTAGTCCACTGAACCAAGATTTAATAGTTCACAATTCTAACTGTAACCAGCTCATAATCATGCGCGAACATCTGCCACTGTCTTTGGTGGCTATCACCCTCACACCCGACACGGTTAAGTCTTACTGATATCTGCCTCTTGCTGGAAATTAGAAAATTTCCTCTCGAAGCTAGTCACTAGCAATTATATGATAATTGTCAGTATGGGGTTGTGGACATGGAATTTCATTAAAACCACGAAATGATCAAACTAAGTTACTTGTCTAATTAACGATCAAATTATTCGCTTGACATTCCAGCGAACTTCACCCAAGCATTTACTAATGACTCACTAGTAACTGATCAATTAGATGAATATATGATCTCTGAAAAAATAACCCTATTTCAACCGGTCAGGCTTGTAACGACAGATTGACTAGAAGTGAATTTTAAAATATTGGGAACTCCTAATGTATAAATTAGAACAACATAGACAAATGAAAAATACTGTTTTCAAATAGATATTCACTGGACTTCAGTGTATATATATAATATTTATATGCATACATTAAAAAATATTAGGCCACTTAAGGTAGTTTATGAATCATCGTACTATCGATCTAAACTATTTACTTCATTATGTTTAGTTATATAATCTATTTCTTTTTTATTATTAAACCAAAAAACTACTTCAAAAAATCACTAATTATCTTATGACTGTACTTATTTACAATATTTTGAAAGATCAGTAGACCAGTTGTATCAAACACTTCCAAGTCATTAAACCATACATTCAGTAAGTAAATGTTGCATCATTAGAGTATTATTTTCATAGAAATTCTAAGTCAAGATCCCGATTGCATGATATTTGTGTTTTTCATTCAGTAAACAGTTTTTAAGTAACTATAAAAACGTCTAAAAAGAAATCTTCAGAAAAAATTACGCATCAATATGCAATATCTAAAGGAAAAATGGAGATCATACACTGATTGAACATAGGGAACGTTCTTATAAGCCCAACCAATCTGTACAATAAAATCTGTATATTTTTTCCAAAAAATGGAAGAAAAAACCCAGACAGAATTGTCCGTTGAACAGAACATTTTAGAAAAACTGATAAATAACATACGTTACTAGTTTGTTTACATATAGCGGGAAGCTGAAAAGATGGAACTGATTTCTCAACCTCTTCAATACCATTTGGTATTTTTGAACGCTAAAAAAAGGTTAGAGTAAAGAAAGAGGAGCGATTAATGCAAAATACATGCTCAGAGCATTGAAATTAAGTTATAATATAAAAAATCGTGTAATTTTCTTGGATTTTGATATATAGGCGGCATAAATTGACCAGTGAGTTATAAAGTATTTTAACTCTAGGCGTTTAATTTAAGAATATTTGAATAATCTCAATAGAAATTTCACCTTTTTGTTTTTTTGAACTAATGACTGTAGATGAACTAATGTTTTGTATAGAATAGATAAACTGTAGCTAGCAGTGAAATCTATAACATGTGTGTATTTTTTTTCATTTAAAACTCGCCTTCTGAATGTACCTGCAGCTTAGGGTGTTGATTTTATTGGACATTGTAATAAAGTCGATCATTGTCATGAGTTTAAATAAACTTGAGGAAACTATCAAAAATTTAGAAACTAAGGGGTAACTAGTTTTGATTAATACCCTCTAATTTTTAATGGTTCTCTCCACTGGATGTCAATTCGTGACTCAGACCCATTTTAATCATCCTTCATAAGTCTTTCAACTAAATTTTACATTTATCAAATGAAACATGTCAATTTAGTCGATAGATATCCGATAAAGTTAGGATTTTATTTCAGATCAACTCAATGGAATCCCTCCAGAAAAATTTATACTTAGCATTTTCTGTCTAAAGATCACTTACTGTGTAACTACAAATCATATTTGTCTTTTTGATTTACTGTATACAGAATTATTTCATTTTTTATTTAATCGAATTTATATGGTTGTGAGCACATAATCAAAATTATTAGTCTCTTTTTGAAAAAAGTTTATTTGTACAAAAATTGATCAACAAATAATCAATTATCTGAACAGTTGAAAGTTTGTCCATCGTACTGGCTAGATTAAGTTTAAACAATACTATTTTGTATGATAACTAAGGACACAAGCTTAATTTGTTACTCTAGTCAAGGTAAAACATGAGTGAATAAGTTTGTAAACGTTAACTTTAAAATGTGACAAGACTTAAAATATCTGCAGCATTATGATCAATGACAAATATGAATTACCTAAGTGGCCGAATGACGATGTGAAATCAACAACATAAAGTGACAAAAATGTGAAATAATATCATTATCAAAGAGAAAGATTAAACATGAGAGAATGTAGTTCATGGGAAATAAGTAAAAGAAATCATGAGTTGGAGAGTATCTAAGCTGAAGATCTAAATTAAAGAGTGAATGAATCGCTACAACTGATATCAATCTTACACTACGTTACCCTGTTAGGTTCGCCACCAAGTATACTTGAAACTATTACGGGTTCACCTTAGTCGATAAACTAGAACGAGACAACAAAACATCGTCCAGGTAGGCTACCCTGATCCAATGACTAACCAAAAAGTCTTGATATTGTGTAGAAAGTATATTCTACAAACACCCAGCAAGCACACAAATCGCGTTTATTTATGCATCATAGAAACGTCCTTGAGATAGTCACAAAAACAGCACACTAAGATACACAGCAACCAATCACAGCCAAGGGTTTCCCTGATGGGAAATGAAATCTCAAGGTCAAGTGATCAGCCCATGCTCGCAAACGTAAAATCCAAATAAAGGCATTTATCATGCGAGATCTGAGGATCTAACGTCACCAACACTCGGGCGGTCGGTCGTTTACAACGTAGAACTTCGTACTTAAGAACGTACTTAACGTACTTACGAAATTAAAAAGAAGTAACACAGTATTAGGTATTTAAATCATGATAATATAAGAAGTGTAATTGCTATTTAGAATTTATATGAATCGAACTAACTTTTAGTAACAAATATTTATAGAAAAGTAAGTGAAATGAGTTGAATTACTTCCGTAATGTTTGTTTTACAAACGGAAATAGAAAGTAATTACATTTATTAAAAAACCTACTATAACGCATATGAACGGTTTGAAAGTGAACGTTCTAAACAACATTCTCGTTATTTATTATTCATAAGCCCTATCTATCCTGCCAGTGAATATTCCTAACGTTTTAGAAAATCATTTTGAATAAGATTGGATTAAATGAACAGGTTAGATGCGGTGGTAAAAACAATGAACTGACGGAAGATCTGAAAGTATTGATTTTGCAAGAAAATAAATCAGAACATGTTAGTGACTCTTGAAGAGGATATATCTCAGTTTCTATGATCAGTTTTTTCAACCCGGTCACTAAAATTAATTTGTCATCTCATCCAAAATATGAGGCATATAAAAAGCTATTACTTTTAAAATAACTTATTCACTCTGGATTTCGAAATTAAGTTTAACCTTCTCTGATGAGTAGTTTTCCGACTGGATGGAATATGTTTACATCAAAGAAAACTATACATGCCCTGATCATAAATAACTTCAATTTGTGACCGTTCTCATAACTACTGCTGGGAGAACATAATCAATCTGCTTCTCCAAAGTAATGAATACATTCAATTAGACATGAGCCACCTCTAAAACTGAGTAGTATATTTCGTTATCTATTTGTACATTTATTAGATGATCGATAAACCAGTTTTCATTTGCAAGGACAATTTACACTATCTTGTGGTTTAGACATTGGTAACTTCAATAAATCTATGACTAAATGATTAAGGAGTTAGTATTTGGATTACCGACCAAACAATTTGAGGAAACGACACTACTACAATACATTACGCTTCATAATAGATGCAAAAATAAAAGTGGCATGGAGAGAAATGGTTAGTCACAGCAAAAAAACAGTTCAAAATTAGAAAGTTTACTTGAAGTTAATTATGTACAACACGAAAATCGAAGCAAATGCGAAACTGAAATATTTGAAGGTACAGATCGCCTACTGTTACCAACTTTCAAATGACTCGAACGTATATGACTCGTCATAATTGTTTAAACCCTTCAGTGGTACAAGCAGTTACTTTGACGTTCATACCAGGTTACACATGAAAGTGACAGACACAACTAGTTAACGCCACCTACTAGTAGCATCGCTCACTTATTCATTCTACTCCAGTAGTTAATTGAATACGTACGCTAACACATTTGGACTTCGAATAAAAAGTAAAATCTCACATCTGAAACATATCTTCTGCTTTGTATATAGAAAAGAGAAATGAATTTGGTTTAATTTCGGGACATTGTGGCGATATTAAAGTGCTCTGTTAGACGATAACATAAATAAGCTGTACTTGAACTCATAAGACCATTGAAGATGAATAGGCTAATCTTGAAGAGAAGTGTCATCAATTTCCTGTGGTTAAGTGACGTACTTTTCTGATTTTTTGCAAGCGTGGAACAATTAATTGAAATGTCACTATCGAGACAGAGTGATGAAAGCTTCATTTAAAGTAAGTAGCAGAATCATTGAGACATCATAAGAATACGCCAGCAAAAACCAAACATGAAGTTTATCTAAAGTTTGGTACATTCAGTGATGATTAAAATCTTGACAAAGACGTTTTAGAGACTCATAAAATCTATAATATTAGTACTCTAATATGATTGCATTTAAAGAGCGTCTGTTTTTGAAGTAACAATTTGGCATGATCTATAAGGCATTATTTCTAATCACTTAACAGGAATATACCGTATGATATGTGACTCGTGATCAGCTAGAAAACAACGAAGAGCAATTATCGTGCTCGTTTTTAGAACTTCACACAGAAAGCATCAGTAAACGTGTTCGAGATTGTACGTTATGCAAGTAAAGAAAAACGAATGCTCCAGTAGTGACCGCTTTTTGGATGGATGTTACTAAGACTGAATAAATTGTACCAAGAGCCTTTACATTTTACTACAGAGAACTGAGGGGATAAAAGAATTAAAAAGAAGCACTTCATCTAAATACAATGAGGTTTCTATGAACTCACTTGTGATACAAGACGCAATATCTTATCCATTTTATATCAGAACATTAAAATAGCCGCTCTCTTTTGGACACATACCTCAAGGTTATTGACGGAACAGTGGAACAAAAAAACTAACAATCGAACATATATCCAATATCTCTTTCACGAGCTAGTATAAACCGGTCGATTTCTTTGCGCTCGATTCTTATTCTTTCAGCCCAATCGATGGTAGTCTAGCCACACGACTGCACGGATGCTAGTCAGTTGGCAGTGGTATGTCCCGTTGTTCTAATGCTAATATGAATAAAATTTCAGAAGTGTGTAATATATAGATGACTTTGGTTTGTTAATTGGTATTGAAGATTGTGAGAGAGGACCGTAGTGTAGGCAATGGAGAGGAAACAAAGATAATAGGCGAGATAGGTTCAGTTAGTCATCTGAAGAGATGGCAATGTAAACAACTAGCAGGTCTCAAGATGTGCATCATGAACAGCTTGTCCAAGAGGGGGATGATAGTCCGTATGTGAGTACGTGATTATCAAGTCTCTTCTTAAAACTGTCCACTGAAGGGGCTGTGGTCACCTCGTCTGGAAGAGCATTCCAAGCTGCAACAACCCTTATTGAGAAAAAGTGTTCACGAACCCGAGTATTCGCTCTTTGATGCAAAATTTTTCGAGGATTGCCTCGAAGGAAGTGATGGTGATGCTTCGTTAAAATGCTCACGTTTGGATGGTTTGGCCTGTTTAATATGTTGTACACCATAATCAGATCACTTCTGATGCTCCTATAACTCAAAGGGGAATAAACTCAAGTGCTGAAGTGTGTCTTCGTAAGCTTTATTTTTCAACACTATCACCGATTGCGTTGCCCGTCTCTGCACTCGATCCAACAGATTAATGTCTCTTTTAAAGAGAGGGGGTGTGACGACGTTGTCAACCTCAATGTGTGGGTGTGCATATTTCGGCTGATCTAAACTCAAACCGTTATTCTCTGCCCATTCCCCAATGAATGTAAGGTCCTATTGAAGCTCAGTCGAATCCTCTTCTCTTCTAATACACTTCTAGATCTTTTCATCGTCTGCGTAGATCAGTGCTGGTGAGCTAACTGTGTCTAACAGGTCACATATCGGAGAACAGAAGGCTTCTGTGCATGGTTTCAGTGCCCCAACTAACCTATGTTTCCGTGAGTGTGGTGTGCCTGAGATACATCATTCGGTACAGCATTCTGGATGATGTCGTTCGCTGTTTGCCAGTGATCATCTATTGTTGGCCTGCACCAGTCCTATAGCCATGAGGGGTCTAGAAGAGGTTCACCCATGCGCGCGTATTTCGCTCTAGTGTAGCAAAGATAGTTCTGGTTTTCTTCCTTCTTGAGTGTTTCGTTTATGACCATGTTGAAAAAGTCTGTGTCATGGTCACTACTTCCTACTGGTGTATGGACGCAAACATCCTCGACCAGAAGCTCATCATTTGTTAACAAATAATCCAGGTTTGAGGATTTTCTCCTCTTCATCCATCTAGTGGCGCTGCATACATGCTCAGTAAGCCCGGAGCTTCTAATGGCTTCTCCAAGTTGTCTTTGGAACTAACCAGTGGGAGTTGTACCCTGATTGCTGAGATCTAGAGATGTGATGTTGAAATCTCCAGCTAAGAGTATTTGATCAAACCCAAGCAGTGGCAACTGCAGTATTGCCTCAGTAAGTTTATCTTTCTGGGTCTTAGTTCCTGAGGAGCTCGTTAAATCCCTCCAATAAAGTACTTCGTGCCGTGTAGTCCTTCGACTTTTAAATGGCTGTTAATGTATATCGTCACTCTGCCTTCCGTCTGGTGTACGCTATCGCTTCGGAATAATGTCACGACTTCGATGTCTGTAAATAATATCGAAGAAAGTCATGTTTCAGTTATGATTATGATCCTCAGATCCATCTGAGAGCACGTATCCCCGATTTCTAACAGCTTAGCGCTTAGTCCTCTTACGTTGCTATAGAGGCATTTGGTGGTCTGTCTCATCACCTGGTGCACCTCTTAAACAACAGCTGTTGCCGGATTTCTACAATAGTTATTCAGACCGAGTTGGCCGGTTTTGTGTGAGCTGGCCTCTGAAGGTATTTTGCCTGCGCAGTGCATTCATTCATACTGTTATCTTCGTATCTTGTGCCGAGGATTGATGATGGGGGCCAACCGTCATTTTCGTGCCAATATTTTGTCCTCCCTGTTGTTGTCTCACAGATCTAAGTTAGTTCTAGAGAGATCGTTCGACATGCAGTACGCTGCGTCTCAGTTGGGTCTTCCCGATATCTGAAGTCCACAGCTATCGGATGTGGTGACATAATGGTCGAGAGATGTGACGGACAAGGCAGTCGGGCAATGATAATTTCCAGGGTGGTGTGAAGGCTGAGGCCACGTGATGGCAATCACCACTGTTGCACGTCATGTGCGTGAGCTTCATGCAAGTTACTACCAACCAGTTCCAGCACTCCATGAACTACCAAACAGGTTTGCTATTGGGTGCACGGTGATGTCCTGGCTGCTGCTCATACAGACCACCGTTAGTAGTGCCTGTTTCGGATCGGGTAGGACAATTTAACCGAGGGTCACTGGAGAATAAGGGAGATGTCTTCGGCAGGCTGTATCGGGTCTAAAGTTAAACTCATTGGAGGTGGTTTACCTTTCGCGAAGTTCTGGCCTTTGAAAAGACGGTATATTTTGGCCAGGGTATGGCACATTCCTGGGACTGTGTAGTACTTTTCCCATTGTTCTTTATCAAAAGCTGTCCTACCTGCTAGTGAAGTAACCCAGGAAACTAAAACATTAAAAAAATTAGTAAATTTAGTCTAACGTCCCTATCACTGATTGGTAACATTTTGCGAGTTGTAGTGTTGCCGTTTCCCCTCTTTACACTCACCCACTGTTCCTTATTGTTAACAGATACGCGTTGGGAATTGTGGGTTGATTTTCTGTGGGGCTTGTGGCTTCACTAATGCCAACGTTTTCGTTACCTCAGTTATTCGGTATCGTGTACAGATATACCAGAATCACGGACAGGAGTGACTCAGCATGAACTTGTAGTACTCTATTGGTACTTTAGTTTCGCAGTAAAAATGGACCCATGTGCTGCAGAAATCGCGATCAAAAGCAGAGTCACTGTTTTTTACTGGCATTGAGCAGGTGACACAGTTATCCTTCTGCGATTTCTGAACGATGGACTGTGTCGACTGAGCATTAGGGCGCCTCTTTCTCCTATTTTGATTTTGCCTACCGGTCTTTCTAGGAGTAAGAATCTGAAGATTGTCGTCTTGATTTTTATGTTGGAGACCTAGAGTAGGTGATGGGATTGAATGATCCGAATCGTGAACATTGCTCCGAGATGCGCTATCAAGTGATATTTTGAGCTTTTGACAACTCTGTCGTTCAATACTGGGATTTTCGACCCACTACGACTCCCGTAATTCATACATCTGCTGGTTTTCCTAGTTGTTATAGTGTAGGAAGTAGTAGCAACCTTATTACCTAACATGATACCTGAGAGATTTTAGAGATGAAAAACGAGATAATTGAAAGAGGAAAATACGCAAGACAGGAATTTGGGAACGATGAAATCAGTAATATATGAGTATAACTACGAAAGAATAGAAGCTGAAAGTACCCCAAAATTTCAACTTTACATTTGTCCGTCCTAGTGAGAAACTTCGTGGGAATCCAGTAACTTTTTCACAAGTCCTGTGTTTGCGAGTGAATGAATGTTTGTAAGCTGCCGAAGCAACTAGGAAGAGAGCAGTTGACCGAGACAGCTAGACCTACCGCACAGTGGATCTAACTTGGAATGATTCCGTTTGTTCGAGTTTATACTCAAATTGTCAACCAATGAATGAAGACAACTTTTATATCTTCTGGAGTGATTAAATATCCTAATATGGTTTCCAAAACTGGGTTGTAAAAGGTCAACGAGGTCATGTCGACTTCAAGGCGCGCGCTTTCAATTTATTTAATCGCGATCATTTAACTTATAGTACTTTTGACCGTTTATCCGAGTTTTGGGAGAAATTGTTCCTGTGAAGTGAGTTAGTACTTCGGTCGGAAATCTGGAACTCCAATACTTTTTAATAATCAAACCTACTGAAGATTATTTGTATGGAAAAGAAAAGTGTTGATACTATTCGTCTGTATTCGGTGACAATTTTAGGCTATCAGCAGGTAGTGGAGTGTTTGTTCCTCAGTCAGAGTGCAATTTAGTGTTCTCTTTATGAATTTTTCCGGTCTTTCGTCGAATCGAGGCACTAGATGAGGTAATGTATCCAGACGAGCCCTAACGTAGACGCATAAATGATCTAGATTTTTCAACTTATTTTTACCTTTTTAACCAGTCGAAAAATCTCTTTCATGTAAATGTAGAATCCGATTATCACATAAACCCAACCATCCTGCAGCAAATGCATACACTCAGATTACACGATATACACAAACACCTACTGGACAGACTAGAATCAGTGCTGTCAACTGATCAGAACATCATAAATTGAACAAAACCAAGGACCTGGAACCGTACCGGAACAATAATTATTGAGTGCAAGCTCATCACAACGATAATATATACTTTAGATACATATTGTACATATCCGTAATCCAATATCTTTTTCACTAGCTGGTACAAACTAATATATTTCCTTGGGATCGCTTGTTGTTTTGGTAATTTTTCTCTGTTTCAGGATAGTAAGGTCTCTGGATACCCGCATCTATCGGACCACCAGGGTGGATATAAATCATCTACAATTAGGAGATTAGTAAGGAGGAAATTCAAATGCTAATTAGAATTCGGAAATCGGCAAATACATAGATGACTAATTGGTGGTGCAGATAGTATTGGAGGAATGAAGTGTAGGATAAAAGAGGAAACTGAGGTGATAATGAATGAAATACAATTGGTTAGTGGTATAAGATAGTGATATTAATGACAGCAGACACGTTTCGAGACATTCGTTAGGCACTATAGGCTCAAGTGGTAGATGGTAAACCACGTGTGAGTACATATATATCAAAAATCTTTACTAAGCTATGCACTGAAGGGGTTGTAGTCACTTCCTGCCGTCGAATATTTATAGTGTGAACAGCTCATAATCGGTAAAAGTTATCACATGAATGGTCGTCCGCTTTTTGATATGAAATTTTACTTCGGTTAACCCGGTGATGATGTTTTCGCAAGATGCCCGTGTTGGGGGGATTAGTGTGCTCAATATGTTCATTCAATACTTTAATAACTCAGCTAGAATAATCCTAAGTGATAAAGTCTGTAATCGAAAGATTCATCTTTCAACCCTTAGCAAAGGCTAATAGCGAGTAGAAGATATTCGTAGGTTACTACCATTCGGTCACAGATGTCTTAAAATCATTACTGGTGAGTCCTCGGGCAGCCATTAGGAAACGAGTTCTAGGTAAAGATGGCAGGTCAGTAGATGAAGTAGTGAAACTTCATCATGTATTACGAATGCCCAAACACCGACTGCTTCGACGATCTATGTTTTGTGGTGTAGGGGTAGGTAGGAAGAAAGCTAGGGGCGGTCAAACCAAAACATGGCACATATCCATGAAGTCACTGACAAGTCGACTGAATCATGCTTGTAGATGTAGACTACTTGTTAAGGGTCCGCGAGACGGAAGTCACTGATGGTTGAGACCTTGAATGACATGGCTCAGAATCGATTGCAATGTGGCAGTTGCATCCACTCTTTGTGTTCTCTCTGATTCTAACCTTCTGAATTCATCATAATCCCTATCTTTCTCTTTCTATATTTATCTCACTGAATTACACTTCTTGAATTATATCTTCGCTCCCTAAACTTCTCAATTACTGCAAATACTTTTACTATCTCTACCACTTTGGGATTTGAATTGGCGATTCCGTCTTTGTGTTAATGTGATATGGCAACTTGAACTGATTTACTTACGTACGAAGTTTCACGTTGCAACAGATTGACTGAAAGACTAACAGCTCAGAGTTTTCCCTTCCATACTTTGTTGACCAATACCATAACTGAAAAAAAGATAGATATATTACAGCAAAAATTGAAAAAACGAGTCATTATCTCTTGGTTTGTGTGCAGAGACAGGCAACGAAATGGGTGATAGGGTTGAAAAATAAAGCTAATGAAGACACTTCAGCACTTGAGTTTATTCCCCTTTGAGTTATAGGAGCATCAGAAGCGATCTGATTATGGCGTACAACATATTAAACAGGCCAAACCATCCAAACGTGAGCATTTTACCGAAGCTGTAGCGTGTCGATTTACTGCGTGTTCTTAAGCTCGGTAATTAACTCGTTCAGACAACCGTTGTCTGAATAGCGTCTGACGATTTATAAATCAGAAGATGAATTCGTAGTGATGAATATGTTTATTCGGGACACACCACAAAGCGAAGCGGAGAAGCAGTGCATAAAACGAATGAAGCGACGTGAACTGGAGAAGGCTAGTGAGCCAACTCAAAGAGATAGAACATGACTAAGAATATATAGTCAGACAAAAATAATACAGACATATGAAAGGCGAAATAGGCATGCACAGACATGAATAAAAGCGATGAATGACTGACAAGGTCAAAAGCAAGCGAGACAAGTCATGTGAGTTCATATGGGTAGTAAGAGATTAACATTAAAGCGAAAAGGATGAGTCAGCGCGTAGGCGTAAGCAATGCTCAGTCGTACAAGCTCATACAAACCAGACAATAAATAAAATGCCAGTGGTACATATGGGTTGTTGCTATACCAATAGCGCGGTTACATAAGTTAATCGAAAGGCTCAATCAAATTGAAGATGAGCGAACTCAAGTTTATGTGGAGGCACTACAAAGCATCACCATCACTCTCCTCGTGGCAATCCTCGAAAAATTTCGCATCCAAGAGCGAATACTCGGGTTCGTGAACATTTTTTCTCAATAAGGGTTGTTGCAGCTTGGAATGCTCTTCCAGACGAGGTGACCACAGCCCCTTCAGTGGACAGCTTTAAGAAGAGACTTGGCAAACACGAACTCATCTACGGATTATCGTCTCTCTCGTGGACCATCTGTACCTGATGCATGTGCGGAGACATACTAGTTGTCATTATTGCCACCACAACAGATCGCTACTATAATCGCTTAATCCATCTTGCTTATTATCTTTGTTTCCTCTCCCCTTCTTACCCTTCGGTCCGCTCGCACAATCTTCACTACCGATTAATAAACTTAATTATCCACTATTTACTGAGCCCTGAAATCTTATTCTTCTTAGCATTAAAATTTTCTCATTATTATCCTCCAAATTGCAACTAACTAATCTGCGGTCTGGCAATGTGATAGTTGCTGGTATCCAGAAACCCTACTGCCCTGAAACAAAGGTTTTCTTTCAAATCACGGGACATACAAACTCACAAACCACTGCCAACTGACTGGCATTGGTGCAGTCAAGTGGCTAGACTACCATCGATTGGGCCGAAAAAATAAGAATCGAGCGCAAAGAAATCGACCGGTTCATACTAGCTCGTGAAAAAGATATTGGATATTGGATATCTTTGTTTCTATCAAGCACGTGCAATCAGTTTGTTGTCAGAGGATTTTCGAACCGCATATGGACATTTCCTTCGTTCACTGTTACTCCCAAAACAGTGTTTTGTATATAGGGATCAACAATGTTTTTAACAAAACTGTCACAGCAAAATTTTCAAACTTAATTTTTCCTGGAATTCAATTTTTGTTATATGTCCAGATAGATCTTAACAGTTTATATATATCTATTTATAACTGATACGTGTCTCTGTAACATTCTTTTCAGGAATCAACCTATATAACCTTATTTTTGGGCACGCTAAGTACTATCTAATTTATAGTGAACCGTGACCCGATTCTTATTACTAATTTTAGAGAGTAAGTTTATGGTACTACAAATCTGTAATCATAACTGAAATAAAGAATGTTAGTTAAACTTTACACATCATTTCTAACTACGTCGCCGTAATACAATAAACAGTATAATCACTTTGTCATGTGACGCTTGCACTACTTTGTATGACAAAATACTTGGACTGACAACTGAAAGCTGAACAAAGTCGGTCACATAGTAAGCTGAGATAGAAATGCTTTACTTCGTCCTGTTTAAAAGTAAGGCATTAGCTTGTGTGTGTGTTATGGAAGGAATTTCATTTAGTATCGATATATTGTTTGAGACGTATTTTGAGCGAATATCTTGAATTCTTTATGGAGCAATCATGTCCGTCAGTCTTTAGCAAAAGCTCATGTTAGATAAGTTCCTAGTCTTTAGTTTTATCCTTAATATTGTTAATTTCTTCGTCACACACCGTTACTTTCTTCAGAGTATCGCTCTGAGAGTCACGTGTACTCTTATTATTATCTAGATTAAATGGTTTCAAAACACGTCTGGTTTCACTCAATTTCCAAAAACAAATGGCGTGACTTAAAATATCCAGAATAGCAACGTAAGTTTCAGCTAAGTCTTAAGTCGACGCAACTTCTTTTGATGGGTTTCAGGTGATTATAAGACGGAAGTGATTATGCACTTTAAACTTACATCAAGCAATACAACATTTGATTCCCAAGTCTCAATATTTATTTGACTTAACATATTTCATTTTTAGTTTCTCTAGATAGGCAAGTTTTCATTACATACGTGTATACCTAACCATTGGCATAACAGCTTATAGGGGATCAGCTCCGAAATTCCACGTGAAATTTACGTCTACGTATATCAAAAACTAGCTACTCGAGCTACCTATTACATCAGTGACCGAGTGACTTCTCAATATTTGTAGATCTGATTGGACTTTGTTTTGTTTGTTTCAGATTTTCTGCATACAGCATGAGAAACACGTATCTCGTCCTTATCACCGGCTTAATTTTATTCAGTGATCGTCAGTACCTAACTATTGCACAAACGGATGCTGATGATAGTTCAACTCCATTTCGTTGGTTTAAACCAGATAATTTTGATATCATTTCTCGTAAAATGGACCAAGCCAATCCAAACAATTGCGAGACAATGTCTGAAGCTGATTTGCGCCTACCACCAACGTCACTTAGTCAAATTCCACAATATAATGAAATTCCACTCAGGCAGTGGTTTACAAATCGTTCAAAATTACTACACCTACATAATTTAGCGTTAAATCGTGCATTTTTCTATAGTTATATATTACAACGATTAGATCACCCAACCAGAGATCCCCAGTATTTACCATCACTAATGTATTATTATTTGTCCTCATCAGCTGATATATCTTCAGGTCCTAATGTTATTAATATAAGTGGTGTATTTATGGATACCAATACAACGTACGCAAATTGGTATGAACTTAAAGATATTAACAAAACCCTACCATTATTTGCACCACTAGCTAGAAGACTAGATAATTGGAATGATGAAATGAATTTCTTGAGAATACCAACTAATGCTACAATTGAGGTGGGTTTTAAACAGAATAACTATGTTTTATTTAGAACAGTGCTATAAATACTCAAGACTTCATTGTAAGGTACGAGGCTTTCATCTCATGTTATTTTATGATCACTGTGGCAAAAAACGTTACCAAAACCGAATATGACCTCGTAAATTATAAACTTTCGTACAAACTTTTGATCATATCTCTTTTCCTGTCACATTCAGCCGCTAGCTTTTCTTTCATCGCATCAAACAAATCACTCGTTCTTATGGACAAAGTGAAAAAATTAGCCCCTCATGTTTCATCCAGTTGTATCTGCACATTTAAATGACCGTGTCAAAACACCTACATTGAGGTATATGAGGGAGGTCTCTTGTTTGGAGCTCAGAGCATATTCCACATAACTTTACAATAAAAAGTCTGTGTATTTGTAAAAATGAAACTACTTATCATCTATTTGTTAGTGGACGCGACGATTCTATTTTAAAATCGTTCGAAGTAAATAATACTTAAACTACTTTGAATTTGCCATGTTAAACTTAGGGAGTCTCTGCTGAAAACTTGAAACCATACCTACGTTTTTTAAAGCATGCTGTTGTAATTCACTCACAATCTTGATAAATTCCATTTTTTATCGATCACTAACGTATTATCAAATTCATTTTCCTCGTTTTTGGATTCGTTTTAAGCTTTTATTCACTTTGATAATCCATCCGAAATATTTTTTGTTACTACGTAACTTTAATATTAATTTTAATTTTCTAGAACTGTGTCTTTATATGTTCTAAACCACTTTTTTCTAGAATTTCAACACTTGATAACACAAGTGTTCATTCATTTTGCTACTTTATAATTCTTCCATAACTGCTATCGTTGTTCTACTATCCTGAATGTGATGCGCACTAACCTCCCAAACTGACTACTTGAACAAAAGGACAAGAGTGGAAGCGAGAGTCTGTTTGGATGTCGAATAATAAACATTAATACCCTCGGAAATAGATCCATTTACTGATTAGTGATATGCATTCATTCTTTGAGATGTTTCTGATAGTCATCAAATGGCCTTCTAGTTTGGCTACTTCTATTTGGCTCAATACATCACAAATTCGATGAAATGACTATATCTGACCATATCTTTCATTCATTTTTCAACAACCAGCAATCTCTACAATATAGCAGCAGCATGAAAATGCGGAAAGAATATTTTTCGATGTTTCGATATTTTCGGTTTTTTCCACTACATACTGAAAATGAATTTAAATCTAGATCCATAGTTTGTCTCTTCTGGTATTATCAGCAATTATTATGATTACTTATTCTGAATATAAACGGACTATGATTCATACCGGACATACTTTGATGATTTTTCGTCTACCTCTAGGATTGTAAACCGTTTTTCTAATTCTGTCTACGTTTTGTCGTTTAAAATATGTCCAAAACCAGATAACTGATCTTGGAGCTGGTCCAAATAATAATTATACAGCATCATGGTACAAAAATAACCCGTATATACGTGATCGCGAGATGGGTATAGATTTTATTCCTGATAGACGTGGGACAGCACCTAGTAAAAATCAATATACTACAAAGATCCAACTTGCAACTATAAGCGGCGATCCAATAAAAACGTTGGAAAATATCAAGTTTTATGGTCCGAATGCACCTGGCGTTAAAGAGACTTTTCTACCTGTTCGGTTTACTCGTCCTTATTATGATTGTGGGGGAACAAATCGATGGATCGTAAGTTCTGTAGCAGCACTGACAGATTTTATGCCACGTTATTCAAACATTACGAGACTTCGAGGCCCAAGGTAAGTAAATTAAAACCTTAAACCGATATTTGTATGACTGAAATGTATAACCTTACTCTTTTAGTAGTAAGTAAAAAAATTTCCGGTTTGTCATACTAATAGAGTTCGATTCAACAAAGTTCTTTATTTAAACCAGGTGGTCCCTCTAACTAATACCCACGTTTTAACTTAGAGGGTGGCCACTACCAAGCGGCCTCTTCATTTTAAAAACTTTATAATATGGGTTTGAATCCCAGTGAAAATATAGCTTCCACTGAAATATCAAGAAGCATGAAATATAAGTTCAAAGCTTCCTGTAAATTGTTTCTATCCTCTTAAAATGAAGTGAAATGTTACATTATCTTGTAGTCTAGTAAACATACCTCAGTTTGTCTGAAGTGTATCAAAGCCTGTGAAACTATACAAAACGATAATGTTAACTGACATATGATAAGTTGGCGTAAAAGGTAAACTAGTGGCTTGGATTCAGCTCTTTTTACGGGTCATAGACTAGAATTAAGTAACTTTCAGTATTGCGTGACCTTCAGTAGTTCTTTCGTTAATATTCAAGACTTGAAAAACTAACAAACAAACTCTAAAAAGTCTTCACAAACCATTAAAATAAACATAAGTTTATTAGGTTCTGTCAATTGCTTTTTTATCATTTATTTTTCAACCAAAAACGCAGTGTAAGATTTTCGAGACCATTTTCCGAAAATATTTCCTAATTGTATTTGCTTTACTTAAATTCGAAGAGTAATATCATGAACAAACAGGCACACTTGTCTACTGACATTTTTGTACGGGTAACTTTATAATGATAACTGATCACGTTACAAGCTCAAATAACTAACGCGGTTTGATTTCATCATCAACTTTGAGTATCAATAGGACTGTATTACTGTGTTATATAATTTTCGAGTGGTTATTATTGAAATGTTTCTAAAGGTAAACCAAACATACTTCAAAGAAGTGACAAGAACTGTTTTCAAGATTAACTACTACTTAAGAAGCGGTAAAGCATTTCAGTCAAATTTATGGTTCATTGTTGGAAAAATCACAAATAATGTCGACGGAAACTCATGATAAAACTAGGAACACAGAACTTACTGATATTATTTGTTAATAACTATTACCAGTTTTTTGCATCGTCGGTTGCTTTCGTAATGTTTAACCTTTTTTAATCTTCTGTAGAATGATTGGTGTTGTTGTACAAAGTATGGACTTTTATCGAATTGATTTTAATCCATGCCCACCAGGATTAGGAAATCCGAACCATTATTTGGCTGGAATCGCTCGATGTAAACCAACAACTTTGGTATGCTGAATTCAATGCATGTTAGATTTTTTAAAAGTAATGTTAGCTACTTATAAGTAGTGTAACGTATGTAGTAAGAGGTTTTCGACAAGTGTGGGTAGAACTTCTTTTCTAAGATCATAATTCAGAAAAGATTTGTTTACTCACATCTAATGTCAAAGATAGAATAAGTAATTTTATATAATCGAAAACCGATATCGTATTAAAGACTTTGGCAAAATTTTACTTGGATATCAGCTAATTCTACCGAGCACAGGAATATGTCGAGAATGACTGCAACTTAGCATTAAATCTTAGTGAATAGAATAATTACGTCAGACAAGCGTGCTTTTCTGTGATGATATAGCTTATACGGCTTATCAAAATTAATCTTCTTCATAAATGAGGTATCATCTAATGAATCATCACATTAGCTAATCTTAGTCTTCGGGACTCAATAATTATTTCCCTTAACAAAAAGTTAACTTTCAATAATTGAAATATAAAAATAGTCCATTTTTTCGGCTATGCTTCAGCCTGTCAGAAGTTCAACTGAGTAAGTTGATCAATATTGGGAAAGGTAATTTTTACATATCAGTGATAACGGAATTCTGATGCGAAATATAAATTAGACTGCGTTTTCTAGAGAATTCCATGTTATTGCTGAAATGTCCCGATAAATATTCTCCTAAGCTCATAAGTCCTTTTGAAATTGTATTGAGCCTCTAGAAATTCGATAAATTTTATCAAATGAGAAACTGAAGTCCATCTGTTGTTTTGGATGTCAATTCGTCATGGTGTCATGCATCATTAGCAAGTCAAAATGAAATTAATGAGATAAACCAGGAAGAAGTTGAAATTAATGTAATAGCATAAATAATGAAAAAGGATAAACTTTGAAAATATGGTTCAAGTAAACGAAATGAAGGGATATGTAAGAAAGATGCAATGAAGCTGAAAATATAAAAGAACATAAAGAGTCTATTGATTAAGATCACTGTTAACATTTCTAAGACATGCCACTTAAAATTTTCAATCGTTCGTCACAATTATTGCATAGACTGTGACCAGGTAGTCTACACCTACTAATGTGGTTTAGACCAACAGTCAATGACTTCATGGATTGATTTTACTGACCCCTTTTTTATGCAAACTCATTCTTACTTCGGTCAACATTGAATGTTGCGTTAGACAATGTTTAGGCGTAAGTACCATTTGTTTAAGACAAATTTTTTGCTATTTCATATGTCTATTAGTTAAAACAACTGAGTTTAGAAGATTGAAACCAGTCCTAACATATCCAACTTATAGATACTGGAAGTACGCGATATACTAATCCTATACTTTGAGACTTTACTTTTATAATTTAAGTTAACCATCAGTTTACATATTCTTGATCGATAATTAACTTATTTTATGGACCAAATTTAAACAGTCTAATAAATAACGCTAACTGAAATTATTTTAAGAATTTTCTTCGGAAGGAAAAAAGTGAGATGAAATCAAAACTTAGAGAATTTTAAAATATATATATCTTCTCTTTTGCATGGTGTTTATGGGAAAGTTATTCATGCACTTAATAGGTAGATTATAGGTGTAAAATGTTTCACACATCTGTTGATGAGAATACTATGAAAAGAAATGATAAAGTAGCTTGATTTTAAAAAAGTATTTTTTTCCAATTTCTGTAAACCATATCGAGTGGATAAAGCGAATTACCTCATCGAAGTTAATCTGATTTCGGATTGATGGGGAATTTTTTGCATCTAAGCTATATACAATAATTCCTTTGTTTTTATTTTGTACATATTGGAATTTTGGGATCTCTTTTGAATTTCAATAAACACTAAATGTTTCAAATCGTGTAATGTATAAGTAGTTTGAAAATCTTAACGATTTTGTAAAAAAATAGCAACATAACATAACAAGATGTAAGTGTATAAGCCATTCATTCTTTTGACGAAACAATGAAACGACTCGCTTTTAGTTCATTTCTGACAACTAAATATCTTTTAATAGCAATATGAATGGATAGAATCAAATCATTAACAGAGTAAGAATAGACATTGATGGTTTGATCACTTTCCGGCAAAGAGCTTACAGATAAAAACTAGGTCTACAACTTTCTTTTAATTATCTCTTACCATCAAAAGAGGAAATTGTGTAAATCTTGAGTTCCAGAGCATCAGATTAATTTTTAGTAAATAAACAGTTTAAATATCTATTTCATAGTTATGTTTACTAATGTTTTTTATTAATCTTTGTCCTTGTATTTTTTTCTTATTTATTTATTAGTGTGTACCACTTCCAGGTTTTGGTTTTAGACGTGGAGGTTATCAGTGCGTTTGTCAACCAGGACATCGTTTACCATATGAACAAAATGGACCGTTTCGAGGTGTTGATATTGAAGCAGCAACAGAAGAAGAATATCGTAATAATTTCGATTGCATTCCAGTTGGTTGGCGTGAAGTTATACCTGAAGAAACTGGTATGAAAAATAACCTGGAAAGATTTCGTCGGTCGATAAATGAACAAACAAGTACGCATATTATTGATATAATTCATGTATCCATTTGTAATGATTTTATTGATAAAGAAAAAATTTGTTTTCTTAATATTAGTTTAATAAAGTAAAGAAGTGAAATCATTAGTCTCCATAAACTTAACAAGATTTAAACTACCATTAAAAACGAATTAAAGTCCACCCCGTTGCACATGGTAGTGGCTGTCTGGACTCACTGACTAAGTGAATAACTCGATAGGATTTGACGCTAACACTACTGGTTTCGAGTCTCGGAGTGGACATTAGCCCTAAGATGCAGGTACATTTTAACTCAAAAGTCCAAAATTGGAGGAAACGCTCGTCCCGGACTCCACTAATAGCTACTATCTATCTATACTTATAATCGTATTACCCTGTTTAGTGAAATAATAGATAGTATCATAGTAGACAAAACATTGAGTGGTATTCTAAGTTTTAAACTTATTAATTAGCAATGAATCATAGTCATCACTCAATAAAATTGTATTATTTTGCATCATTAACTCCTCCAGTACAACCTTCGGGGCTATTGCTGGTCCCAAGCCCGGATAAAGGAGGAGGGTTGGGCATGGTGTTAGCGACCCCATCCCACCAAAAAACTAACTTGCCAAGAAACGCTAACAAGAAAAAAATAAATCAAACCATTTTAACTCTGCCCTGGGGGTTGGAAGATTAGTGTCGGACTTAGAGACCTGAGAGCGTGACCGCAGAGTTCAAGGGACAACTGCTTGAGGCCAGTCACGCACGGCCTTTTGATGAAAAGATTTTTAGGATTAGCTCCGCTCTTAAAAGCCCATAGTGGGCACCCTTACCCAAGGAGACGGAAATCTGTGAGGTAGGGTGAGGTGTGACATTTTTACGGTCGACCTTTTCTAACCCTTCCTTCCTTGTGAGAAGGCAGCATCGCTGCAGATGCTGGTTGTCTCAGGGAAACACCTTACTGCTGTCACACCCGTCTGCAGTCAGCAGTACGACTTCGCCCTCAGACCTTGAGTAGCTGCTGTTAGTCTCGTCCAGTTTGGCAGCAGTAGGTCTCAACATACATAAAGGGAAAGGTAAGATTCTACGATACAACACTACATGCGCCAACCAAATCACGTTTGATACAGATTCTTTGGAGGACATGAATACCTTTACATATCTGGGCAGCATCATCGACAACCAAGGTGGATCCGATGCAAATGTGAGGGCGCAGATCGGCAAAGCAAGTGCTGTATTTCTACAATTGAAAAACATCTGGAATTACAAAAAAATGTCAATCAACACCAAAATCAGGACATTCAATATAAATGTCAAGACAGTTCTACTGTATGGAGCGGAAACTTGGAGAACTACAAAAGCCATCATACATAAGATACAAGTATTTATGAACAGTTGCCTTCGCAAAGTACTTCGGATTTGTTGACGAGACACTATCAGCAACAACTGACTTTGGGAGAGAACAAACCAGATTCCAGTGGAGGAGGAAATCAGGAAGAAGTGATGGAAGTGGACAGGACACACTGCAAAAAGCACCTAACTGCATCACAAGACAATCCCTCACCTGGAACCCTCAAGGTGAAAGGAAAACAGGAAGGCCAAGGAACACATTACTCCGAGAAATATAGAAAGATATGAGACGAACGAACGAAAACTGGAAAGAACAAGAAAGAGAGGACCAGGACAGAGTTGGTTGGAGAAAACTGGTGGGCGGCCTATGCTCCGTTGGAGGTAATAAGCGTAAGTAAGTAAGTAAGTAATTTTCCATCATTAGGTCAAAACTGTTGACTTATGTATCCTAATTTTAGTGGGTATTTTGATGAATCAAAGATCCTTTATCATCTTCACAATTTCCTGGAATATTAGTCATCATGTGACTGTTAGCTGTTAACTTCGAGTGGTGAGTCTTAAAGTCCTAGTTAAAAGCCATGACCAGTAGAGTTCAGCTATACCAAGAGTGAAAGAAATATCATCAGTCGCAATGACTGATTGTCCTGCGATATCTTGAAATAACAAAGATAAATGGAAAATCAGTAGTCTGAAGCTCGAGTACTCTTTACAAGGCCAGAATATTTTGAGATGAGTTACTGTTGGGTCTTAAAAGAATCCCATTCTAGGATAAAACAGGTATTCAATGTTTTCTTGTGTTGTCTTAATACTGTCAATCTATGATGCTATCTACTAAGTTCAACAATCCCCGAAAATTAATACCTTAACAATCATTAACTGACTGTAGTCAATGATAAAAAAATTTTAAGATAAGTTTATAAAAATTGAAAGCTGTCTAACTGAATATCATTTAAAAAAACATATTTAATATTTTTAATTCATTTCATTTGAATCAACTGTAAAAAAAATAATTTTTCGGCTTTCTTTTATTTATTTTATTTTACAGAAACATTATGGAATAAACTTAAAGATCCATCTGTTCATTTATTCAATATGTTACTGACAAGTAGGCTAAAGATTATTGATGATAAAATTTTCGATACTACTTGAAACACTCCCTTTTATAATTAGAGAACAAAACTCAATCATTGACCCGATTTTTTTAAATTTTTTTTTATGCATTATCCATAGTTTTTACAATGGTGCATAAGACAAGAACTTGGCTTCAGTATACAAAAATGTTTATCAGCCATGTATCACTGTTTATCTATTCAACTTAAATCTAATCCTTTTTTAAATTCGGGACGTTCACAATGTCATAGTGGTCGTGTTACAACTAAACTATCGAATAAAAATTCCTCCATATCATCGAGCGATTCATAACATGTCAACATTAGTCATGAATACTAATTAAAACACTTCTGAATCCCTTTTTTAAAATCTTAATATTAACTTTTTTCTACTCTAACAGTAACAAACCAACCTGACTAAAAAATAATTTATTATCTTGTCAACGACATTCTAATTCCTCCTTAAGTGACATCTTAGACTTATAAACAATCAATAAATTTTGATGAAATACTATGTAGATTTGAACTAATCAGATGTATAAATGAGACTCTTATAAAGTTACTTTACTGATATTGCTGTTCCACCTAACACAGAATGTTTCGTAATGAATGATACAGTTAAAAGAGCTTAACTCTACTGAAACAAGTTCACCCTTATATAGTTTTACTAAACATGACTAGCTTATTAAGTAGAGTCCACACTGAGTAAAGAGAAACTGATATTTCTAGATTAATTATTTCTTTTCTCTGACTAGCATTTGGAACATTCAAACAGAATATCTTTCCAACACCACCAAAATTAGATGAATCCATGTTAATCAACGAATTATCAGATAAACCATTTAAAACAACGAATTTAGATGATCAGCCATTAGATCGTCTTGTTCCTGGATATCGATCAGTTTCACATTTATTACCGTTGGAACAAAGTGATTTTAATTTAACGTATACAGAAGAAATTTATGATGATGAATTTTTCGACAATGATACTTATACACTTATCAATAGAGTGAATAATATAGATAATAAAGATCAGTCTAATGATATCAAAAAACGTGTACGACGAAATGTTGATACACCATTTTACACAGTTGGAGTTGGTACAGTATTTGATGCAGACAGATATTTTGAAGTAAGCTCCATTTGTTGGATAATATATATATATATATATTTGTTTAAAGAAAAATATTATTAACTATATGATCCAAACAAATTACTTATTAATAAATGAATCGGATATTTGTATTACGCTATCGGGTAGAAATTCGAATCTTTTGCCTTTGATGACTTTAGAGCAGTCCGAAAAAGTGACTTAAACAAGCCACAAAATTTTAAGGATTCAGATTATTACTCTTTAAAGAAACGTAAACATATCATTAATTTGTTAATATTGATGTGTATCAGCAACAGCCTGTGTGGGAGAGGATAAATCAAATCCCAGAGGAGAAAGAAATTAGGAGGAAGCGCTTGAAGTGGAAATCACCTAGCTGACTCAATAGGCAAGCCTTAACTTGGAATCCTCAAAACCAAAGAAAAGAAGTAGATCAAGGAACATACTGTGCCGAGAATTGGAAGCAGACATAAATACAATAAATAGAAACTGGTGAGAACTGGAAATAAGAGCAGAAGATGAAGATGAAGTAGTCTGAAAAATGCTGGTCGGTGGCCTATGCTTCATTGGGAGTAACAGGTGTAAGTCGGTAATTAAGTATGTGGTAATGAAAGCAAATAACTCCGCCAGTAGAACCTTCGAGGCTACTGCTGGTCCCAAGCCCGGATAAAGGAGGAGGGTTGGACATGGGGTTGGCGACCCCATTCCGTCGAAAACTAACTTGCCAAAAAAACGCTAACCAGAAAAAAACAATTCAAACCATTTTAACTCCGCCCTGGGAGTTGGAGGAAGAATTATGACGTCGCGTGATGAAAGCCGAGTTCCCTCGGAAGTTACGGGGCTGATGCCTCTTCTGACAACCAGAGCAACCATTTTTTTAGGTACATGGAACGTTCGTACATTGTGGGAGACTGGAAGACTATTTCAAGTTGCAGCAGAAATGAAAAGATACAACCTCGAGGTGCCCGGCATCAGTGAAACGCATTGGACACAGGCAGAACAACTGAGACTAGCTTCAGGGGAATCTCATGGACCCAGGATCATTAAAGCATCCTTCAAAACAAAGAAACAGGACATTACAATGAACGTCATCCAATGTTATGCACCTACCAACGACTACAATGACGACGATAAAGATCAATTCTACGAAAGGCTGCAGTCAATCGTCGAAAAATGTTCACCAAAGGATTTGACGATTCTTACGGGAGACCTGAATGTCAAGGTTGGAATGGACAACACTGGATATGAAGACATCATGGGACGACATGGATTGGGAGAAAGAAACGAAAATGGTGAGAGATTTGCAAACCTATGTGCCTTCAACAAACTGGTTATCGGTGGCACAATATTCCCGCACAAACGCATACACAAAGCTACATGGATTTCACCAGATCACACTACTCAAAACCAGATTGATCATATCTGTATCAACAAAACGTTCAGAAGGACTATGGAGGATGTGAGAACCAAGAGAGGAAAGGGATTAAGGAGGCAATCACTTCAACATGTCACGAAGTTCTGGGTCACAAGAAGTACCATCACAAAGAATGGATCTCTGTTGACACTCTCGCAAAAATTGAAGAAAGGAGGAACAACAAGGCAGCAATCAATGTCAGCCGAACAACAGCGGAGAAAGTTACCGCACAAACTGCATACACAGAAGCAAACAGGGAAGTGAAGAAGAGCATCAGAGCTGACAAACGAAAATATGTAGAAGATCTAGCAATGACGGCGGAAAAGGCTGCAAGAGAAAGAAACTTGAGACAACTGTACGAAACAAGAAAGAAGCTTGCCGGAAACTATCGTAAACCAGAACGACCAGTGAAAAGTAAGGAAGGCAAAGTAATCAGCAACACTGAAGAACAGCGAAATAGGTGGGTAGAGCTCTTTAAGGAACTATTGAATCGACCAGCTCCACTGAACACACCCAACATCGAAGCAGCATCCACCGACCTCCCAATCGATGTTGGCGCACCTACAATTGAGGAGATCAGCATGGCCATCAGACAAATCAAGAGCGGCAAAGCAGCAGGATCAGACAACATTCCAGCAGAGGCAATGAAAGCATATATGGAAGCAACTGCGAAAATATTTCACATCCTCTTCAACAAGATTTGGGATGAGGAACAAGTACCATCAGATTGGAAAGAAGGATACCTGATCAAAATACCAAAGAAAGGCGATCTCTGCAAGTGTGAGAACTACAGAGGCATCACTCTTCTTTCAATACCAGGCAAAGTCTTCAATAGAGTATTGTTAAACAGAATGAAGGACTTCGTAGACGCCCAACTTCGAGATCAACAGGCTGGATTTCGTAAGGATCGATCGTGTACTGACCAAATTGCTACATTACGGATCATTGTGGAACAATCAATTGAATGGAACTCACCACTCTACATCAAATTCATCGACTACGAGAAAGCATTCGATAGCGTGGACAGGAAAACACTATGGAGGCTTCTTCGACACTACGGTGTGCCTGAGAAAATAGTTAACATCATACGGAATTCTTATCATGGATTCAACTGCAAAATCGTAAACGAAGGACAGCTAACAAACTCTTTTGAGGTGAAGACCGGTGTCAGACAAGGTTGCTTAATCTCACCCTTTCTCTTTCTCCTGGTGATCGACTGGATTATGAAGACGTCGACATCTGGAAGGAAGCACGGTATCAACTGGACAGTTAGGATGCAGCTGGACGATCTGAACTTCACAGATGACCTGGCTCTTCTATCGCACACTCAACAACAAATGCAAGAGAAGACGACCAGTGTAGCAGCAGCTTCTGCAGCAGTAGGTCTCAACATACATAAAGGAAAGAGCGAAATTCTCCGATGCAACACAACATGCATCAACCAAATCACTCTTGATGGAGATGCCTTGGAGGACGTTGACACCTTTATATATCTTGGCAGCATCATCGGCAACTAAGGTGCATCGGATGCAGATGTGAGGACGCGGATTGGCAAAGCAAGGGCTGCATTTCTACAGTTGAAAAATATCTGGAACTCCAAACAACTTTCAACCAAAACCAAAATCAGGATTTTCAGTACAAATATCAAGACAGTTCTACTGTATGGAGCTGAAACATGGAGAACTACCAAAGCCATCATCCAGAAGATACAAGTGTTTATTAACAGTTGTCTACGCAAAATACTTCTTATTCGTTTGCCAGACACCATCAGTAACAACCTACTGTGGGAGAGAACAAACCAGATTCCAGTGGAGGAGGAAATCAGGAAGAAGCGGTGGAAGTGGATAGGACACACACTACGGAAAGCACCGAACTGCGTCACTAGACAAGCCCTCACATGGAACCCTCAAGGCAAAAGGAAAAGAGGAAGGCCAAAGAATACATTACGCCGAGAAATAGAGAAAGATATGAGAGGAATGAACAAACATTGGACAGAACTGGAGAGGGAAGCCCAGGACAGAGTTGGTTGGAGAAAACTGGTGGGCGGCCTATGCTCCATTGGGGGTAACAGGCGTAACTAACTAACTAATGAAAGCAAATGTCATTAGTCACTGAGCGCGGATAAACAGGTACAGCCTATTAACTATTCAGAATGTGATTTCCTTTCCTATCGTTGACTTCTACCCTGGACTCACTGAATGTATACTGGTTGTAATTGTATTGGATTTAGTACTGTTCGATCTTTACCCTGGTTTTATATTTTGCTCGTGAATTGGGTGTCTAATCTCTGTTTAGTGCATCGTTTGAAGTTCCAATCTTTGTAGTGTTGTAACGATGTTAACAACAAAAAAATAAATGTTTGAAATTCATCCATTATATCATAATATTCTACTTAACACTGAATTTATTTGAAATTAACCTTGGTGTAGGTCACCTATTGAAAACATAAGGATAAAAAGCAAAGAAACTTTAGATAATAAACTGCCACCCAAGTTAATAATAAAACAATATATTTGTGGTATTTCAGTGAGTAGGAAAGTTAAAATTCTCCTGATTTATCGTGACTTGGTGTAAGCCACTTATCCAAAGAATAAATAAACGAACTAAATTTACCCCAATTTAAATAGTGCAACAAGTCAAAGCAAAAAGTTTTTTTTAATCAATCGAAACGCAGGTTTGACCAAGTCAACGTTATGTCACTCCGATCAAAGTGATTCTTATAAATATGGTTGTTTATTTATGTGTTAATAGGTGTAAAAAATGTGACATACGAAATGTAAAATGATGGAGTTGAACTGGTATGTACGATGATCATAAGGTGAGTTGTGAATAGAATCAGAAATGGTAGCTTGGATAGAGATGGTCGGACCAATAGAAAGGCTTTCTTTTTTGTTAAGAACAGCAGGATTTATATGTATAATATAATAATTTCGAGAAATTTCCATGATTCTTATCACTCAATTTGTGGTGTAAATCGAAAACAAAATTCATATTATCATTATGAGTTTGATTAAATAATTGTATGTTTGGTAATGTTTATGGAAAAAATTAACTACCTAAGTCGTTTATAGACAATCATACTTTATTAGTTTTGTGATGATATTGAAAAATTAAGATAAAAATTACTCCCTCTGATAAACTTCTGTACGGTTATGAATAATCAGTATTATGCATGAAAGATTCAAAATATGTGAAATGATGAAATGAATTTTTTGAAATGATGAATTGATCATTGCAGACCACCATTAGACACCCCGAAATACTAAACACCGGTTTCATCCCGTAAGGGGACTCATCAGTATCAGTTCGCATCCAGGACCCCTTGGGCAGGAATTCAACTCAGGACCTTCAGTTTCGCGTGCGAATGCTTAACCTCTAGACCACTGAACCGGTTTCCAACAGTCTTAATGTCTAACTTTGATCAACCCAAGGTATTGCGCAACCATTGGTGGTCGTGGAAGCGTTCTGCTACTGAACAGCCCCATACCAACATGAAACGGCAAGCCAGTGCTTCCATGTTTCTAATGATGGTGTAACAATGATCAGTTCGTCATTTCAATGGAACTCAATAATCTTCACAATCGTGACATTAAATAAATTGAACTGATCTTACACATGCTTTATTTTGTTTCATTAATGTTAGAAATTTGTTCAATTTGCTGTTGACAAATAATTGCAACTGCTTACGGAAAATTATTGAAGTGTAATTTACTATGAAGCAAAATAAATAAGTGAGAAATTATGACTTTATCAACTACTAGAGACATTTGTAATTCACCATTCATAGCGTTAACAAACTTGATAAATTATAACTAATATCCGAAAGCATCTGACATCCGTTTCTTCCTTTTATAGAATTCATATGTTAACATTCACGACTCCGAAGAACTATGAACACTGGAGGTTTATGCCTTGTAGCAAAGCACCTGATCTTCAGATCACCGAGTTGAGATTTTAGTGGCTGCGTTAGACTCGAAGTAGGGCTCACCACTTAAGTGACTCGCGATCTGACTCCTATTCGTACGAATAATTAAATAGGTGATGAAATAAATCTCCCTCTCAATTTCCGTATATCATACTTAGGTGAACCCTGTTTGTTCAGTGGCGGTAATAAGAAGCCAAATACTGATTCGGACGGTTTAATTTAATTCATACAGTCGTTCACACAGACAGACATGAAAATACGAAGCGTGAAGGCAAAGCAAAGCAAAGTGGAGAAGTCAAGTGAGGCAACTCAATGCAATCAACATGACAAAGTATTTATATTGACACAAAAATAAGCGAAGAAAGTGATACACTCTAGGCACTCGAATGAAGCAACCAAGGTAATGAGCGAATAATTGACGAGGTCAAAAAGATATGTGAATGACTCAAGAAGAATGGATCAGTTAATTTGTCCAAAGGCAGGGACAAGCCATGTTGGCTCGATATATTTGTACACACTATAACATGTTTAAATCTAATTCTATCGATTTATTCTATGAAATTTTATTGTTTTAGAACTTTGCAAAAACTAATGTATGAAAAATTATTTTAATTGATGTGAGTTGGTTTTATTTATTATTTTTTTTAAAGGTTCAACGTTTAATTGCCCATGTACGCAAGGTGACTAGTCAAAATTGTCATCTAATGTCAGCAGATCAATTAATTTTACCTGGTGAAGTTAGTTACGGTGTTGAAAAACAATTTGAAATGGTTGGACGAACAGCATTACGTTTATCACATTTTCTTAGTGCTTATTATCAAAATAATGTTGTCGGTGAACTTTATGGCAGTTTAAAAGTAGGTTGTAAAGTTAACGAAATAAATAAATGTTTAAAAACAATTTATATATTGATGTACGATGATGATGTGACAATCATATGCACTTGTCATTAGTAGAAATTTTATTGGTATAAAATGGTTTTCTCATTATACGACTTTTGATCTACGGTATCAACTACATTCTGTTATAAACAAACAAATCATATTCTGAAAATAATTTCCGAACGTAAATCAGTTTACAGACATGATTAGCATTGATGATAATCTACAATGGAATAAAGAATAAATCTTTCACTTCATTTGTATCCAGAAACTGCACAAAACTAATTTCGGAATCATGAAAAGGAAATCGAAGAAAAGAACTAGCTTCGAGATAGACTTATCAGTATTCTAGTTGAAATGCATTTGCATAAGATGTCAGTCACGCTGAGAATATCACATTTATGCACTGATGATGACACCAGTTCTTTGTGTGTTATCATGTACTGTCAAATAATGCAAACTTTCCACACAAAAAAAAACGAGTTAAGTATCAAAAACTACTCTTTGATATTTCATTATAGACTGGTTTTCCAATTAATCGTTTCCAATTGTTTGGTGAAGTATTTGCCAATGTTTTATCAAATTTCGACATTGTATCAAGTGGAATATTTTTCGATTATCAAATGTTTACTGATCATGATGGTACAACATGGGATTTATTTGCTCCGTATGCATATAAACCACTTTCAGCAAGTCAAGCAGCTGAAGCAATTGATATGAGTATAAATGCTTATCGAGATTATACAGAAAAACCGTGGTTCCGAACGTTGAAGGTAAGTTAGACAATTTATTTACACAACTTGTTAAGTTGGGTTTCTTTGAAAAAAATTATAATCACATCGATAGATAGATAGATAGATAGAGTGAGCATTTTAGTTCATTTTTCTGAAGTTGCAAATTTTGATAAGTATTATCATTGTTTATCAATTTAAATTATGGTTAAGTTTAAAAATAATATCAACTGAAAGAAAGAAAAATTGTTTCTTTTTGCTCAAATTTGATTGTATCTTCCAACATATGTATCATGTTTTAAACGGTGAGTACAAAATATGACATACTTTATTACATTGTCTATCAATCAGAGTAAAGAAATCTTCTTCTTTGAATAATTATCCTCTACATCCTTCCAAATCAGTTTACTGTTTATTAAAATAATTATTTCTTGTAATATTTTATTCCTAATGTAATCTGTTGGGCTTACATTTGATTACTAAAATTAATGTGATCATCAATTTTCCAATTAGTTTTGATTTCCACTTACAAATTATGTGCTCACAGTAATATGGTATTCTTTACCAATAAAAAACACCGCCTACTTCTGATTGTTTTTTGAATTGTTTAAAACGCTACACAAAGTCTATGCACATTTTTAATTTACGTTACACGAAAGAATAACCTGACGTTCTTTTCTTATGCAGTAATTAATATATTTTCAACATCGCTAGTGACTATTACTAATTACTTATAGCAAAAGTTACTTCCTTTTGACAGTTATTAACATTAATAACGTGTGTATGCATGTTTATCTTCCTATAGTCTGAGGACACTAATCGTATATTCGTCGTTAGTAGATACTACAAACAGACGCTTCATATTGTTATAAATTAAACTTTCCCACTTATAACAAAGTAATTTTTTGAGATAACTGGGCGCCGAAACAATTAGCGGTTAGGAAAGGCCATAAATAAGCTGTTCTCTAAAACTTTTGTCATTATACTTCACTTATTGTATGACTGTATTATAATATCCTCATTGAAGAAAATGAAACCTAATTAATATTCACTGTTATAATCAGTATCATGAACTAGTTCTCATGTGTAGCAGGCAAATTATACAATACATATTACCAATTTCTAAAAAATAACTTATTTTGATTTAAATGACTTTCGTTAGATAACTCAGTGTTTTTTTCACTCTAAGTTGATGAAGATTTGTGTAATATATAGTAGGAGAGTATAAGCATATCTTTAGGTATTAGACATGCCATCAAGAGAAATAAATGGCACATTGAACAGTTTTCCTAATTGTACAAAACCATTTGAGCTTTTTACGATATTTTAATTTTAAAGTTCTATTCACTTGCTCGAAAAGCACTTCAAAAAATAATTTTTTTAAAATTATTTTCAATTAATATACTGCAAATAACAACTAACTTTCTTGATGATCTAACCTCAAATAAAGAACCACTCAGAGTCAGCGATTACTGACATAATGTTTCCTCCTGGTTTTAATTTTTCATGTAATTCCGGTTAGAGAATGAGAACTGATCTTATCGAGAATAATCGTCAAACTTTTCTAACTTCATTATAAATAATAACCATTACCACATTTCAAAATCAGGAGAAAATTAAATTATGTTGGCACTAACACAGATATTGCCACCATTCTATTAAGTAGTGTTTATACGGTTTGTTGCAAGTCAACTGAAATTAGAAATATCTACTAACTAGTGTAAAGATATCATACCTTTGTCATGAAAAAATGAGGGATTTAAGTTTTATACAGTTGAAAAACTTAGTGATTCACTATTCCGTCGTCTAAAAGCTCATTATTAAACAACTATCCAGTGTTCTATCAGTTTTATAAGTTTTGTAAGTTAGATCGATTCCCGATTAAAGTAGAATAGAACATTTAACATTTCTGTGGACAAATATTAGTTGGCCACAAGAAATTTTACTGATTAGATTTGGATGATCTGGGTCCAGTTTACAACTTATTAAATATAATACCGTACAATATTTATGTATTGTATTAACTATTTACTTCACAGCATACGTTTCAAACTCGATAGAGAGTTTTGTCAATCACAACAGAACTCTTGGATTGATTCATACAAGAACTTATCATTCAAGTTATGTACAAACATCTCGATAATTAATTGATTAATGTTTTTTGAAAAGATGCTAATCCATTTATCCACATGAAAACACTTTTATTTCATAAGCAAGAGAAACTGAATATCACTGATGATAATAATGATTTGTGAAATAAATCCTACCTACCTTTGGTCCCGGACATTAAGACCGTTAGATGCCGGCTCAGTGGCTTAGGTTAAGCTTTAACGCGTGAGACCGAAGTTGCTGGGTTCGATCCCTGATAGCAGAAGTCGTGGATGAGCACTTCTGATGCGTTGTATACTAGGACTTGAGAGATATTTCCAGGTTTCCAGTGGTAGTCTAACATTGACGGATTCATGATTTCAATAAAACTCAACAATCTCTGTAACCCTTTGATGAATGTGAATGTTAAAACAATAAGAGTGTTAGAATAAGAATGACCATATATTTTAATATTTTAAGATGACACTTCTGTTATAAAAATAAAATGATTCGATTGTTTATTATTAAGCTTTTATTCTAATTTGAATTTTTTTATATTTTTCTAGTCAAGATGGGCATCAAGTCGTCAGAGTTTAGAGCGAATCACCGCGAAACCATTTATTAGAAGTGATGTGAATGGCAGTCAACTGCAACGTTATTTCACATTTCCTATTTATTATCGTGTCCCACATTATGAAGAAGGGTATTGGACACAACCATATTTCGACTGTGATGGGCTAGTAAAAGATTGGCTTATTACATATGCGACGCCTTTTTTCGGTGTTGTTGGTGAAGAGAAAGCTTTAAGATTTATGTAAGCACTATTTCTTTCATTTTTTTTAAAAACTTGGTATTTATTTCATAAACAAACTAACCTTTAGATGAAGATTTATTAGTAGTATTTTGGTTATTTTGGAAGTTCAGAGTGCAACACACCAAATCTTATCGTTCAGTAACGATTAGGAGTTGGTGAAAAAAAATGGTTACAGTTTTGTTTAGACAGTAACTTCAGTTACATAAAGAACATTCACATTTAAATCATTTTGAGTTATTTTAAACTATTTCAAACATCAAATAATACAGCTCAGTGTAAATGGCAAGTCGAAAAATGGTTTACAACTTAAAATAATTACAGTATTATCATACCTCAATATTTTCTTAAAAAGACAATAATCGATTTCAGTCTTTATCAACACTGAGGAAATACAACTTACAAGCAACATTCACGTATAATGAACAGGCTAATATCTACCTGGACTCAGTAACTCAATGAGTAGCTCATTGGTATTTCTAGTGAAATATGCTGAGTTCGAATCCCAACTAACAGTATCAACACCGTGGTCCAAGATCATTCAGTTGCTAAGTTCCTGTTGCAGCAAGCTGTTCTCCGTGTTAGAAGATATCCTCTCAGACAGCGGCGAACGACAGTCAAGATGCAAGTCGACCCCAGGAGCGCACGCTATTAAAAAGGGGAGGAGTGTTGGGGACGTTAGATCCCCAGATCTCGCTTGATAAATGCCTTAATTTTGGAATTCATGTTTGCGAGCATGGGCTGATCAGTTGACCTTGAGATTTTATTTCCCACTAGGAAAATCCTTCGCTGTGATTGGCTGCTGTGTATTTTAGTGTGCTATTTTCGTGAATGTCCCAATGACGTTTCTATGATGTATAAATAAACGAAATTTTTGTTCTTGAATGCATTGTGCTAGCTAGGTGTTTGTAGAATATACTTTCTACACTATATCAAGACTTTTTGGTTAATCATTGGATCAGGATAGCCTACCTGGACGACAGTTCATTGTCTCGTTCTAGTTTATCGACTAAGGTGAACCCGTAATAGTTTCAAGTATTCTTGGTGACGAACCTAACAGTCCCAAACATGGCAAAGCACGTTTTCTAGAACTCTGTACTAACTACTGTGGAACCTCATTATTTCTAACAAGACTGAGATTTTTTCGTTGATTTTCAGGGGTGTTGTAACGGCTTCTGTGAAATTAACATCACTGGATATAAATCAATGCCCTCAATCATTCTATACACCAAACTTCTTTAAAAATACAGCAAGATGTGACTTTCGAAGTACATATGTATGTTCTGCTCTTTATTTGTGCACTTATTTTGCAGAATAATTTAACTTTTAAACAGTATTTTGATTACATAACTTTCGACTAACAATGAAATAGCACTACCTGAATAGTCGATCCATCATATATATATATATATATATATATATATATATATATATATATATTATAGAGAGAGTTAACAGAATCTGATCGATCAAAAATGGATCACTTTTCATCCAGAGTGATCTCAAAATATTTAAATCTAGCCTGATTACAATGCCAGATAGTGGAATGGAAACACTGTTTATCCAACAAGGTAACCATAATGTTTACCTACACGAATTAAAAAAAAAATTATCTAGTATTGTTATTACTGGAAAAAGTCATTATTTAACTGAAACAAAAAGCAATAATCAACTGAAGTTATTTTATTAATCCGAATATTTTAAATAAAAATAATTATAAATCAATACTGGTTTATCATTATTTTTGATGTATACTACCTCAAACGTGAACGGGTTTTAGTAGCATGATAAAAAGTGTGAGCCAAATAATTCTATTCGAAAAGAACTACAGCAACATATTCAGATTGTTTAACAGTCTTATCCGTGAAAACAAAATATGGTAATCTAGGTAAAAGCCATCATCTTAAAGATACAGGTGTTTATTAACAAGATATTGAGGACCCGTGGGCCATACACCATCAGTAATAACCTATTGTGGGAGTGAACAAACTAGGTTCCAGCTGACGAAAAAATCAGCAACAAGCGCTGGAGGTGGATAGCAAAAACATTGCGGAAGTCGCCCAACTGCCCTCATTTGGAATCCTCAAGGCCAAGGAAAGAGAAGTAGACCAAGGGACACACTGAGCCGAGAATTGGAAATAGACATGAAAAGAATGGATAGCAATTAAGTGGAACTGGATAGGAACAAGGGCCCAGGACAGAGTAGGTTGGAGAACGGTAGTCGACGACCTATATTCCATTTAGGTTATCAAGAGTAACTAAGTAGTTAAGGTAGATTTCGTTAAGTAGTAAACTGTGTAAAAAACAATTGTTCAGACTTCATCAATTAAGAAACAAATTAACATCTGATAATTTTATCTATATGACTTCTTAGAAACATCCATTACCATTAGACACTCAACCATCACTCACATAACTCCACACTATTCAAATTTAAGTTTGAAATAGAAAAGTAAATGTAACATCTAACTAGTATTTTGCGTACGTTAAGACAACTAGCCATTTCCATTCAAGCAAATCGTTTCACAGTTTATACTATATTGATTTACATTTGTTTTTAAGGAAAAGAGTTTTTCATAATAATTGTCCCTTAAAATTAGTAAGCATGGACTAAACAAATAAAACAGTTCAAAATTATTCTAGCATATCAGTTGGTAGTATATCGAATAACTCAAATCATAATTTTAAGTAAATCCGTACTGCATCTACGATCAATAAACCAAACCTTCCTCTATAGGTTGACAATTAGAATGTTTGTCTGAGGTTAATGCAAAAATATTTCACTGAGAGACGGGCTTGTAGTGGACACGAAAATTAATAGCTTCCTGGTGGATGATGAAATGTTCGGATATAACGCTCAGTTTTTGGAAATACAAAAATTTAAGCTTTCGATAAATTAGTCTCAGCCAAAAATGTTACACAAGAACAGTGAAGATAGTTGTCAAAGAGAAAAAGCCAATCGGCGTTAACGGTGAAAAAAGAGTGTTGTATATACCACTTAAGTTACAAGTTATCTGTTACCGTCAAATATTTACAAAAAGTATAAGAATCTAATAAGTAAAATAAGGGGCTAAAATGAAGTCGCAAAATAGCGTGAGTTTCATCATTGACATCATTGAATAATTTTAGTCCGACAGACATTAAAAAATCGGAAAGCTGTTTTGTCCCTAGTTTGGGACTTATCAAGAGTGTGCACACACAACCATACCGAAGATTGAACCCAGAACACTCAAGTTCCAAGATAAGTGTCTAACCTTTAGACCACTGGACCGGCACCTGGTGGGTTACGTGTCTATCATTAGTTGACTCGAGGTACTATGAGGTCACCATTTGTTACCAGCGGTGATATTTGCCTTTCGCCTAATACAGTTGAACTCCACTGTTCACGATTCTTAACTAAAGCTCCCGAAATTATCTCTTCAGGTTAGTTACCAGTGAATACATGGTTACTGCTACTGTGAGGATTTTTGGTTTTTTGTAGTTCAGTTTGGGTTTATTAGCCAAGGCATCATATTTTTGAGCATTGGATAAAGAACAAACAGTAGTTCAAAAATGTACACATTTATTTTTTATACAATTTTCTTAAATGTACTTACAGTTGAACGTGTACAGGAAAATAAAAACCTTTCTTACACATAAGGTAACTAAATGAATAATATGATCTAGTCCACGCGGAGTCCCTCTGGATTTACTGCCGGTTCCAAGCCCGGATAAAGGGGAATAGTTAATCGTGAGGTTAGCGGCCCCATCGCGTAGAAAATCAGATCGCTAGAAAACAATAACCAGAATAAATAACTCAAACTTTTTAAGCCCTTCCCTGGGAGTTGGAAGGTCTTCATTTAGAAGAGCTATGACGCCTCAAAATGAAAGCCTACTTTCTTCGGAAGTCACAACCAGAGCACCTATTAGAATAGTTACATACATGATACACAAATGGTTAAGTATGGGAAGAGATTATTACAAGTTAGAACTACGTCCTGCCTAAACTTTTTCAAGCAGCTAGATAGTATCGGTAATTATCAAATCTAAAATTTACTCTTTTTCGAATAAATTTGTTGCACTGATGAGATATCGTCAGGAAATGTTGATGTAGACAGGCCTTCGGGTATGATGTTATTATTTATGGTCACTGTACATGAGTAAAAGCTTTATCTGAAAAATAAACAAAAACTCATTCATTATCATCGATATGTATCCTTCATAAAATCAGATCCGATTTTCAACCAATAGTGTATGTCTGTCTCCTTTGTATAAATAAACTAATTCGACTCTCAGTATTTTTTGATTCACAGTTTGTCCTTGAACCAATGGGTCTGATTGGTCTAATCTATCAGAATGCATAAAAAACTTCTCTTGATTAACGGATAACATTTTGAAGCAATTAACTACTCTGTATTACTTACTTTTACCAACACTAATTTTCTAATCTCTTATCTGAGAAAATAGCTGATAAGAATAATCATGATTTTATCTTCATTTATTCATAGTTAACTTATATACCCTTATGAATTGTTGTTTTGCGCTTTCATTTTCTTTTATCCTCATTTTAGTGTAAATTAATACCAAGACATTATTTCTTATCTGGTAGTTATAAATGCGAATGTCGACAAGGTTTTGAATATCCACTAAACGATCGCACATGGTATTTTCATGGTGAAATGATGGAACGTGAATATCAATTAATGTTAGCTGGTAAACCTAATCGTTATGAATTGTTACGATGTCGTCAAGGTGTCGCAAGTGGATTAACGAGTTCATCAATTCAACTACTTGTATTCATTAATGTTCTAGTGATTTCTTTGTATTCATCATGATGAAATAATTTTAAAGTACTTTTTTAAACTTTAGTACAAGTTCTATCAAGACTAAAATATATAATTACAAGTGTTTTTTTATTTCATGAAATATTTTGTAAATAAAATGTTTACTGCTTGTTTGTTTTTGAAAGTAGTATTTCTGAACTTACTGTAGCGTCTGCGAGTACACCATTATATTGCAAATTTTTAAAAAATAAACTCTTATAGAACGTCATTTACTAACAGTTGTCAATTGGTAGTACCAAAAGAAATACGTACAGATAAAAATTGTCAGTATAGAGTTGTGGAGATTGCTGAGGTACTTTGAAATGCCGGCTCAGTGGTCCAGAGGTGTAGAGTCCACTCACAAGATTTAAGGTCTCACAGCAATCGTGGATGTGCACTACTGATGAGTGCCAGACCAGGACAAGACGGCCGTCCAGTGCTTTCAGGTTTCTAATGGTAGTCCAACATTGGTGAATAAAATTGAGAAGTATGGACATCTGTAGAATATTTCGATTCCTGGTAATTAGTTATTGATATTCCCATAATTAGTAGTATATAAAAGAACCTTTCAGTACATTGGATGTTATTTAGGTCAAGAGAAGTTTCATAATTTAATTAATTACAAGTGATTTTTATCCTTGTGACTGAACTGGAATAACCAAACAAGCTTATACTGAAAGGCTAATAGAAATATTGTATTACAGATAAAAATGTAATGAGGATGATAAAGAAAGTTCATGGTTTCAAAAATGTGTAACTTAACAATCTTCACAACCCCGTAATGTAAAGATAAAGAAAGTGGCAAACTTGAGTTACATGGTGAATTTTGTCAGTGCATTTACTGAATTTACAAATAAAAGAACACAAGACGTTTGGTTTGGAATAGTCTTAGCAAAATATGCACTGAAAACCTTAAAGCACTAGGCGGCCGTTTCGTCCTAGTTTAGGACTCCTCAAAATATTACACATTAGAAACTAACCTATGTAGATTGCTGAATTTCATTCATCTATAGACTTTTAAAGTAAACAAATAAATGTTTAAAATACAGAAATTATCATAAAATCAATAAAAATGATTTTATCAGTTTATATTGTGAAGTAATATGATTAGTGATCTCATTTGTCTAAAAATGTATAATGTAAACTGTGTTCAGAAGTGCATGGTAGCTAACTGTGGAGTCTTGGAACCATGTTTTATTTTATCTACGACTTATCAACTGGATGTACCTGCAACTCAGAGTTGATATTCTCACTGGAACTCAAATGTACTACCTGAAGGTTTAGAGGAAGGCGCGTTATCCACTTAGCTGCTGCGTTCAAATGGCGATTGTCTTGTGAACGATTTGATTTATCAACACTTTAGTGCAGATATACGTTCTAGATTCTACTGCTGACCACAATCTAGGTTTGCCTATAATGCTTTTAACCTAATGGCAATATCAGGGCAACCCCACGGGCTGATCATTTACGGCCCGAAACATCAATCGGAAAAATTATACCACTAATAAAATATGTATAATATGAACATTTGATCAAACGTTGTTAGATATCTAAGCCTAACGAATTTAGCTACTTCCCTTTGGTTGATTCTGAGTCGTGCTATTCAAGGTTTCTAATCAAATATAACATTGATTACCCGTACTACTATTAATAAATTTCCATTCTCCATTATGACTTTAAGTCAGTTATTAATAACTTTCTGAAAGTGCATCACATCTTCCTTTTACTATGTCTAATCATCTTCCAACCTATACTCTTCGTTTCAAATGGACATAAGTACCGAATGTTCCAGGCCTCTGTATCGATGAATATTCAGAATTCCATACCAGCTAATTAATGTTATTTACCCAAAAAGCTTTTAGGAACTGATAAACAGGTCTTTTACATCAATGGACCAGGTTTTGCTGTTACCAAGTAAATAAATCTTCAGAAAAGGAATTTCAGTGAATTGAAACTAAGACCAACTGTTAAATCGTTGTGTAAGTCCGGTTTCTTTTTAAAAAAACAAAGATAAATTAATGAACCAACCACCTTTTCTCGATTCAGTCATGATTACTTACTTACTTACTTACACTTGTTACCCCTAATGCAGCATAGGCTGTCGACGAGCATTCTCCAGCCAACTCTGTCCTAGGCGATCCTTTCCAGTTCTAACTAATAGCTGTCCATTCTTTTAACATCTGCTTCAAATTCTCGGCGTAATATGTTTCTTGGCTTAGTTAACCGAATCACATTTGTGTAGAGAGAATGTGACTTACCTCTCCACTTTGGAAGAGGCCATCGCAACTATGACACTAAAAGTTAAATATCTTACTATAATGGCGTCGGAATATTTTCGCCTCTCAATTACTTCCTCTTTAATTGATAGAACACGATAAAACTAAGGATATACTGATTGCTGAATATCTTAAAAAAAACGATTTCAGTTGTTTGAAAATTTATATTTCCCATAGTGACAGCTTTTACACATCTGTACTCAAAACGTTATCATCTCTTTAACTAAACTAAACCATCTTCCTCAGTTTCTCAGTCATATCGAGAGCAAAGTCATCATAATAATCTTAATAACATCAAATTTACTAGATCATATAATTCAAACCCTCTCTTTCATTCATCCACACTAAATTATTTAATAGCTCTTAAACATGTTATCATAAGTTTATGTGCACACTTTGGAGAAACAACATACATACTTTATAAATTCATTACACTATCCATCTATTGATATATATTCATACCAAGTGCTTACTTAGCTTACACTTGAAAGTTTACAATATAGAGATGGTTTTAGTTCTCTTCACCAACTATCTACTTTAAATTAAATTAAATTGTAAATCTTACAATGGCACAGTCATTTTGATTGGTTAAAATAACACCCACTCTCCAATTGGTTACTTGATGGTCATTTGTGTAAATAGGGCTTCATCGACTGAATTCAACCAGTTTATGTAATTCATAAAATTTTTTGGGCATAAACATTTGGACATCCGTTTTAGCAATGTAATTAAGTTTTACTGAATTGCATTTAATTATTATTACACTGAACATTCTATTTCAATTCACAATTTCTTTTGACCTTCCAAAAGAAAAATGGATCTAAAAATTACAATGAAATCTCATATAACATTTTTACTATACATTAACTTATTAATTTTTTCATGTTCAACTGAGAAATATTCTGAAAGATCTAATTATCCTACTAAAACAACAGGTACTACATCTACTAATAGAGAAAAATCTAAAAAATCATCTGATTACATTATGTTAAATGATTCACCAACATCAAATGGATATAGTTTGTTGCGTAACGATGTCAGTCGTCAGCATTTACATGTATGGCGTGGACATTCATCACCATTACTACATGAACATTTGCCTATTTTACCACGCGCCCGAAAAGGTCAAGTATGTCAAGTAGAAGTTGAAGAATTTCAACCATTATTATCAATGGTTGGACACTTAGAACCTAAAGTAAGTGATCTGATTTACAATTCTACCGTTGTTTACATTCAGCATTGAATTTGATCAATCTTTATCGATATATAGACCTATTTAACAGATCTTTCAATATTATGCGTAGTTACTACCTTTAGTGTATTTCTTGAGTAATTTGTAACTAAAATCTACTTAGTTGCATCTGTACTAAATTGTGAATTTTTTATGTGAAGGCTTTAACGTAGTGGATATCATTTAAAAGTCGAACAGATTGTACACGTCTTTGAATAAGTCAAGATAATTATCACTATAAACAATACGAATGGGATATATCATTACTCATAACGGGGTTTTTAATTTTTCAGTCTTCATATTTGGTTAAGTTCCGTATACATGAATTAATGAAAGCATATTTTTTGAATGTTCGACTTATATGCAATATTTAGTATTTTTCCGTTCAATTACTGCATGTATTTTGCATTTAAGTGCATAATTTTCACTGATAATTTCATTTCAGGCTATGAATTTCGCTCTATTTGCTTTTTCATCCTGCAAGTTGGAACATGCTGCAGTAGCGAGTTTGCATAAAAAAACATTTTTAGTTAGCTACATATGAATGAGTAAAATAAAATTTCCTGTGAAAAATAAACTCTTATTTTCATTATGACCCACTAAATAAATAGAAAACTGCTCAAAAATGCCAAATGTTGTAATTATTGAACAGTGAAAAAGAATGGTTAACTTCACTTAAATTCACGAATGAATTTGATCTCTTACATCATAATGATATACTGAAAATAAAATGTATACCATAGGAGCACTGTATAGTTGTTTCATCCCATTAAATACACATAATTTGAATTTTTTTCAACTTCAGTTACAATCATGATGAATCAGAGCCGCTAAATTAAGGTGCATTGATTAACATTTTTAAACTTGGATCAATTTCTGCACGATATTATTCTTATTATCTGTCATCAGTGAGTTACTGATTCACTCCGGAACTAGTTAACATTAAACTAATGTAAAATCCTATTCATAATAATAACTCTCCAATACTTCCTAGTGATTCGTTTCAAGATTATTTTTCTACATTCTAGTGGAAGACCATAACTTATTGTTTGTATCAGTTACAAAATTCTTTTATTCATTCATTGAAGAAATTTCTATCTTTATCTTCTGTTTCTTGTACTCATCATTTGGAGAAGATATTTCTCAACAATTAGTCCCTTTTATAAATTTTGATAGAACAGTGAGAAGACGTAACTGATCTGAAAAATGTGATGTATTTACGGTATACATTTCTATTTCCCACCATGTTCATCGATTGCAAAACACAATTAAGACAGGTTATAAATGACATCCAGACAGCCTTCAAAACACTGTATAGAAATATTGAAGGACGAATTTTGAGGTTTATGGAAGCCTTGGCTATTCGTAAATTAAAATTCGCCTTAGGTGTGCAGAAACAATTTGTCATAACCTTGAATTTACCTTGGTAGTCTTTAAGCCTAGAGTAATGTGACAATTTTCCTACCCTTTCTTATTTTTTTATATGACGTTAATTTTCTCTCTCCTTTATTTACAATTATCACCCTATGTCTATTTGAACTTTTATTTAATTGACCTTTTATTCATCTTCATATAAAATGCCTTGACAAGTAAATATGTGTGACCAGATTGTTCGAAATGTATAGCGCAAATACATCACATTTTTCAGATCAAATACGTCTTCTCACTGTTTAATATTCATTACGTTGTATATGAATGAAAATTAATCATATTCTTAAAAAGATGAAAATTATTTTAGTATATGTGCTCACTAGTGACTAGCTTCATGAGGAAATTCTCGGTGTTCTAGTGAGAAGACGTGACCAGTGGAATTCAACCCTGTCGGGTGTAGGCAGTAACTGCCAAAGGCAAATGGTTGCAGTCGCGCATAAGACCGAAGGTCTCGGGTTCGAATCCTGCGAGGTGCAGGAGTTGTGGATGCCCACTGCTTATGAGTCCCAAACCAGGACGAAACGGCCGTCCAGTGCTTCCAGGTTTGTGATGGTGGTCTAACAATGAATGATTGATGATTTCAAATGTGTAAAAACACTAATCTCCATAACTCTTGAAAATATCGAAAATTATTCTGATTGATTTATCATTAAAATACGAAATATTCCCATTTTGAAAATTAGAACAACAAAGATAATTGGCAAACAATACTATGTATGAGCCACTGACCATAAGTTGATTGAGTCTATCAATCAAGTTTATTAACCAAAACTCATATCAACAAAGAGTACAATTAATTGTATAAATACTTATATCCATTAGTCCAATTTGAAAAAAAATACTAATTGTATGAGAAAGTATTTAACTTGAAGATTTAATAAGCGTGGTTTGAATCACTTACGACCGATTAAATCACTAATTGTAAAATATATGAAATATGTCTAGGAGTAAAAATCCATGACACGAATTCCGTGCTATTTAAAACTCTTCAGCAAGATGTACCTGCATCGCGGAGTTGATGTTCACAATTAACTCAAACCCATCACCTTTTTTTCAACGTCAACATGTCATGCATTCTATTAAGGGAACCAGATGGTTACTCACTTGTGCAGCGAGTTTGAATTTTGTTTTGTAATCACTCTGATTATCCTACTGTTGATAATCTCGATTGACTACTGACGTGCATCCTATACTGACTTTCTCAATATAACCATTATAACACAAGCTTATCTAGATTATGCTTAGCGTTTGAAATGAAAAGTACTAGGTTTGAGTGCCAAATATGACGTCAACTCCGGGATGAAAAGTTGCAAGTAGGGCAAATCGCACGTCCTGATTTATACTACGGCCTAGAAGAAATCTACTTTATACAAACTGATGTCATAGTAGCTATGTTAAGGCACTCTATGCTAAATTCTTGTTTATTGTCATTTAAAAATGGTTATAGCCCTCATTAACTTGATAATGTAAATAACATATAGTGAAAAAGACCATTTGTATCAGTGAAGAGGAATACAGATAATTCTTTCAGACCTCATTTGCTTGAGCTGTACAATTATATTTATAGTTCGTTTATTCGTTAAAAATATACTGTTTTAAAAGCTTAAGCGGTATCATGTCTCATAAATAATCTATAAAAATCCGATATTGAAAAGAATTTATGTAATAACCTAACAGTTAATAAAAAAAATACTAAGCTGAAGATATTTTCGAACTTGACTTATATAAAGAATAAAATAATTCAGTATTAATATCAATGATTGATTAAAGTTCAGAAAAATATTTGATGAAGAATAGATGGAAAAAATGATAAATTATAAATAGTAGAACGAAAGCTTAAGATCATGATGAAATGAGGAATTCAACATACTACTTTTTGTACACATAGTTTACGATTTAGTGGAAGACTATAGCCTGTGCTTGACATAAGTAATTCATTTTTAAGCAAATTCTTCTGATTGTAAGAATGATTTGAAGACGAATTCTGACGAAATATAGTGACCAAAATTAAGAGGCTATTCTACGGTCAGGCTTTTGAATGATTTTTATAGTATTTCAGATAGCCAATATAGGGTAAGGTTTGTAGATACTCTTTGTGTGACTGGTATTAACTTCTTCACCTGGACATACAAACTGATATATCCACATTAATTAGGGCCATAATGAGAGTTTACAATTTTTGAGGCATCATCTCCTCTACACTGAATTTTGATGAAAAATGTCTTCTTTAATGCTGAAGATAATAATTTAATATTGTTGTTATGGATTCAAATTTTTATCAATGAATCTAGATGTACTATGTTTACGATATTTAAGATATAACTTGGTATCAGCAAACGGAATTTATTAGCAGCGACACAATAACAATCAAAAGAGAAAATAGGTTCTATGATGTTTATGCTTTATTCAGGTGGAAAATTCAAACTGACGCTTTTAGCGTGAAAATAAGAAATTCGAATTTTCATAAATAAATAACACAATTATGAAATTGATCAAAAGATTTCTGATGATATAACATACCCGACAAGGTGAACATTCATTCCTAATTAGTATCTATAGTAATTTATCAAGTTTGATACTAAGTGCATAATCAGTACAGATTTGTGTTACCTTCATTTGTAGAGATAGATAGAATCCCCTTTTTTTATGTAAACCTAATGATCTAAACAGTCAGGTAGTTATAAATATTGTAGGGCATAGCGGAATTCAACTCAAATCAAATTAGAAACATGATATTAAAACAGCGAGATGGAAGTATCACGATGAATATCAAATAGAATTATTAGTAGTTGTTTCCGGTGATACTGAAGATTAAAAATTTGAAATAGAGATCTTCATTTTGTTGCCCTTAGCTCTGTTCTTACATACTCGTTATAATCCTTTGAGCATGTATGTTAAAATCAAATGACTATAAAAAACAATAAAGTACATAAAAGTAGCGCATCTGATGATTCGACTGATAATACTGAACAAATTAACATAATAAATATTTTGAATTTTTTCAAGGTATATCAATCATCAATCGATTGGTTCATCTAACAGTTTGTAAGTACATGCACTGATACATACGGAACATGAACGATCATCTGGTTCTTCATTTACGGGAAAATAACACTTACTGACGTATTTATTAGCTCAGGGTTATTGGACTTTATTAATCATACAACAGTAAAAAAATACTACTTCGTAATTCTTATTAACTGTAACGGTCTTTTGTAAAACTCAACTAGCATTCTAGTTCGAAGACTAATTATGTCTTCCTTCAGTTCAATGAATCATTGTTTTCATAATTTATAAAATAAATTATGCTAATTGACAATTTTACAAATGATAAATAATGATAAAGACAAGTTATTTTAATTCAACTGCAACTCTGGAAAGAAATTACTCATGGAAGACTGTAATTTTGTTCATATAAATTACTGACACACAAAAACGTTAAAGAATGTGATAAGTTTATGATTTAAATACACACATATCGACATTTGTTTCATTCAAAACTATTAATCATGGTTTTATTAAAATACACCTGT